CGGTTCTTCACCACGGTGGAAGCATCGGTATCTTCCCCGAGGGTGGTAGCCACGACCGAACTGATCTCCTACCACTAAAAGGTGAGTAAGTAAAAATTAGAGTCTTTCACACACTAACATCTCCCAGCTGGTGTTGCGATCATGGCGCTTGGTACAGTACAAACGAAGCCAGACTGCAATCTTAACATCATTCCCGTCGGTATGAACTACTTTCACGCCCACAAGTTCCGATCAAGGGCCGTCATCGAGTTTGGCACGCCCATCCATGTCCCACCTGAGCTAGCTCAGAAGTTCGATGGCCCTGGGAGACGTGAGGCCATCGGCGAGATGTTGGAGACCATCCGACAGGGCCTGATCTCTGTTACTGTCACGACACCAGATTACGACACTCTCATGGTACGTTCAATGAAATTTCTCGCTTCTTCTCATTGCTGACTCTCCTAGGTCATCCAAGCTGTGCGCCGCCTCTACAACTCCAAAGGCACAAAACTTCCTCTTCCCAGGATTGTGGAGCTTAATCGCCGCCTCGTCCAGGGTTACGAACGCTATAAAGATGACCCTCGCATTGTTGAGCTCAAGAAGGAGGTCACGACCTACAACGGCAAGCTTAAGGCGCTGGGCCTCCGGGATCACCAGGTGCAATACGCCAAGATGCATCCTATTACGGCATTTGGCCTTTTCTTCTACCGTCTCGGAAAGCTCCTCTTCCTGAGTATGCTTGTCCTTCCCGGAACTCTGCTCTTCAGCTTGGTCTTCATTGTCACCAAGGTTGTCTCGATCAAGAAGGCCAGAGAGGCACTCGCTGCATCAAACGTCAAAGTTCAAGCAAGAGACGTCATGGCTACGTGGAAGCTTCTCGTTGCCATGGCTGCCGCCCCAACAGCTTACGCCTGGTATGTTTGCTTGGGACTCTACTGGTACTCCTACAATCAATGCAACGGATACCTTCCTGCTGGCATTCAGAAGCGCTGGCTCATCATTCCCCAACTCGTCGTCTACGTCACCCTCACATACGGCGCTCTCCGATTCGGCGAAGTCGCCATGGACATCCTCAAGTCCCTCGGTCCCCTTTGGAAGATGATGAACCCCTTCTCCAACAACGAACTAGTGAAACTACAAGAGCGACGCGAGAACCTCGCCCAGCGCGTAAACGACATCATCAACGAACTCGGTCCGGAGATGTACGACGACTTCCACTCCAAACGCATCGTCGAGGATCCCTTCGTCAAGCAAGAGCGCCCCCACACACCACCGCAAAAGTCGGACGAAGACGCGGAAAGGGAAGCAGGCCAAGACATCGAAACCTATGATTACCCCGCCTCACCCGGCTCTATCAACGAAATCCCGCGCAACGAATCATTCCACGACCTCGCCAACCAAGACTTCTTCTCTAGTCGACCGCAGACGCCGAAGAAGAGCCGTAGCAGGAACAGCAGCAGTGCGAACCTGGGCGGCTTCCAGCTCAAGCCTTTCAGTACTATTGATGGCAACTTGGATGAGGTGAAGAGGAGGCTAACAGACGGTGTGAAGCAGCGGACGAGGAAAAGAAGGAGTAGTGGAGAAGGAAGCTGGGACGACGGTGAAGATGGCGAGGGCCTGATAATGGGAGGAAGGAAAGAACGCTCATACACCAAGTAGTTTTTGGTCATGATGGTAGTTTGGATGAGCGGTGTGTCGGTTTTGCTTGTGCGTTAGTACTAAAGATACCACTTTCCTTTCTTCCTAGAGGTTGAGACTGGACTTGTTATGCATGAATACGATTTGCTGTGCTTGCTACGCTATGCTGTGTTGTGGTTGTGCTATGCTAAGTGCTCTTGTAATATCATCGCTTGTACATCGTCGCCCTGCCTACAAATATGCCTGAATCAATAATCGAGAAGAAGTTACGGATATCCCCATCCAAAAATGCCAAAGTCATGCAAAAGCGCTGTGCCCAGATCAAACCTTTCCTCCTGCAAAAGTGGTATCTTGCCTTCCTTACCAATTCGAATCCCAAGCATCGCCTCCCTACCCGAGAACCAGTACGTGACACAAAGAAAACATCCATACCTGGAGCGCGGTGTCCACCTCTCTACCCGACAACAGCCTTCTGACTCAACTTCTCTAAAAACCCGCTAAGATCCTCCTTCTTAATCTCAATCACACACGCCTCGAAACTGTCCATTCTTACTCGGGCTCCCGTCTCCCTCACAACCTCTTGAAACGCATTACCGAATCGATTCCTGCCCGAACCCCTCTCCTCATCCTCATCTTCCGACTCCGAAGAATCATTATCCGAAGAATCAGATTCCTCAGCTTCAGACTCCGTATCATCAGCAACCTCATCTTCCTCAAGGCCAGCCGCGAGATTTCGCGCCACACGCGCCTTACGGCGTGATTCCCTCGCTTCGGCTTTTTGAGCCTGACGGGCTTCTTTAGCTTTGAGTTTAGCTTCGCGTTTCTGAAGGCGGGATTTAGCAGATTCGGTTGCGCCGCCGCCACCCAGGCCAACGACGACGTAGAGGCCGCGGGAGTCGTCGAGGCCGGCCATAACGAGCTCGCTGCCTTTGTTTTTGCCTTTTGTGCCGTTGAGTTCGACGATGGCTTCGGCGATCCAGAGGGCGAGTTTGGTGAGGGCGCCCGGGTGCGTGAAGAGTTGGACGTCGGGGCCTTCTTTTACGACGGCCATGCGGAAGGCGCGGAGGTGGCGGATTTGTTTCTTTTCGATTAGGGCGGTTCCTGTGCGGAGGATCGCGCGGTGGAGGTGTTGGGCTGTGCTGATGTGCTCGACTAGGCGGTCGATGTCGCCGAGGGCGTCGTAGGCGGTCCAGAAGCGGCTGGTGATGTGTTCTTGGGCGAGGTCTTGCTGTTCTTGCGTGGAGGAGGGCATCTCGGTGTGGTCGTTGGCTCCGACGAAGTTGGAGCTGTCGAGGGCGGATTGGTTCAGGTTCTTTGCGTCGCCGACTTCGAGGATGGCTCCTAGGATTACGCCGGCGTCGATGGCGGAGAGACATGCTTTCCAGCCCCAGCAGCGTACGAAACCCCATCCGTCTTTGGGGTCGCCTGTACCTGACTTTGGTGGTACGAGGCCATCGAGACCGTATTGTGGGGCGAACTTTAGTAGGCGCTCTCGGAGACCACGCTTCAGCTCCATGTCCATGTGTGTATATCTTTGCTTGCACTCAGTGAGTGAGACACCCATCTTGGCAAGGAGTTTAGCAAGTCGCTTCTGACCTGCATCACTCCAGATGTGTAGTTTGGCGGAGAGGTAGGGCGAGTGCAGCATGCTTTCGTAAAGAGACCAATGCCGGAGAAGGAGGAAACGCGGTTCTGGGGAGAGGCGGATTGACTTGTCGGTTGCTGAGAGAGCGCTCGTAGGGATGACACCCCACACTTCGCCCATCGTTGCATTGCGGGACACACTTGAGGCGTCTGTGACAGGGTTCAGTCGACGTACTTCGTCTCGCAGGACAGAGCGTATGTTCTCCCCTCGATTGCCGTTCCATCCCGCTGAACCACCCTGTGCTGAGAGGGGGTTTAGACCAACACCGCTTCCTGTCCGCCCGTATAGTTCCAGACTGCTGACACCAACGATGGCATTCCATAGCAAGTCGTTGTCTTCGCGGCCGAGTTCCGATGCTAGGTTGTATACGAGAGAAGAGACGGGGTCTGAGTAGGAAGTGCCGAGTCCGTAGTATTTGTCGAGCGTGGATGCGTACTTGTTCCGCTTCTTGATCAGCTGCCTTCGTAGGCTCTTCAACGACTTCTCTTTCGGTGCAGCTACTGATGGGGATGCAGAGCGACTGCGGGAGTCTGAACGCGAAAAGTCGGAGGAGCCACCTAGTTGTTGCGCTGCTAGTAGACCTCTTCGCCGTCTCGGTTCGGGTGACGATGGTATTGAGCCTCCCTGGGTGATGTTAGCGTGGCCTCCATTTTAACCGTGGCTATACATACCGAATTACTCCTTCGCCTTTGTGCTGGCCGCTCGTCATCTGTCATGTCATCCTCAGAGTCGTCTTCCTCGCCCCAAGACTTTCTCTTCTTTGGTGCCTGTCCAGATGGCGGCTCCTCATCATCTGGGTCGTCCGAGTCGTCGCTGATGTCGTCTTCCTCCCCCACCTCTGGCATCTCCTCAAGCCCAGCGTATGCTTCACGCTCTGCCTGTAGCTCTTCCTCAATGTCACCGTCGTCAAAGACTATAATCCCACCTCTTGACGACTGGTATGACTGCGTGATCTTGCCCTTATCCACCCCCGCTTGTCTCCGCACAAACTCTCCCGTTGCGGGGTCCTGACTTATGGGGGCGGCAAAAACATTGGTCAGATTCCATGGCCGTCTCGCGTCCAATAGCCAGACCTCGACATCGCCAGTACCGCCCTCTCCATCCTCATCCACATCCAGGCCTAGTATCTCTTCCATGTCCACCATGCCTCCAACACCCAAACATATGACAACACCGCCACTTCCGCCGTCTGTTGTCCGCATGGGCCGTACCAGCTCTTCTGCCGCTCGTGATAGATCGCCATATCCGGCTATTGGCTGAATCTTGTGTTGTATGTAGTCGCGCTTCAATAAGGCAGTGAGTATTCGGCAGGCACAAAGCGCGTCTGGTTCGAGGGCGACAAGGAGTAAAACGGGCGGTGCGGCGGCATGTGTGCGTTTTATGAGGTTCTGGTATAGATGGGCTATCAGATTTCGCGGAAGGTACATGGCGGTGGCGGTAGAGTGGTTTGCCCTGCGTGCAGGTGTAAAGAAAACGCGCCGAGAGACGCGTCGGGAGGATTTGAGAGGGGCTGGTGGGGCGGCGTGAAGCTTATGGTATGCTCAGCAACTGCATGAAGAATAATAGAAGGCGTGATTAAAATAGAGAATAAGGTAGAAGGGCAATTGGCATGCGTGGGTGCGGGTGCTTGCACAGCTCGTGGGCGTGCGTGTAGTATCGAGGATGGCCGAGACGCGTTCGGCGCTAGCCGCGGAAATGGCTTCGCTCGGACGCGCCTCTGACGTGAACTTTCACCCTCATCTCGATTCCGATCGCGTCTCATTTCCAATACAGATGAAGGCATCACCATCTGACTGCTGTCGATAGCGCACATTTCCCCATCTTCCCACTTCATACCTATTCTTCTCGTCCTACTCACGTGGTCCACGTATACCTGAAGAAGCTGTCAAAATGCATTTGCTATGGACCTCGCGCAAACCGATAACATAGACTGAAGCAGCATGTCAGGCCACCTGCAGTATCCTTCTCCCTCGCTTTTAGAAAGAAAATACTATGAAATCGATTCCGTCGAATTCGCGAACTCCACTCAATCAGCGGCTTTGATTCCAACCCCCGATTCCTATGTATTCCCCCAGTCATTCTTCTTTAGTTTTGAGCGTCTCCATCGCAAAGTGTGTTTGACCTTCAAGTCGGTTGCTGGCTCAACACCACTCAGGCTCTTGCTTCACCCCAGGCTCTTGCTTGATGACAGGCTCTGCGTCAACAATCTTCTGGCGATCATCGAGATTCCGACCTAGGTCTTTCGGCTCCAATTGCACGAGTGTAGGCACAATGTTGTGGCAATGGTCATAGTGCTCTCCGTGGGCATCGCCCCACTTGGTCAGGCCTGGATTGATGACGAAAGCCACAACACTTGCTCCCATGTCTTCATCATCGTCGTTATCTACTGACAGCATTTGCGCCTCATGGAACTCGGCCCCGATAGCCGGATAAGTGACTTGAAATCGCGATTGCTGCGTAGACATATGTAAGGCCAGAGAAAAGGCTTTGTCGACGATGAGCTGGATGTCTGAAACTTTGAATCCGGGAGATAGCGACTCGAAATGGCCGCAGATAACACTCATTGCAAGGAGGCGGACCTCGACCACACTGGCTGTCAAGCCTACAGGCAAGCCATCTGGCTCTCCGTGTGCAATGGTGTCTGGACTGGTTTGCTCAAGCAGCTGCTCCACTGTCTTGATACGCCATGACTCGGAGTACGGAGAAGGAAGCGGCCATTCAAGAAGATGTTCTGCTCCATAGATCTGGACCCATGCCTCATTCAGGGCTTTGCAATAATCTCCAAATACAGCGTAGGGGCTTTTGAATACCAGGCAGATCAGGATTGACCAGATCCAGGCTTCGGTCAACGCCTTTTTCCTCGGTCGTCCATTCCAGTGATGAGGTGCAACGTCGTTCAGTAAGACAACGGAGCCGAGAACCTCGGTGATGTCGACGTGAGTGGTGAAGCGGAGTGAACGGCTGAAGGATTTGATAGATGATGCAAGGGATCGAAATTCCTTAGCGAACTGGTCGTCGGACGTTGCATCCACCTTGTCGACCTTGGCGAGCATGTCCTGCTGGAGTTCTTGGATCCGGGTTCGCAAACGCTGAAGCTCTGCTCGCAAGGGCCTGACTTGACTGGATTGCCTGAGCATCGAATCTAGGAGTTCCTTGACAGATTCATCGGTCAGGCTCTGGGAGTCAAGCTTCTGCTTCACTGCGTATGGCTTTATGACCTTCGCCATGATGTGGTTGTACATCCCGTCAATGTGTTTGGATTCCTCCTCCCACTCTTTACACTCGTCTTGCAGTTGCCTGTTTTTGGCTTGCAACTTGCGATAAGCTGTCTCATTTCTTACAATCCTCCCTTCTTTCTTCGCTATATCATCCTTGTGACGTCGCAAATTCTCTCGGAGGTTCGATACGGTATGTTCGATGTTGCGTTTGCCTCGTTCAAGCTCTTGGTTTCGCCCAAGCGCAGTCTGCAGCTGCTGGTAGATGTTGCTTGACTGGCTTCGTGTGATTCGCTGCCGTTGACTGTCTTGCGGATTTCGATGGTCATTGCCGCGTACCCTGTTCCACTAGATTGTCTGTGTAAGGTTGGATTCCGTATCTGGAATTACGGGTGCGTGCTTACTGCGTCGTTAATGGAGGACCTCATAATCTCGAAAGGCGCCTTGGTTTCGGTCGGTGGATGTATTCAAGGATTTAAAGATTAGTCGATGGTATTTCAAGTTTTGCTCAAGATCGGCTAAGGATAGGAATATATAGCTCATATGGACAGCGTGGTTGGCAGCTTGGAGTCTATCTCACCTTTACTTTGAGCTGCTGGTCACCCTCACTTGAGTTCTGGGGTGGCGAGCCTGGGGAATTCGCCACTAACCAGACAAGTGCTCAGCAGCGCGTGTCTCACCTTTACTTAGTTAGCCATAGAGTGGCATATTTGGTTCAAACTCTACTTCTCTCCTTCTACAACTTCAACACCAGAGCGAGCTACTTTTCTTGATTACTGCAGCATCAATTACATCACCAAACCACATTTCGATACCAGCTCGACATGAAGTCCAATCGATTGATCGTAGGCCTGGACTACGGGACTACATATACGGGTGAGTTCCCCATCGTAGAATCATAACATCCACTAATTAGTCAGGTGTCTCTTTCTGCGAAACCTCTGACAACGGCACTGGTGACGAGCACATAGAGGTCATTCATGATTGGCCGTCTCAGCATACCAAGATCGGCACCAAAGAGAAAGTACCGAGCGAGGTGACATACCAGAAGCAAGGCTTGCTATGGGGTGCCCTTATACCTTCTAATGTTCAGCGCCATATGTGGACGAAGCTTCAACTGGATCCAGTTAACAAAGGAGAATTAGTCAAGATCGTTAGGGAAGTCTCGACATCTACGGAGAATACAAACAAGCTGCCCGTTGAGATCATCGCGGACTTTCTTTCGCAGATTAAGGCACACCTTATCAAAAATCTGGATCAGAAATACGGTAAGGTGCTGTGGAGGGGCCTTGCCATCACCTTGGTGGTCACCGTTCCTGCAGTTTGGACAGACGTCGCCAAAGCCCGCACACTCGAGGCCGTCGCTAAGGCTGGGTTCAACACACCCGAGTTCCCGCAACTGAAGAACATCATTATGACTACTGAGCCTGAGGCGGCTGCAATCTATACCACGAAAATTCTACGAGGTATGCAAACTCCAATACATCATCAACTACACTGGAGGTACTCACACGATTCCTGAATTGACTACTCCATGTCGAAACCCCGCGAAGTCTTCCAGGGTCATCTTTACCAAGTACGAGGATCTTTACTAAGTTTGAGATAGGAACTACCCAAAATAGAAAATTTGCTGTCGGTGACGGCTTCATCATTTGTGATATGGGAGGTGGTACTGTTGACTTGTAAGTATTCACCATTGTCGACATCTTGGATAATTACTAACTTAACTGCGAAATTCAGGATTTCCTACAGGGTCGCTGGACTCAATCCAACAGTCATAGAGGAAGCAACTACAGGTACCGGTGACCAATGCGGAGGCAGTTTCGTCGACCGAGCATTTTTCAAGTGGCTTGAGCGCCGCTTGGGTACCAAAGACTTCGTGGAGATCGTCGGGTGCCGAAGTGAGGACGTTCCGCATACTTCTCTCTCGAAAAAGGCAGCTAGATTGCTTCAAGACTTCACACTCGAGGCGAAGAGTGGCTTCTCGGGAACAGAGACGAACTACCTTCGCTTACCAGCTCCCCTATCTGCTATCGAAGAAGATGCTGCGAGAGGTATATGCGACGGCGACATCATGATCACTCCGTAAATTATACCATTGTATCCAGTTTCAACAGCTGACAGAATACAGAGAGGACATGATTGAGATCTTCGAGATGTGCGTCCGCCGCGCCTATGAACTCTTGGGTGAACAGTTGGAACAGTTGCGAACAAACAAGAAGGTCAAGGTGAAGGTCAGTCTCACTCCAGATCAATGCCTCTTCCTGGCGGACTCAAAGGTCTATGACGTGCGATATGCTATCCCCATGTATTCACCTTGCTCTGGTTGCTTCACTCGTTCCTCGTTGCCGATATATGTTCCTATGCTAACAACCTACAAGTACGTCTTCATGGTGGGCGGCTTCTCCGAAAGTCCATACATGTACGAGAAGATCAAAACCTTCGCCGCCAGCTGCAACGGCTTAGAGACGTTCAAACCAAACTATGCGTAAGTACATCGGTTCACAATGTTCTGACAGCCCACTGATACTTGCTATAGATGGTCTGCTGTAGTACGAGGCGCAGCCGCGAAAGGTTTAGAAGGAGAGAAGAGAAACACGATCAAGACACGCAAATGCCGCCGGTTCTATGGCACCAGCTATAGCGCCGAGTTCTTGGCACGCAAACACAAGGAATCCGACTCATACATCGACTCCTATGATGGTATCAAGAGAGTGAGCAATCAGATGTCATGGCTGCTCACCACAGGTCAAGATCTACCGACATCCAAGGAAATTCATGCCAAGGGGAGGTTCACCGCAGACTTCTGGGCAAGAGAGAAGCGAGAGACTGAATTGATTCTTTTCGCTTCGGATTCACCGACGGCTCCAGCACGTTCAGACGACAAGGCAAGTCATAGTACCATACAGGCAGCTATTGAGGAATCATCTACTGACTCTGAAACAGGGTGTCCACAAGGTCACCACGCTGACCGTTGATCTAAGTGTCGTTCCCAAGAAAGAGTTCAAGGCTGCTAAAAGCCCCGTGGGTGAGCCGTACCATAGCTTGAGCTATGATGTCGCCATCTCGGTACAGTCGTCTCTGCAGTACTCTTTGTTGGTCAACGGCAAGACTTACGGCTCGGTGACTGCGAAGTATGATTGAGTGGCCGTACTAAACGCTACTCTAGCACTATGTCATGTAAATGCATACGGTGGTAGATTTGGAGAGGTCGAGCTGTTATCTGAGAGAATGGAGATAAAATGATGGAAGATGGAGACAGATGGTATCTGTGGACTTCTAGAGAGTGAAGGTTGAGTAAAAGCGTGGCTAATCTGGAAGATTGGCCAGTATCGGCAGTGGATTTGGCTTCCTGCATGCATCGGTTTTCGAACTTCTCTGTCAGCTAAACACTTCGAATCTATCAATTACCACAAACTCAAATGCACCCTGAACCCCTTCCTCTCCTCCCACCGTAACACTACCCCATCCAGCCACCACGCCACAACCACCCCATCACCCCCTCCAACCACGCCTCCCTCTGAAAACCCCCCTTTCAACCCCTCAACAATCATCAAACCCCCACCAATCACCACCTCTCCCTCTGCCAAGCCCCCAAACTCTCTCGGCCCAACCGTCCCTTAGCACCACGCACTAAATCACGTTACCTCCAGCTCATGCGCGTCATCTCACCAACCATCCCCAAACCAGCCATACAGCCGACACGAAAAGCGGGGCCAAACGATCCCCAAGGCAATGAGTGTGAAACGGCGATCGTGGGAAGGGTTTAGGGTGCTGTGTGGCGTTTGAGCTTGACGGGCGGCGCGGTGGCTTGAATTAAACGTGAAGACGCGCGAAAGTACGCGATGTGGGAAGCGAGGCGGAGGGGCTGGGTAGCTTGGGTTGGGTCCGGCAGTGAAGGGAGGGGGGATATGGTGCGAGTGTGGGCTGGAGCGAACCGAACCATTACCATCTTTTCTGGATGGGGCGCGCAGTTGGGGGTTGTGGTGGAGGTTCTGGTAGAGAGACGGGATGGACTGCGGCTCAAGAGAACTGTATTCCACGGTCTCTGTGACTTGTTGCTATGACGGATGAGCCCCTCCTCCACCAGAAAATACTGCGACGCGTCAATCCTGTCCCTCAACCGTCCCCAAATCTCCTACATCCTCACTGCGCGATGAGAATGCAGCCCAACACGGAGATCACGTCGCTAGCTAGCACAAGATCTCGTCTTCGTATCGCCGCATGAGCATGGCCTGTGTTAAGTTAGGCACAAATTGCCGCACAGAATCTCGTACCATTTTTCGTCAGCTGTGACGGGAAACCCCGGTGTGTTGCTACTGCACGGCATCGCCCGATGTCACCAGGCAGGTTTTCGCGGCTGTCGATCACTAGTTCAAGCGCGAGTTTGAGACTGGGAGCACGCAATGGATCTGCGCTACACACTCGCTTTCGCATGTGACGGTGGTAACGAGCCGAGTGGCCGTCTTTGTCTTCCAAATCTTTCGAGGCTTGCGCACGCTGGTAGTGTATGTTGCGGCTGCAGGTACGCCATTGGGGGTTGCGATGCGAAAGGCACGTCTCATCATCAAGCGCATCACTCATAGGACTTCAGTGTTTAGTTTTGAATTGTTTGAATTTTAAGTTCGGTGGGCGGTGTGTTTTTTTGATCTCAAGGAGGGTAGAGTTACTACTCCCTCCGTTGACAGTGTGATACCTAGTACCGTAGCGATGTATAAGAAAGGAAAAAAAGAAAGACAACATCATGTTGTCGTGATTAATGACTCCGTACCCAAATGCATAATGCCCTCATCATAACACCATGCTGATAAAGAAAAGCGTGGGGAAGACGATGTCCGAAAACCACGCGCAAACCGAGCGTGTAGGAAGGGTTGAGACAGCTAAGTCGGAACCCATCAAGAACTGAGTGAACGAGACGGACGTGTGAAGCGATGTCCTCTCCAGCGTGTGCATATCATATGAGCTCGATCTTGTTATCCGGATCCAACTCGAACGGCTGGAGATTAGGGGGTTTTCAGCCTAAGTCGTTCTAAGATCTCATCATCGCGGTCGTCCTAGACCTTATAATCCGTCTCCTGTTGGACCTTCTGATCCCATGGATCAACATTTTGATGATCGACGTACGTGGGTAACATGTTATATGTCATGGGGTTGTACACCTGGTGACCTGGGTGACCTGGTTGACCTGGGTGAAATGGCATCCGTGGTGGTTGTGCGAGAGTGGAGGAAGCGTACAGGTTCATGTTATGTTGGTACGATGTCATAGGCGGGGGGTCAGAGCCCAAATTGGTTGGCAGAATATAGCCAGAGTCTTCTCTCCTCCTCTTTGATGGCTGGTACTCGTAGGCGGGGTGGTCGATGGGTGCCTGTGAGGTCGGTTCTGGGTTTAAGGGTAGAGTATAGTCTTCCCTTCTCCTCTTAGACGACTGGAACTCGTAACTCGGGGCGATCTGTGTCTGCGAGGTAGGCTCTGTGTCTGCTTGGAACGAACGCTTGTTGTTCATCATGCCTCTGGCTTCCTTGCGCAACCTGAGTCGAACGCCCTGGTCGGAGAACGCCCGCGAGAGATATGTTGACTCTTCGAGACCTTTGAAGTCTTTGGGGAGTACGACGTCAAACTTTTCGCTCAATTGAGAGCCGAGGAACTGGAACTCCGCCTGTGAAGGATGAAACTCGTACATGGTGAAACAGAGTCTGAAGCTACCCTGGATCCGAATGGAAATATCGCCGAAGACAAAGAAACCGCCGTCCTTGTTATCGACATCCTTGAGACGATGCAGGGACGACACCAGTGTGCCGGCCATGGATTCATTGGGAGTATGTTCGACGGGCTCATCTCTGTCCGCTTTGTACAGGGATGCACTGAGGAAGATGTAGGGGTTTTGCAAGAAGTTGTTCGAGGTATCGGCACGATCCCGAAGGTTGAGCTGGAGAATGGGTGGAGGATCCACAGGCTTCCGAAACTTTTCCTTGCCCTTGACCGCGACCAGCGCCTCTTTAGGTTGCTGGCGGACGGACAGGAAGCAGTTATTCGGGCTCAGAGGTTCGGGACCTTGACTTGCGACCGGTAGTGTGACAGGAATGTGCGGTTGGTAGTAGTTCTGGTTATACTGCGGCGGCATCGGATGGTGTGGATACATGGTTGGAATGTTCATGTTCATGGTCTGGCCCTCTGTAGCAGAGGTCGGTGGTCGTAATGGTTTTGTAAGGAACCCAAGGACCAGGTCTTAGAGACGCCCAAGATTGTGGTGGTGAGATGGAGTCGTCCGGTCGAAAAATACTGAGAACATAAGAGAATTCCGAAATACGGCTAGCGACCTTTGAGAGAAATACGCGAAAGGTGACCAATCGAACAAAGGCTTGAGTCACTGCGGAGTGCAGTGCCGTCCGAAGGCGCTGCGCGTCCAGTGATTGTAGTGGTAATGAGCGATGAAAGTGTGAGTGGATCACCGTTCCATGGGTGAAGGACCCTTTTCGGAGAAAGTGCCGTCGAAGCGCGACTGCCTGCTCTCGGTGTTCCAGTCCAGCACAGTCGATAATAATGCGTGTCCTTGTATGGTATGCGCTGCCTTGCTCGAAATTTGAGGCACCTCTGGAAAGCGGCGATATCAGAATGGCGCGCGCGGGAGTGGATCTGGTGCTCGCCTTTCAACGGGACCGAACTAAAGGCCCGCCTGCGGAGAGATGTTTGACTCCACCCTTGACCGTGACTTCCAACGGAAAGTGGCCCAGATGGAAGCAACAACAAAAATGTGTACTGCGCCTGCGTCGCTCAGCACCTGCAGCGTGGAACCTGTAGAACACCGTACTTTCCGCACTGTCTCCGCAAGGCATAGCACCAGCTTGATTTCGAAGGGGAGTTTGCGATTGAACCTGAGGTTAGGCAGGTCTGGTACCGAACCGTGGTCGAGATTGCCTTGGTGTGCTCCGAATGTTATAACAAAGAGGGCTGTTTCCAAGGGCTTCGAGAGTATTAGTGTCGTGCTGGTCGACCAGTCAAGCAGCGATGACGTGTCGGGGATAAGTCTAGGGCAATCTGGTAATATTATAGAATTAGAAGAGAAAGTCAGAGGGAGAGCGTCGAGGGCGACGACGTCGCAGTGCTCATGAAGGAAAACGCACAAGAGTAAGACACAAGGTAGAAGAGCTGGCAAGGGTACCTCGAGGTAGTCGTCTCAATCGGGGCTCCTCTACACTCGTCCTTCCGTGGCGGCTTCGACGGTGATTCGTCACTTTCCGTCTAGTCTCGAGTGCAACTGGTGCCGAGCGCGGCCGATCAGTGCTGTAGGGTCTCTCCGAGCTAGCGTGCTAAGAGATGAACGAGCGGCGCCGTGAATCATGCGAACAACCTCTAGTGCAGCCAATCGAACGTCGCCTGGGCTTCTTTCTTCTTTTGTAGGCACGGTCGCTTTGGGAGCTAAGGTTTCTCGCTTGTTGACACAGGCCTGGTTGATTTTGCTCTTGCACCTCGTCGAGTCCGGAGAGGGCTGCAGCGTGGTTGATGCGTTCTGCTGATGACGTCGAGGGTACAATCGAAAACGACAGGACGGTATGCACTTAGCGAGATACCGGGTTCGCGATGGAGATGGGACCTTGTCCAGCCCGCTGGTGCATGTGTCAGCGTGCAAGGACGGCACGGCGGGACGAGGTACAAGAAGACAAGCTGGTCGCAGATGCTGTGCCGTAGTGCAGCGACTGTTCTATATGCTCAACAGCACTTTCGAATGAAGCCGAAGAGAGCCCAAGGGTCGTTTGGCGCTAGAATGCAGCAATAGCCCGTCCGCACTATGCTGCCAGAGCGAGGGTATCCCATGCAGCCGGATGGCAGAGCCTGGCTGCACAGACTGCGCGGCAGTAGAGCAAGGATAGCGAGACGGCTTGGATTCAACGGCAATCCCAGGTTTAGGGTTGGTAGGGCACTGTCCAAGGGCATCGAACGGGGGACCCGGTTGCATGCAACGGAAGAGCCCCATGCCTGTAGACACTCACAGCGACGCTCGGAATTTAGCCATTGCAACTACTCTACTTGAGAGGTCGTATATAATGCTCCATTGGCGCCCAATATCTCAGCATCACGCCGTTCGACAGCCTGTTTGCTACGGTTCCTCTGATCCGTAGCTAGAGGCACAGAGCGCTCGAGTTAGCTGATGAACGGACCCAACATATCCATCGGGACCACTCGCAGGCGAGTGCAGTGGTACTGAACACGTCCACACACATGGCGGCTGTCACACGCTTTCCGACGGCGCACGATGGCGGCTCCGGGACGTGCCTCAGGACTCGAAGGCTAAACTGACAGGACAGTCGAGGCTAGGATACCCACAACATAGTCGCGTATCACTGCAGCAGACGGCACGCACGCTGCGATAGAGTGCCCGGTACGCTCTCTGTCGTCAATCGGACCTGGAACGGGCGTCGAACCGTGCAGGAAACGTCCCCATTGGGCGCTGCAGACCGATGGAGCAATGACGCATTGTGCATTCACGTTTGTCGGGCTGAGGGCGGGTGATGTCGTCTGGAGGCTATGAAGATGCATGTGGGGAGGATGATCGCCGTCAAGTCGCGCGGTGGCTGGGAGGATTTCTGCAGGGATGTGGTTCGATTCCAAGCGAAGACCGCCGAATGCTCCGTTCTCCTTATGAAAGAAATTCTACGATGTTACACCGTCATCCGCACCCCCGTCCAACACCCCTTTAGCCACAAACTGCCAGCGAGTGAGAGGCCGGCGCACTTCCTGCGATACCTCATCTGGTCGGCAGTCTACCTCTGACAGCAGCGCTATAGCCAGCCATGTCCTTAACGAAGTCTTGCCGGGTCGCCATCACCAGGTAACAGTCGCTGCCGTCAAAGCATGATGATCTGAGTGCTAGCTGCTTGCTTGTTGCGCCTCTACGACAGATCGTCTCGTTTTCTCGGCAGCTTTCCCTCGTGCACCACGTCTTCTCTCCGTCCTCCGACATGCCGTTGTTCCTGCAGGATACGAGAGCCTCCCGCTATTGGCCCTTTGCATATGTTGCAAATATTGTCCCAACATCGACCTTGTATGCGCTTAATTTACTTTTCGCTTACTACGGCGGAGGCTCGGGCTGTTCATCGTTGTCGAGAGATTATCAGCTGCCGTCACGGGCTGCCATGAGGTTCACTATCACTCAATATTGCAATACTAGTCAGGCGTGCACTCTGGAATATCGCAAATCTGCCTGCACAGTCCAAAGAAAAGGGTTGCCCGTCTGCTCTGGTATCTGACCCCCATCTAAGCGTCTTAATCTGGATATTCGCATTGTACAAGCTCGGAAACCTTTTCAGTGCCTCGAAGTTGTGGGCCCCTCATGCGAATGTGGGGTGGTGACATGGCCTCTATCGCATAGACCTCGTGGACATCCTCCCTGCATTCTGTTGGATCTAAGGTCTCTACTGCACAAACACGGTTGGTATCTTGGGACAAATCGCGACTAGGCTTCTGGTTCCGTTGAGCCGTATGCAGTGGACGCAATGAGTCTTAGGCGCCATAGCCACGTTTGCAACTGCCGCGGAAAGGCAATCATCGAAAGAATGAACACACATGGTTCACAAACAATGCACTAACGACCATAGTTCGTTCTCGTGACAAAGATCGGACGGCTCGCTGCAACTACACCATCGTGCGTCTGGGCTAAGTAGTCAGTAACAGCAGCCTTGATCTGTAAGATCGTGCACATGCTGGTGATTTGACATGAGATGCGTCGAAGCGGTCAGTGAATATGCATCCAGGCATACTTTTTCTGTCTTTGAAGGTCGCCAAACAGTTCTCTGAGAGTACATCGCAGATTATCAACGGCATACTCTGTAGACATCACGGTTGCGTACACCTCAGGAGAGTTGATCGGCATTCACAGCAGTACCTATGGGATTCCTATCAGTCCCCCAATGGGGCCAGATGGCGCTGCCTCTCTGCCGCCGCAACTAACGACTGCTTACCTGCAGCTTCGACACCAACTACTGTCCGGCGGCCCCGAAAGCCATCATCCATCCGAGCAGGATACTGTCGCATGATAATCACTACATCGGTCTTGGGTTACACGGCACTTGGCTAACAGAGTGTAGCACAGCTGCACTTCGCCTGCCCTAGCCACTCGAGTCGACTGACCCTCGAATGCGAATGCGGCCAGGTCCAGATCCACCAGACTTCCAACCCCGTTATTGTTGCTGTAAATATTGGTCACAGCTCTTCCCGACCGCCCCCACTTTGCACAACAGCTACTCCACATGAACCACTCCGCATGGATCACGTTGCGTAGAACGCAAGCTTACGATCGTTGAGCAGCTTCGCCGACTGCAAGATCAGTCCGAGAATCACTGTATCATACACGTGTTTCTCATGATGCATCACAACCGAGAGTTGATACATCACAATCGGAAGTCGGCGATAAGCGTATACTGAACTCTCAGCCGGAATGTGGCCTCATATGAGCCAAGAAAGTATGATGTATGTACGCAGCTGGCCACTGGTTGTACAGAACGACATGATCCCTGGAGAAAGCGATGCTGCATAGCCGGCGTCGAGCGAACCCGCAACTCCCTGGTCGTCATTGGCTGCAAGACATTGTGGCAGAACTACGATGATTTACGTTGGGCTAGCCAAGTGGCCAGTGCAATGCAGCTGATGCCAAAGCTGATGCGTTTGTATTGGCAGAAGAAGCAGATCAACAGGCACTCTCTCGCCCAGCTGAGACAAGAAGCACACCACAGCACTGCCAGGTACCTATCCAAGCACTCGAAGCCTTTACAGCCCGCCAAAAACGAGGTGAACGCCCTTGAAGGATTCTAACGCTGCGTTCCCCACGATAGCGTATAAAACGATGACTGTTGATTGGCTTAATTACGTACGGTTCCCACAACTCTACCATGGTACGATCTTCCAGCGGCGTGAACCGGCCGCACACTCTTAATTCGCCGTACGGCTGCCGACAGTACACTTGCTTTTCCGTCAAGGCGATTGCCCGCCAGGACCAGTTGAACGTGCGGTGGGGCAGATGCTTCCTTCCTTGTTCAGTGTCGGAGATCAGGGTCCAAACATTCCTGATCATTGAGGTAAGAGCCTTCAGCAAGCTTAGTTCCTACACTACTTTTTCAAGTCTTACCATGAGCTTGTCACTCTTGGGTGGCGCAGTATACGAATCCATCTGCTCGATGCCGTTATCGTCAACGATCGTGGTACTGTAGTTGGAATACAGCGCTACGATGATGTACTTCATCTCTGGCTTCAGTCAGTGTCTACCATCGATGTCTTGGGAACGGACCACCCAAAAGCAACCATGAAGGATCAGCACTTACGATATATCGCCAAGTGACTTCCAACGCACATGCGTCCGCCACTGTCCATCATAGTAAGCGTCAAAGGTCAACGTGCTTCGAGAAGTAGTACTGACCTTCCAAAGGCCCAAAACCACCGGCTCTCCATATCCCTCCGCTTCTCCTCGTCTAGCTTCTCGATGTCCAGCCATCGCTCTGGCCTCCACTCGTTTGCGCGCTCGAACACTTCCTCGTTGAGGTGCAACAAGCCCGCGCTTGCGCTCACCCTTACTCCACTAGGAATGTGGTACGAAGCCTCTTCAGGCCCAAGTTGACAGCCTTGCGGCGGCGTGAAGCGTGGCTGTGGGCCCGGGATGGCCGAATGAAGACGCAGGGTCTCCCATATGACGGCATGGAGGAATGGTAGGCTGTCTACGGCCTTAGCATCAGGCAGTGTTGGCGCGGATGACGGTATAAGCTGTGGCGAGAGACCAAGCAGCTCAGCTCGAAGACGGGCCTGGATCTCCGGATGTCGCGAGACCTCGTGAACAACGTAGGCCAGTGTTATCCCGGACGTATCGAAACCGGCCGCAAGATGGTCAAGCACCTCGCTCGCAATTTGAGTCTGTAGTGTGCTCTGCCCGCCCTCCTTTGCGGCTTTTGCCATGGTGTTTTGGAGCTGCTGCCACACCACAGGTCGATCCTCGATCTGTGTGTCGCCTGCGCTCGAGACAGTACTAGCATCGTCGCACATCCTCACCGTCCACTCCTCGATCTCACCGTTCGCCTCATCGACCCACTTCGGTGTCAATCGGTAGCCAAGCCACTTCTCCACAAAGCTAGTAAATCGTGGGAACTCCTGCGGCCAGAAGTTGTAGGATCGACGCGAGTTGTACAAATCCAAAAACCACGCAAGCTGCTTTCGGTCATCGATTAGGTTCGAGCCTGCCTTGAGCCCGAATATGAAGCACGTCACAATGTCCATTGTAGTCGCACTGAGCAGGGCGTAGATGTTTAGGACGCCCTTCTCAGACTCGGCAAATGTTGACTCCAGATATGGCAAAAAGCGCTTGTAGATGATGGCAGAGGTCTGGCCCAGCAGTGCCTCGCTTGCCGTGACGTGAGACTTGCTATAGATGTTGCTCAGCATCCGTTTTCTCTGCGAGTGCGGCTTGTTGCGTCCAGTCGAGAACATGTTGTCGACTCTAATATGAGTCAATAAACGCACGGCCGGTCATATGACAGTGCTCACCCTCCATAATTCGAAAAGAAAGCATACCAATTGTAACCATCCTTGGCACTGCTTTTCTCGAACCCCCCGGCATACACGTCTCGGATCCCTCCCTTGACGCAGTTCACGCTGATCTCGCTGGGTCCCAAACATACGATTGGGCCCAAGCGGTCATGCGCTGCCTTGAGTGTCGCATTCTCAATACCCCGCCAGCGAACTGAATGCACCCAGAGTGAAGTGAAATGCGCCAGCGGATGAGCAGCGGGGACCTTGCGCAATGGATTGCGCGCATAGCTAGCGAGCACTTGAACAATAATGAGAAGTAGGAAAAGGATACTCAGGGCGGAAATCGACAGGCCAAGCATCGTGTTGTAACGTGCCACAGATTTGAAAAGCAAGTGTAGAGGCGTCTTCGAGAATGCAGGAACGCAAAAGAAAAGGCAGATGTCAACAACGCCTTGCGAACGACAGCGCTAAACTCGGGCTCTGTCCCGCTTCGATCGGGTTATCCTACTCTGACATCCCCGCAGCACATCACCCTTATCGCGACCCGGTCTAACCGTGGCGGGACTAGTGCCCTCAGCCCTATCCGTCGCTATCCAGCCACGAACATTTTCAGCCTCCATCAAGTCTCAGCACGCGAGTCGAGAGCGATGTTGGATGTCTGGCAAAGGGGCTCACGACAAAGGTGTCACCAAATTCGATCATTGCGTGCTCACAGGCTTGGCATGCGGTATCGGCACCCCAACGGGGCTTCAGGTTGCACCAGTCACTAGGGAAATGCAATGCAACGCGCTGCACTGCGATGCAAGGAGGAGCGAAAGCGGCGAGTTACATCAAAGATGGAGTTTATCTTTGGGGAACGCCGGTGTTCGGCATCCTGTACCAGCGACAAGCGGGAGATCGTGTTATGCTTACACAGACCGTATGAGATCGACGTTGAGAGCATGGCAGATCATACTGGGCATGGAGTAATGAGATGGGAATTTGATATGCTGTGTGATATCATAGGGTTTTGGGCTATGTGTAGAGCTGGGAGGAGATCCAGAGTCATGCTCACTTTGGAAATGCCATGGAGACCGATAGGTGACGGGCTGTGCGCTGTAGCACGACATGTTCGGTAAATGATTTGTGTCCGCTGTGGTGCGAGGATCGGTACGGGATACAGCATAGAAGCCCGGGACTCTATGTCGAGAAGGTCAATTGGATATCTCGCGCGAAGAGAGAAGGAGTAAGATCTGGGTCAGTGCATGAGCGATATACCTTCGCGCTCAAAACACGCACTCCTGTTCTGCGTGAGATATGAATTCATAGTTATCCCATCTCACACACCTGATCAATCCTCAACTCTGAAAGTTGAGCCTGGTACCATACGCTTCCGTCGTCTCATCTCTGCCATTGTTCGTCGCATGCGCATCCAATAGTGAACTCGTAACGCCCCAGGAAATGATACCACTGGTCATATACCCCAGAATTTACTGGCGCGCTTCATCGGCGGGTCTAGTCCTAAATGCAGAGTTCTGCTGACTCGCCGCTCTCCTGTTGAGGCACCAATATATTCTTCACGTTGAATTCATATACTGACGTAACAACATGGTCTAGAGCGGGAACATAGAAAACAACGTGGAAGGGAAGATGTGATGCTTATATGCTATTATTCGTGTTTTAATGAAAGTAAGGCAGTGCTATGCACGGGTGGTGTGTTTGTGTCAGCAACATCCGAAACTCACAGCATCATCATTCAGTAGTCTTGATCGTCAACAGTAAATTGCGAAATTTCAATGGACAATGGTTCATTCAACGTGAGGCAAAACGTAAGAATGTACCATTGTGGAAGCAAATACACACACTCCATGTATGCATGTCGTGCCAACAGACTCTACGGGTACAGGTAGACGGCTTTCGAGATTTCAAGCATCTTTTGTGGAGACGTTCTCAAGTAAGCAGCTGCTCATCGAAAGGAATAGCGATGAATGTTCGGAAGTAAAGTATGACATGCCAACGAGCCTTTGATCAATCACGTCCTTATTGGTGTAAATCACAATGGTGGGTAATGCATTCGAGCTGCCCAGGCTGAGTAAGATGTCCTATTAGGTTAAGTAAGCATGCTGCCCACATTAGTATATGACCATACGATGACAGTCAGCTCCAATATCTGCAGACATTCAAGAAGATTGGGTCACACAAGGTGACATTGGGTTAAGCTACGTCGATTAAATCGCCTGTATATGATTAATTCGGTCCAATGTTGCAGGGACCGTCGACACTAGGAATGAGAATCATCACCAGGGTAGTGGGTAGGTGCAAAAACCTGTCTTTCGATTGTCGTGACTAGCTACCTAGGGGTATAGGAATTCCCAGTTGCAGCATCGCAACCACACTGACACAACACGCTACTTAGCTACCTAGCTACCCGGCGCATTCCCAATCCACCAATGTCACTATATTTGCATGTCCACCGCGCCAACTTCCGGAGGCTTTCCATGATGACATCGCTTCCACAGTCTGCAGGAGTATTTAGCCGAGTATATGCGCAGCATGTGGAGACATAGCAGCACACTTCGGATCTGTATTGCCACCTAGCTCGAGCGCCCTGGGGCTATCAGCCAGGTCAAGCGCGTTAAGATAAGTGCATGGTGGAAGGTGGAGCAGAAATGAGGAGTATGATTGAAGTTTAGAAGAAAGAGAACTAGGAGGGCATCATCACTACTCGTCGTTCAATGCATGGATTACCAGCAACAACTGCAAAATGCAAACACCACCTCAAAAACGTCATACCCACACATCACTAACAAAAGAAGTCGAAAGAAGAGACATCTCCAGAGTTAAAATTGATATGTTGATTAACGCCTCCCTTCGTCCTCCCATTCGCTGTCCCAAGGTATCTCCGTAATGCATATACACCAAAATTCCCAACCTGCGCACAACTGTGATACTACAAAGAAGCGAAACCCTATTTCTCCGCGCTGAGATCGATAAAAAAAAAAGAGAATAGAGAAAAGGAGGTTCGGTGTCATATCAGACCCGCGCCTTTAGAGCCCAGATGAACATCAACACCGACACCAAAGTATTACAAGACGTGGTCGAAGAGAAGAGAACAAAAGGTGTTCAACGACAATAATCACGCGTCTTGCATGATAATATCATCATCCTCCTCCCCCTCAGCATCAACATCCATATCCCCCTCTTCCTCATCATAATCGCCATCGGCATCAATATCCTCATCATGCTCCTGTTCCTCTTCAATCGGCAACGCTTTGCCTTTCCCCTTGAAGTCAATGCTACCCCTCGAGCTAGCAGAGCTTCTTGTGCTCCTCCTCCCATTAACAACAACAGCTTTAACAGCGCCGCCGTCTGAGACATCGTCCCCGTTTGTGACGCTTTCGCCGAGGCGGCTGCGTGTACGCCGGAGGGAGATAGTACCTGGTGTGAGGGCGCCGTTCGCGGAGGGCGACATGAGGGCTTTTGCGCCGCGGCTGGGCGAGAGTTGGATTTTGGATACAGGGGCTGTGTGAATGGAGAGGGAGGTGTTGCGGATGCGGTTGGGAGTGCTGGTACGTCGGCGGGAGCCAAAGGGGCGACCGGGTCGGCGGCGCTGCGCAGGTTGCCCTGGAATGGGTGGGAAGATTTCGTAGCGCGAGGGTGGGATTGCGGGTTCGTCCATGTGGGAGCCGGCGAGTGCGACGGTGGAGCCGTTTGCGAGGGGTGTGCCAGGGGCTGGTGAGCCGCCGTTGATGGAGTCTTCGGCGGGGTGGGGGCCGTCTGCTTCATCGCCTGTACCGTTGGCTTTTGCTGCTGCCATTTGTACACCTTCTTCGGGTGCGGGCTTGTCTTCTTCTTCGATTTCGTCGCGCTGTTGCACTGTCTGCAAGGCTGGTCCATCTTCGTATTGACCTAAACGGCCCATGACGTACGGTGTCCATATCAGACAGTCTGGGTTGATCTTTGGGTTGCCTGCTGCATTGCATTTCTCAATGTATGACTTGAAGTAGTTCAGATCTAGTCGCAGCGCGTACTTCTTCGTGACAGGGTCGCGCACGAGAGCTCGTAGGCCTTCCAATGCTGATACAATGTCATCAGGTGTCATGCCGGTGCGATCTGATATGGCCGATATGCTGATCGCAGCCTTTTGTTGGAGTAGTTCCTCACACAGGACAAGCCGCCAGTATTTCCGATAACTTACCAAACCCATGTCACTGAGAGGTTTCTCGGGGCTTCCAGTCTTTCTCTCCACGCGGGTCAAGAGGTAGGAGAACTCGATCAGGTACTGTCCGTAGCCTTTGCGCATGTGAATGGGAAGTACGAGAATACAAGAAACGTTGTTGAGCGAGCTGGGCCGTTTCTCTTTCGAAAAGTAGCCGACGAAATGACACCCGAAGTTGTCATTTTCTGTCATGACGTAGAATAAGAAGGGCTCGACATCGTAGTATAGCGTCTTGGAACCGAGGAACAACTTGGCGAGCAAACAGAGATTCTGGCAGTACACTGGATTCTTTCGGCCATCGACTTCGAAGAAAGAGTACTTGCCGTCGCGGTAAATCTCGTCGCCAGGAGGGTGCTTCGCTGGACATTTAAGCTGTGGTTGTTAGTATATGGTCTTGGAAAGAAGTCGAAATGCTTACCTTATGCCGCCATGCCACATAATCCGAGTTCATGTACTTGAGACAGAACTCGCATATGTAAAGCACCCGATTCTTGCTGTACTCTTCGGGATATGGCGCAGCGTGCCAGGTGTCGATCTCCCAGCCACCGAAATTGACGCATTTGATCTTGCTCGCCGTGGTTGCTTGCTTGTGCGACCGGAGTGGTTCGGGCGGGTAAAGTGCGGCCTGCTTCACTTTCCATTCTTCTTCAGCCTTGATACGAGCATCGTCGAACCGCTTCCGGTCGGCGGGCGAAGGATAGGTCTTGGATGTATCGGCATCGGCTTCTGAAAGTACACCACCGTAGGGCTTGCTCTTGACCTCGTCTGGCTCCCTGTCGGTGAAGCCTGCGAACGGAGTGGCATTTTGAATGTGTATTGTTGGGTAATGCAAGACCTCTGAGGATTCTCGTGCAGCCTGTGCAGCTCGACGATTTCTTTCGCGACGTTCTCTATCCCTCTCGCGCCGCCTCTCCTGTCGCTCTTGCTCGCGCGTGAGTGTCTTCACTTTGGGCTTGGCGGTGACAATCTTCTGGACTTTCTCGTTGTTGAGATGGAAAGCGATAATCAGGCTCCCAGGTTGAGCCTCTTCGATCCATGCGAGTGGTCGTTTGTCAGTCCTCTTAGGCTGACCACGACGTGCTCGCGCTGGTCGTAAGCGCCCTGCCTCTCGATCTGAACCAGTGTGCTCTGCCTCGCCTCCACTTTCGTGACCATCCGTCATGACGCTACGAGCACTTCGTACGCTTCTTGAAGGTGGCCGGGGTGAGACTGCAGGCACTGATGGCGCCGCATCTGAGTTGGATGCTTCGGAAGGTCTCCGCTTCTTCCGTGTTTGCCTCGACGGAATCGGCGCTTCCTCTTCCTGCGAAGTCTTGCGTTTGCGAAGCGAACGTAGTCCATCTGCTGGCTCGTCGGGAAGAATTAGCTCTTTGAAGATTGAATGTCCTTCGGGATCGACCCCACGATGTGAAGGGAGCAACTCCTTGGTCAATTTGTTCAAAGACGAACGTCTCCGACGAGTAGAAGGCTCGTCAGCCTCTTCTTCTGCTTCCGTTGGGAAGTTGTTGATACATTCCTCGCAGCGCCAAAGCTTTGCATCTATTCGTCGTTAGTAAGGTGCGGTTCGGGCCTGACAAGGGGACATACCGTCATCGGGACTAAGCGTATTAGCGTCACGGGCGCATTGCCGATGTGCTGGACCAACAACGTGTGAGTAACCACATCGTAAGTCGAACCTCCCAACTGAGAACTCACCATTGTCTCCGCACTGGGCGCAAGAGAGGTATTCCTCGAATTCCGGGCTGGGGTCGTTGTCCTCGTCTAATTTGCAGTATCTGCTTATTTAGTAAATGTTTTTACAGGTTCAATCTTCTCGGGCGATACTTACATGCACACGTTGGGGTTGTTCGACTTGATAATTTCATCCTCTTCACCACCATCGCTCTCCTGCCATTGGTTTTCTTCTTCGGAATCAAGGTTACTTGACTCGTCGCTGTCGCTGGACTTAGCATCGGAGGATTCCCTTGCGACATCGTCGCCGTCATAGTCCTCTTCCTCATCGTCGGACCTGGGTCGACGCAATGCGATCTTGACAGCGCCAACAGGCTCAGCTTCGTCCTCGTCGTCGTCCACATCTTCACCCTCTGCATCCACATCTTCGCCTTCGGCATCCACATCCTCGCCCTCGGCATCCATGTCTGAGCCCTCAGCGTCTGTTGTATGACCTTCAGCATCGGGCATATTCTCGATAGCCGGGCCAGGTGCGTACTCTATATCGTCCATTTCATATTCGCCATCCGCATCGATGTCGTCTGGGTCGGTATTGGCCGCGGCTTGGCCCATGATTTCCGCCATTGCGAAGTTGACGGCAGAGGCCACCTTGGAGGCAAAGTAAGCCACTGTCGCAGTCCGAGTGGTATAGGCCCTAGAACATTGGTTGCGCGAGTGGTAGCAGCCGCGGAGGCTCTCTCATGCAGTAGTTGGTGAGCGCGTCGTGCTTGTGCCCTAGCGCGTTGTTGTAACCCGTGAAACTGTTTGCCGCGTGTTTTCGACTGATGTGTATCGTGAAATGACTTTTTGCGGTACTGAATCGCCAGAGGCAGATGCGGCGGTCTCGTAGTCGCGTTGGTCGTGACTGTGGGGAAGGCGGAGGTGCGATCGCGGCGGAGGCAATTATTTCGGAGGTATGGCGGCTGAAGGTTGCGGGTTTCGCGCCTCGTATGAAAGGGTGAGTCTGTGCGACACCGAGAATAATTGTCGCTCGGCAGGAAATGGTATGGGCGATGCGCTGTCGTCGTCCGAAATGACACCCTTGGTGTAGTCGGGGTCGCCGCCAAGGAGCAGTTGACGCACGGCCGCCGCACCTCACTTCACGCCGACGGCACCTCCAACCAGTCCGCACTGATAGCCCACCCCGCAACACCACCGCGCCTGAATACACTACCGCAATCATGGGTGTCCCATTCGAGGCTTTGCTGCCCTATGCCATTATGACGGGTGTGAGTGATTGGCGCGCCTGGGAGTGAAAGGCTGCTAACACGAGGGCCAGTTCTTCGCATTCAGCGCCGTGTCTGTCGGAAAGCTCAAGGAGATGCAGAACGGAGGGAAGAAGACGAGGAGGGGTATCGACCAATGGGACAGGGTAGGTTGCGAGAAACATACGCGCACCAGGAGAAAGCTAACATGTGTACAGCAAAGTACGACAGCTTCACAATGACCTCATGCGATATACTTACGAGACCCAGTGATGGAGCGCGACCGCCGGCTGACAGGATTCATGCGCGGACAGACAGACAAGCCGATTGCTCCGGAAGGCTTCGAGCTCAACAACCCATGGAGGGTGCGTATAAAGGTGCTGGGCTATGGGAAGATGCTAACCACAGGCAGTGCGAGAAGCGATTCCTCTAGACGATGCGAGACACTCCGACACAGCATACAACATACCCAATAGTAACTACATCGCGCTGGGAGGGTCTACGGCATGTACAGCAATAGTAGGCATGCGAGCAATCAACAATTCTCAATGTTCAGTACTGGTGTCTACTTGATTTCTGATGGCAGTCCGGCAATGCCCTCGCGCTCCACGTCTCTAAACTTCATTCCGAAGTACTTCTCAAGCGCCTCTAGTCTCTCTCCCTCGCTCTTGAACTCGATTTCCTTGGTTTTCTCGCCTTTCATGTTCCACTTCAACGACGCCGCCGCCAGGCTCATCTTCCCTTCCAACTCCCCATCATCACCGAGTATCTTCTTATCCACCACTACCATTTGCGTGAAGAACGTATGCTTGCTGGTGGAAGTGTAGTAGCTCATGACTGCGTAGTCTTGAGGCTGGAATTCTAGCTCACTGTATGAGTATTTGGTCTCCCAGTCGCTCTCGTCATTTCTCCGGTATTCGTAAACCCAGAGGCGCTGGTTGGGGTCAGTGTTGCCTGCAATGTTGCGCCATTGGAGACGGGCCGACGCAGGCTGGATGTGCTTTTGGACTGTGCCCGAGCGGTCAAGAGGCATTGGCACGACAGGGCCGTCAGCCCCGAAGCCGACGTCGACGTGGTACTTGGTGTCGCCGATAGTGACAAAGTTCACCATATGCGACCAGCCCGTCCAGCCGTCAGCAGCCCAAACTCTACATCCGCCTGAATACAGGGTAAACCCCAGCGAGTTCAACAGCGTCCCAAACAGTCTGTTGTTCTCCATGCAATATCCACCGCGTCCATTGTCGTCATCAATAATCTTCTTGAACAATTCCTCCGGATGGACAGAGATGGAATGATGGGCCGAGTAATGCAGGGTGATGTTCTCAAAGGGTACAGCCGCTAGCTGCAGCTTTTGGAGCAGTGCAAGATACTCCAATGCGCTGTTAGGGTCCAGACCGGCTATATCATACTTTCTCTCTTGGTCAGGCAACCCCAGGCGGGCGAAGTATTTTGTTATTTGGTCTTTGGTGTAGGTTGCGCGTGCGCTCATGTTGTTGACTGACACGGATGTTATCGATAGCGGAGTGCAGATCCGAATTTGGCATGGGGCGATCGACGAGTGACGAATGCGGCGAACTGAGACGCAATCAGATGGGAGAGGCACTTTCACCGCGAGAGGCACTAGAGTCACTGCAGAGAAATATTTCACGCGGGGCACGCTACGAGACGCCAGCTGTGGTGTCGTCAGGAGTGCGCAGCGAATACGAGACGAGAGCGCGGGATGGTGGGGAATGTCTTGATGGGCGGTGCCTGCCAAGCGCGCATGAACGCGTGAACTCCCGCCGGCTAGTGGCTCATTCACCCCTTGACGGGCGCAGTCCAGTCCAGTGCTAGAGTGCTAGAGTAGCGTCTCCTGAGCCAACTCTCCAATTGCAACCATGTTGAGCTGCTCGCCGTGAGCGCGCCCACCACCCCCGCTGGCTGCGCGAGTATTACTGTTGGGCGCTCCCGTCGCCTTCTCCATCCGGTCATTTATAATCCCCCAACGCCCCGAGTCGCCGCGTCGCTCGCTCAGATTCAAAAACATGACCACCAATGGCCTGCGCACCCAGTACCCCTACGCCGGGGACACGCTCAGTCCCCGCGCCCTCTATGACTTTCCCTCGCCGACGTCCAACTACCAGTCTGGCATCAACGGCACTGCCTCGCCCAGCTTCTTCCCCATGGCCTACCAGATATCCCCGCGCTTCGGTGCCAGCGCCTTCATACCGCCCCCAGAAGTCTTCGTAGACGGCCGCAGGGAGACCATCCGCGAAAACGGCGTCTACACACCGCGTAACTCTGGCAAGCGAAACTCCGATGCGCTGAATACCGACCCCGTGGCCATGCATCTGCTTGTTGAGACGGCAATCGGAGACAGCCAGTATTTCGACATACTCTCAGTTGAGGAGGTGGAAGCGCTCAAGCAGGAGCAGAAGAGCCTGGACACACGTCTGGGCACTGTCAGACGGAAGCTGGAGTCGGAGACGAAGATCCGCGATGCGACGCGCTCACTCGGACGACTGGCCTCGAAGAAGGCAAACGGACACAAGCGCGGGCAGAGCAGTAAGAGCAGCAAAGGCAGCAATACCGTGCAGGATTACGACCCCAAGACAGAGGAAGGGCTTGAATCAAGCAACAAGAAGGTCGAGGAGTTCATTCGGGAGTGCCTGGAGATAGAGTCTCGCATGCGCATGATCGATATGCAGCTGCTGATGCACACTGCTGCTGTACTGCAGCTTACGCACAAGGGACCCAAACAGCGTCAAGACGACTCTGAAATGTCAGAAGACCGCTTCCGGAGACCAGACAGCCCCGCAAGCCTCAATACCTACGAAGACGGCAGACTCAACGGCGCTTTCGACGAGCGCAGCTTCTACAGGACACCGGAGAACCTCGACAACCTCATGAACGTGCTGCAAACCGGCAAGCACCTCACAGCCTCCTCAGAGCGTCATGACCAAGCCTTGAATGCGACTGCCACGCGTCTCCAGGAGATTAACGAGCGTCTAAGATCTCTCATCATCGAGGCAAACCCCGAGCGCGACGAAGACTATTCACTGCCGCCGCTGGCTCTCGAAGGAACGCCGGATGCTTCAACCCTAGATCGCCAGCTCGATTTCCTCGACCAGGGCCTCCGCAGCATCGCCGCTGAACAGTCCAACATCCGCAACAACTCAAGGCATACTCTGAGCGAAGTCGAGGGCCGTCTGGAGGGCATCAACAACCAACTCTATGCGGTAATATCTCGATCCGAAAACGAACAGTCCGACAAGATCCCACCGCCACCTGCCATCACTGGTGGTGGTTCTACCGAACAGCTCAACTACATGGAAGACTCCTTCTACAACCTCGAGCAGATCCAGTACGCGATGAACGAGCAAATCAGCCAACTCCGCTCGAGAGCTCCTGCTGTTGACGAGTCCGAGAGCGCTGAGAAGGCTGAGAAGTACGAGACTACAATCATGGGCCTCTGGCAGGTCATCCTCGCTGGCGAAGAAGAAGCACGCGAACGCAAACGTGAACGACGTCAATTACTTGCTGAAGATCCCGATGCCAATGAACAAGTTTCGCCAGACGAGGACTTCAACGCTAACGAGACCTACTCTCTTACTGCCTTCTCTTCCAAGGTGCAATTCCTGTTCCGTCGGGCAACTAGTCTTAAAGACAAGCAATCGGTCCTGATGCGCCAGATCAAGCAGCAACGTGAACTGAACAGCAAGTCAGACGCACAGAAAGAGGCAGAATTCGAGCGACTCAATACCAATTTGCTCAGCGCGAGATCTGAGAAGAAGTCCATGGAGGGTGAGCTCGAGCGTGCAATGGAACAGCTACAGCAATTCGATGAGCAAAAGATCTCGACTGACACACAGATCTTGCACGAGACGCAGGAGCGGAACGCTGGTCTGGAGGCTCAGCTTATCAACGTACAAGAGCGAGTGATGGCATTTGAGACTGAATTGAAGGAGGCCAAGCAACGTGCTGTCGCGTACGAGAACCAGCTCAAGGACGTACAAGAGCAGGCTGTAAACTTCCAGAGCAAGATGCAAGAGGCTGAAAAGCGTGCGGCCACGTTCGAGGAAGAGCTGAAGGATCACCAGGAGCGCAACACCGCATACAATGTCTCGTCACAAGAGGCCGAGCAACGCACTGCTGGCTACGAAGCCCAGGTTCGGGACGCGCAGGAACGGGCTCTCATGTTGGAGGCCAAGTTGAGGGATGCCCAGGACGATGCCCGTACCGAGGCGACAGCGATCCAGGCTCAACTTGCCAGCTCCCTGGAGAAGATCACAGAGACTACAGCTGCTCTCGAAGCTGTAACTGCCCAGAAGCAAGCTGCCGAGGCTCGCTCTTTGGACGCAACCAACACCCTCAATGCAAAGGAGGAAGAATTCCGCAACCTCGAAGGCGAGATCGTTCGTCTCACAACCGAACTCACTTTCGCCAAAGCAGAGCTAGATGGCGCTTACGGTACGCGCGCGCAACGTGCTGCCGACTCCGCCGCCAACCCGGCCATCAAGCGAGAGCTCGACGAGCTCACCGAGCAGAATCAAGCGCTCCTCGGCGAACTTGAAGCACTGCGCAAGGTGCAAGATGTGGCCTCTCAATCCGAAGCTGAAGCCCGGCAATCCGAGCGCAACCTCAAAGCCGAGTTGTCTGGTATGGCTGCCGAGTACGAAGCCCTCACCCGGGACGCCATTCAAAACGAAAAGGACCGCGAAGTCCTCGAAGCGCAAATCGACAAGCTGCGTGACGAAAAGGAAGCTCTGGAGCGCGAGCTCAGTGACGAGAAAGTCAAGTGGCTTGGGGTTAGGAGTCCTGGGCCCGGCATGCCGAATGGCGCTGCTGCACAGCTTGACATGGGTGCGACTAGTATCCGCATGTTGAGAGAAGATTTTAGGAAGATGATGAGGGATCGGACGGCTGAGGGGTTGAAGGCGCTGAGGGTAAGTCAATCCCATGCATGACTCTTTCGCAGAACGCTAACATTATACAGGCGGAACAAGAAGAACGACGAAAGCTCGAAGCCGTTGTTCGTCAGCTACGCAAAGATGCTATGCCACAACGTTCTCAACTCTCCCGGACTATGACGACGCCACAATAACGCCGAGTCGCTTGACTGCATCGCCATGTTACGTCTAACTTCACTTCTCTTTCTCACACTTTGTATTTCTATATACCCACTTTGTACCTTTCTGGACCCGTTATCATTCACGCATTATACGCGGAGTTTGGGACTTGCATTGCAACACATGTACTGGCGTTGCATCGCTGCTGCTATAGTGGAAAGCATATCTGCATATAAAGTAATGTATACGCTGTGTTTTCCATTGGAATGGCATTAGCATAAGATCGCAGACGAATCTGGCATTTGCTGTTCCGTTGTGATGGGCTGTCCATGTAGTGAGAAAAAGCATCAAATGCTAGGTGACCATGTGTCGTCTTTCGTCCTGCACGACGTCTTCTTCTAGAGTCAAGATATTAGCCATTGCCCAGAACTCCAAGAAGAAGATGTAGGACGCCTTACAGAATAGACGTTCCTAGCGCCCCCACATTCCCCAAAGCCGCCGCATATTCGGACCGCAACACACCATGGTCTACCCTTCACCAACCTCACAAACTGCCGTGATACAACGTCATTCAGGTCAAAGATCGATCGAACGAACTGTCACAGGGCTGCCTTCCACTAACAACTTGTGTAAATTCCCTAGTTTGCCTCCGACATCTGTGAGCCTCCCATGCGGTATCAGTATCGTCTTCCGAAGTGCGGCCTTATCGAAGAGATAGAATGCGTATATCTCCACTTGCAATACATACTCCCCTGTACATGGGTGGCCTTGAGTGTAGTCTTATGGCGAGATAGTGCGAGTTGTCAGCGCTCAATTCTCCGAGTATTCTGCCACATGGGCAGCCTGAAGGACCGGTACAGTGGCTGTGTTACGTCTTCGGCGATCAGGTTCCCTTCGTCATTGGCCATCCGCTGTCTTTAATATGAGGAGTTCTATGGCTGTTCCATCGTCATGCTCGCCGATTAACTCAAGAAGGTCCCCGGGCTGACACCGAATCTCTCCGGCGAGGTCGTTGAAGCTTCACGATGTGGCTGCCTTGGAGGCCTAAGTGAAGATTTCAAACGGATGGCTATGGCGATGTGGGAGGTGAGATGGGTATAAATGCGTAGATGGAACTCACATCCAAGTACTTCACATCTACAGTCATCCCACACCATCCAGCAACCCCCATCCCCACGCCCATCCAACCCACAATCCAAAATGAAACTCTCAACCCTCCTTACAACCCTCACCCTCGCCACCCTCGGCAGCAGCACCGCCCTTTCACCCCGCTCAACATTTACCTGGACCTCCTGGGTCGACAGCCTCATCGCCGACCCAGCGCATGCCATGTCGCCCTCAGAAGCTCTCGCCGCCTTCAACGCCGCCAACCCCAATCCCAATCCCGACCTCTCCACCTCCCCCGACACTGACGATGCTAACTTGGACAAGCGCCAAGCATTCGCCAACTGCCAACAGCTCTCCTCCCGACCTCCTTCTGTGCCCGACGCAGTGGCTTGTATCAACGATCTAGCGGGTAGGGGTAATGCGGGGCAGGCGTGTAATGTTGATGGGTACACCGCCAGGGTGCAGTGTAGATTGGGGAGTGCGGATGTGGTTAGTGTTAAGGGGAGGGATGATGCGCCTAAGAGTGTGAATTGGTGAGTTGTGATTCTCTTTTCGTTATGATAGTGTGAGGGTGACGATGTGGACGGTGCGCTGACTTGTGGCTTTAGCAATGACATCGCGAGGTCGGCTGGTGTTATCATGGATCGATGTACGAGGGGCGATAACACGGTTTCTGGGGCTGCGTATATACCTCAGGGGGGTGTTGCGGTGCAGATTCAGGGTCAGTAGATGGGGGTGTGAGGGGCTGTCGGTGGAGGTATCTTTGGATTGAGTTGATTACAGGAAGCACGTTACTATCCCAACATTGGCTTGTATGATCATTTTGATGAGAGTTTTGTCAACTACAACGTCGAAGGCATCACTGCGGTACTCGAGCAATCAGTGTTCCCACATGTTCGTACTGCAGACCTGTGATCGACACTCTGTGTGGCAAGTATCTTTGTCGAATTGTGAGCAACTATCACGATACTCTCAATCACAAGATTGGAAGGACTAGAAATCTGTCGAAAAGGCATAAAATACAAGGCCATGTAACCATCCGCTAGACAACTCGGTGAGCCTCAACAACATGCACGTGCGTAAGAAGACGCCATAGTACTCGTAAGAACGACCTAAAATGCTTGCATACTCAGCAAATCTCTCAACTCATCCAACTCCCAAAGATCATGATAAGTACAGCGATCATCGCAGTCATCAAAAGAAACACCAAACTCTCCCCAACACATCCCAAACGAGTAACCCCATCAGGATGCTCCCCACCTTCCCCTCACCCACCATCCCGATGCAGACACCCTCACACCACTACAACAGCCTCTCTCCACAAGCCGGGGAAGGCTGTCATGCTTTTTTGATGAGTCGGGTACCGCGTCCAGGTCAGTTGGCGGTGTGTAGTGTCACGTTCGGGAATTTGGAATTTTTTGTTCTGGAGGGGTCTCATCACGCTTTTTCCCAACGGGTCGGAAACGTGGAACATGTTGAACGGCTGGCTACATCCTGCGTTGTTCCTTGCATTGCAGACGCCACTTTCATTCTCGTTGGGGTTGCACGGGCGTGCGAGAAGCGAGATAGGGCCGGGTGCACGGACGCATGATGACATGCTGGCGGCTGTTGTTTACCAAAAAAAGAAAGTCGTTTGAGAAAGAAAAGGGGGGAACACGACATGCAACATGGCAAGGAATATGAGTTGCGTTGAAAATTGTCATGTGATTATACTGTCGGTCGCAATTGAATGCACGACTCGACCCTATGCTGTGACTCGATTTACGAAACTAGTCGGAAAGAGTTCTATGATGGCCCAACCTCATCACCAAGCCCCCCCGTCCTCATACAGTAGTGGTAATAGAAGTTATGATACCCAAACATCTGATACTGAAAACCCCAATAAGGCGATGCAGTGGAAAAAAGCGACAAAGGAAATCGTACAACAGATGGCGACTTTGGGTTTACAAGTTAAGGTAAAATAGGCCAACCGAACTATAAGCGGCGGGTAAGAAGCGGAGGGGTATCATGCCGCTGAAATGGGAATGATGTGAGTACTGGAAAGAAAAGTCGTGGCCGAATATGAGAGAATGGTGAAATGGGAAGAAAAGAAAAAGATAGAAGTCTAGTACGTCCCTCCCAGACTGCCCCAGGCAGCCAAAATATCATCACTGACGCTGTCCCTATCCCGATCATTACTCGTCATCCTGGAACTGCTCGTAACATTGGCGTCTGGGCTCAAATGGCGTGCTCTGCCCTTGCTGGCGGGCTTGTAGTAGCTTGATGTCTGCGAGTAGACCGACGTACGGGATTCGGTAGAACGAATGCTGCTCTGCCGACTCCGTGTTTCTATGCTCGCGAGCGCGAGTTCGCTGATGTGTCGCGCGTTCTTCTTCGGCATCTTTGGGAGTGCGGGTTCGACGATACTGGGTGCACGAGACGAGGCCTCTGAAACTGGAGTCAGGTCGCGGAAGCTGGTCGATGTGGGTGGCACCGGGAAGGTCATTTCGGCGTCGCTGGATGCGGTCCTGCGTCGTCGGTGGGAAGATTCGGACTTTGCGCCCACTGAGGGTGCGCGCATGATGCCGTGGTCAAGCATAGCTAGCTCGTCAAGCTCGTTGCTCGTGTCACTGCTTGCAACTTTCACAGCGAAGTCTCTCTCGTCGGCGTAAAGAGCAGGTGTCATCGGCGATGGCAAGGGAGATGGGTGGCTGGTAGTAGTGGGCGATGCGACGCTCGCAGCAAGCGGTGGAGACGGGGGTGACAACATGTCCTGTGGCGAGAACACGGACGGAGTTAGCAGTTGGTGTGACACTCTGCCTCGACTGACAGGCGAGTAGTTTCGATCTGACCAAGTGGTGCTGGCCGAGGTGTCACGGAGTCGACTTGTAGTTGCACGGCTCTCTGTTGTCGAAGATCTGCCGCGTGACGGCGCAATTGAGCAAGGCGCACTCGTGGGTGCTCGGTGTTTGGATCGTGCCTCAACCATACGCGCAGAGCTGGGAGTCATACATTCTGCAAGGGAGGCAGACGTACGATGCGGTGGTGTAGACCGTTTAGTTGGCTTATGTTGATGTCGATCTTGTTCCGGTGTAGAAGACTGCGATGATGCGATCTGCTTGTTCATGGCGGCACGTTTCTTCCTCATCAGCTCCAACAAGGCCTCCTCTTCTGGCGTGACTTGCATGAACTTGCGCGACCCTTCCGACTGGGGCTGCGGCGCGCTGGCTGACGTGCGCGTGCTCACAACACTGTGTGCCGTTGGTGACACTGGCGTGGTAACGGCGGTCTTTGGACGGATGTCGTCGTCTTCGTGAATGATCGAGGGCTGCCTGACGTGGCTGGACAGTCTGCCACCACTGTAGGTGCTGCTACGAGGGTGATGATGTGAAGGAAAAGGCGGTTCCGGTGCATACATGACTTCGATAGTGGCGTTTGTTGACGTTGAAAGTATGCTTAATTTGCCGGAGGACTGCATACGACGATGCGGGGGAAGCTCATAAGCTTGCGCCCGACCGATAACGATCTCCCCGGTGTAGTCGGCACTATCCATGCTCTTGCGGACGCTACCCTTGCGGGATCGTGACCGGTCGTCGACCTCGTCCTCAGATGAGGAGAAAGACAAGACGCTAGAGTCCTGGAGATTAGTCTTGGAGATAGCTGACGTTTTGGTCTTTGCTGAGGTATGTGAGCGATATGTGTCCAAAGAGTACTGGCTAGGTGAGGTCAGATGTGTAATATCGACGATATCCTCAAGCGCAAAACTGTCCCTTTTATACGCTGGTATGGGATTCTGCGGCCGACCATCGCAATGAGCTGCATTCCTTCCTTGCGAAGGCTCGCCAACAGCGGGGACCAGATCTGGCTCAGTCGCGACGCTGTTGTGGAGTTTGGGTTCCAAGTCCAGTATTTCCTCCTGACTGTCTTCACTATCCTCATCGAGTGCATCGAACCAGTGCTGGACGCCCTTTGGTGGACGGCGTACGTGAATCTTGGCATTATCGTACTGATCTCTTTTGACCTTGCGTACTGGACTCATCGGATGTTGAGATTGAGGTTGAGGTTGAGGGTTTACTGGAGAGTTCTGGTACTTCATGCTCTTCTTCTTCTGTAATTTGGCAGGCTGTACTTGTGGCGTCGGTTGCCTCGTCATTGGGCGAGGAAAGAACTCAGAGGTGGATGACATAGCGGCCGGCGAGTTGACCATCTTGGCAGGCGAAAGCAGTGTACCACCATGACCGTCGCTGCCATCCTTCGGCTTGGGGAACAGTCTTGTAAGATCTAGCCGGGCGGGCTTGCTCTTCCGGAATTCCTTCTTCCTCGTTTCATCCAGAATGACAGGCGATACTGGACTCGCTTCATAATTGTTGTAGCCATGATCCGTCAGTACCGGGGGATATCCTCTTCGTAATGCCCTATCTCTGACTGCCGAGTCGGAGGTTTGCTGAGAGATGGCTAGCGGCGACTTCTTTGCGTCATAGTGTGATCGAAGGGTTGAATTCGATGTTTGGGGGTGTAGCCGGCGATGGAGGGAACTATTATCAGAGCCCTGCCTGCTTTCCCCAGTATATGTACGTCCCAGAACGTTTGAAGAGGCTCGTGTTGCCATGGTGGGACGTTTCAGGTATCCGTCGTTCTCGGTGGGTGTTGCCATGTTCCTCTCGTCGATGTGGGAGCCAAAGCTAGCCTCAGACACAGTGATGGACATGAATCCAGGACTTGGTGGTATTGTCGACTGCCGAGATGTCGTGCGATGCAGGACATCGGACGTCCCTAGGACTCGATGTGCTTTACTGGAGGTGTCTTCGGGACAGGAGGGCCTGTCGGAGCCAGAAGCAATCGACGGTGCAGGGCGGGCGTAGTGGTCGTCGTTTTTCGGTCGCGAGCGGCGAGGTAGAGGGAAGGAAAACTTCTTGGGTGCGCGGTCGCCGCGAGCCATGATGGTGGAAGATTGGTGGCTGTGGTGCTGGCGTGGGCGCGACTCAGGGTAGTTGGAGATATGACCGTCGAGACTGAATCGCGGGACCAGTTCAGTTGGCGCTACAAAGTCAATACCCACATAGGGTGTAATTGCGTCGAATGGCACGTCCTGTGCTACCCCCGGCCAGCGCTGACAGCATTAAGTGATGTTTGCTTTTTCGTGCAGATGACGATCCGATATGCGGCAGGAGGGATCCGGCAACCTCAATTGAGGAATCCAAGGGTTCAACTGCGGGCCCCTACTGTGCTGCTGCACTGAGCGCTAATCGGGCGTGGACTGGTTGAGTGCTATCTGCAGGAACGGCAGCGCGCGGCGTAAAGTAGTACGATGTCATGCAGCGCCGCTTCGGGACTATCGAGTTTGCTGCTTCTGGAGGTGATGGGGATGGCGGAGTAAAGAACCAGCTTTCGAGATCTTCCAGGAAGATGGGCGATGGCGGGTATAACCCGTGAGTATTAACCCAAGGATCCATTGAATTTACCGCTTGTGAGGAGCTGGTGATGGTAGGATCCGCATCGTAGTAGGCTTTCAGGGGTATCATGCCATTCGGCAGGACGTGCGGACCGCAGCAAGGCACAAGCTCCGAGCCAAAAGCCACACTGCTGCGTCGCATACATGCATTCCCTGGGTTCCAGTCAGATGACAGCACGCCGCCGCGACCCGAATGTGCAGCTGTGCGGAGAGGCACGGCCTCGAGCATATCCGCCTCTTGTCTGTCACCACAACAGACGAGGCTGGAACTGTCGGAAAGAAATTGCTCAAGTGGTTGAGCAAAGCTAGAGCTCACGTTACCGAAGTTTGTAGGATCGCCCATGCTCAGTAGGCGACATGCTAGCCTTTGCCAAGGCTTTAGCTTGTGGCATGCCGAATATGGACGAGGAATTCGAGAATGGTCGTGTTATCGTGATCCTCTATCCGTCACCAATTTCCACCCTTTGTGCCTGCATACTACCTCCTCCACCGGGTTCACTTCCGACTCAGCATCATCGCAGGTGACGTCGCACAAGTCGCATTTCGCTTTCGTGTTCATCCATAGAGTTGCGACACAAGGCGGGTAGCAGCGCTGAGGCGTCCGCATGTTGGGTATCTTGGGTACATTGGGTATCTCGGGTTCCGGAGCATACTCAGGGATGCAAGATGAAATGCGTGATGCGCTCGCGTCCTTCCTTTCTAGTCGCAGGTCGTCTCTATAAGGACATGGCGTGGATTGCTCCACGGTGATCAATGGACATCTTCGTGGGGATGGACGAAAGCCAAGCCGGCTCTTCGCCGATCCGGCTATCTCCTCGCGAAGAAGCGCGATCCCCTTGCAAGTTCCATCACAGCTAGTTTGTGATACTAAGGTGGTCAATGTCCTGTACGCGTCGAACATAATCATTATACTTCACGTAGTGCTGATGCGAGAGCTTGTCGCGTGTTGTTGTCCAACGCTCTGTTCCCTACATTAAACCTTGAAAGACCGTTCAAAGAAGGCCCGGACGTGAACGACAGCCCTACTTTCAGGGTCAATCGAACCCAACATGTCAGCGTGACAAAACCATTTGAGCCCAAGGAAGAGGCCGAAGGAACGCAGCCGAACGCTTCTGGTGGCGTTGAGGCGCTTTCGGAGTTTTCGCCGTGTTACTATGAATATAGATTGCTGCGCGAACTTTTGACAGGCCCTCTACTGGCACTATGTGTTCTGAGGCTTGAGAAGGTCGTTTCAGCTTGCTCGGTGTGCGCATGTTTGTTCCCTATGGGTAACTTCGGAGTAGGTCCTGGCTGATTATACCGACAGCCATGATGGAGTTGCACACATCATCAGCAGTCTGAGTTGTAAAGTTTACAAGCTCCTCCACCCGAACCCGAGCAACAAACATGGGCCTGACAATGAGAACTCTCCGTGATGAATATTCGAGATGTTGCAGCTGAAACACTAGATGCACACTCAGAAGTTAAAACATATCCTCTCAAACTATCAGTCACTCTGGGCCCGGGAGCCTGGCCGACTGGAACGATGACGAGTAACTGCGCTTCGGGTGTCAAGATACCACCTTTCCTCCTTTTACATTGGGCGGAGAGACCGAAAGCGAACAGACAATGAAATCTGTCTTTGTCGCATTCTCAGACAGCTAGGACGAAGATGTGGACATTGCTAGAGCAAACGCAACGAAAAGGTTTGATGAACGACGCTGCCTTGGATGAGGAGACACGTCATGGTAGACACGTCATACGACGACAACTCATCATGTGCAGTTCTGGCGGAAAGCATCATCTCGGTGTTGCTAGACGCATCACGATGAAAGAAGGTCGTCACGTGCTATTTTGTAACATGCCGACGATGTTCTATTACTATGCAGATGTAAGCGAGTGACGCCACATGCAGAGTAAACACTTCTTCGATATTGCGAAGACATGTGATCATGGCAAGTCGACAATGTGGCGATGTGGTCATCAGCTATGTCTTCAACCACGCAACCGTCCACGGCTTTGTGACTGAATATTGACAATCATGTTTGTTTGATGCAGCTGCTGCATCATTCCTTGCATCCACAGCGTGTAGTCTCAGAAATGGAAGGAGTCCGAGGTATCGTTCGTTATGGAAGTTTTTGCCTATGACAAAGCGGAAGATTGGATAGCACGAGGGCGGCGCTTGTTGTTGTGCTTTTGCCACGGTGGGAAAAGTCGACGGGACGGTGATCGAATCACACGAAGGCGCCTGAGCCGAGTGACGCGAGAACACTATCCGCCCGCAAGCTGCGCAGGTGCAGCAATAGCTCATGTCATAAGAACCATAGCTCCGACACAGAGAGCGAGAGGACGTTGCGATGTCTTGAGGTGATTTCTAGACGATGGTGAGTACTGCTGGGATAATATGCCCCGCCGCAAAGATTAGAAGCTTGCGGTTGCGCGTGATATGTGTGAATTGGGGCGGTTGACAGCTGCATGGATGGAGGAAGCTAGCTTTGCCCACCGACCAGGTGCCTTCCACTTCGTTACCTAGACCCCACCACCACTGCCCGTCCACCACGCTCGCCTCTACACGACTACACGACCGACCTTCGTTTCTGACGTCTTCCCGATCCACCGCGTGTCTACCTTGCCGCCACTCTGCACTTCGCGTTCCGCCACGCCATCACGTCTCCAGCGGCTCCTATCTCCCCGTCAGCGGCGACACGTCGGATAGCAAAGTACCAGGGTTCCCGTGACCACGACTACGAGCCCGTACACGTCGAGCGTACCGGCTGGCGACATGTACGATTATTAGAGTCGCTGCTCTTCCCGCCTGTCTCCTGCTCCTCCGAGCTCGCGCTTTGATCCCGAGGTCTCAGGTCCCGGAACAGCACCACTAACGTTTCCGCGAGCCTCTTCACTCGGCAAGTGTCCCGAACAGGCTCTCCACGCCCATCCTCCCACGAATCGCTGGATTCCGAAAGAGCCTTCACGCCCTCAGTCTCTCGTCACGCCCGTGCAACATGGCTTCCAACGCTGCTGGCCCCAGCGCTGACGGCGTGGCCAAGACGGTGCACACCGAAGCCACAGACCCGTACGCCACCATGGGACAGTTCTCTTTCGCGCCTGCCACCAAGACTACCGTAGTCACGACCACATACACGACGACGACCACATTCCCGCCTTTGTGTATAAACGCCCCCGGCAGCCTTAGCGAGCGAGACCCCAAGGACTACCCGCTGGCCCACGTCCAGGCTCCCGAGTCAATACGCAAGTTCTACTTTGAATCCGGAGGCAACTTGGCCTGCTTCGAGGAAGCAGACACTGCATCGGACAAAGTGCGCGAGGTACGCTTTCCTCATGCCAGGGATATGCCTGCGGCTGAGGCCCTTCACGTCGCAGCTGCCAACCACCGGCTAACGCTTCTATTGTAGCAGAAAACACTCCACCGCAACCTACGATCAACGAACGGCACTCTCAGAAAGGTCGAGTCATATGAAGGCCCACCAGTCTTCACAACACCCAGCCGCTCGACGCGTCCAAAGCCACACGCTCCTCACCAAGGCCTACGCTCGGTATCTGGCCGTCGGAAACGGGATAATGCAGACGATTCGCCGCCGCCACCGTCAATAACAAAGGCCGTTGAGCTCCTCGGCATACATCGCCAAAGCAAGAAACCCCGGTTGGAGCACGAGCACAAGGACGTTACACGTACGGCCTCCCGTTCCACCTCGGATGACATGGAGGATCCGCAGCTGGCCACACCCGATACCGACATGGCAGGCTCCGGCCCATCCAAACTGCCCAAGCTCCGCACCGCCCATCTACACAACTCCAAGCTCAGGACTGCGTCACAGCAGATTGGACCAGACCAAACGCCGCCCAGATGGCGGCTCCAAGAATCAAGTGCTCGGTCATCACACTCCAGAGGTAGTCTCTCCGATCATCGAGAACCATCCCCCGAGAACTCCTTCCCTACAGGTGTATTCGATGGCCCCGGCGTAGCTGCTACACCCCCAATCGCCGAGTCTGATCTGGAGCCAGTTGGACCTTTCGCCGACGATGCGACTTTCACCCCCTCGCGCCTCACACCTCTCGACACGACGTCCGCACAAGATGCTAGCCTACCCAGCCCCAGCCTGTCGCCCATTACTGCTGCCGCAAACCTCGCCCAACAAACAAATGGTGGCGCATCCTTCTCAGGCACGGACATGGACTTCGATGCAAACGACGTATCCGGACTTGACCTGTCACAGGGCACTTCGAGCAGCTCGCGCATGGGGGACTTTTCCCTCTATCCTGATCCCCGACAGCGTGACCACACCGACAGCTCCAATACGCAATTACCCACGCCCTCCGCCATGGACATACCGAACATGTTGAACTCGTTCGATGCTTTGCCGGAACAGATGAAGTCGTACGTCTTGTACCAGATGCTCAGAAGGTGCAAGAAGCCGACTTTACACTTTGTTGCGGATGTTGTCAATCCCGCCCTCAAACGCGACTTCATCGCCTCGTTACCTACGGAGCTTAGCCTTGAGATTATAGGGTATCTAGACGTCAAGAGCATGTGCAGCGCCGCACAGGTGTCGAAATACTGGCGAAAGCTCACCGATACCCACGAGTCTGCATGGAAAGACCTGTTAGACAAGGATGGGTACAAGCTGCCGTATGGCGAGTTGGAGCGCGCGGTGCAAGAAGGCTGGGGTTGGCAATATCCTCATTCTGCTGACAGCTACGAGCGCGACCTCAGAGCTCAATCGGTAGCCTCTAGATCTGACAACGAAGGCCACTCCGGGTTTTCCAGCTCTGTCTTCCCCAGTGGTTCGCTAGACCAGGAGGGCGCAGTGACACGATCCTCTTCCATACGCCAGAAAAGGAAGGCTACCAGTAAGCATGGTAGCGGCAGCGGCAAGAAAGCGCGCAAGAGTCGCCCCTCTACTAGGACACAGATGGCCCTCTATTCGCGCCCCGCAGATTGCCAAGAAGGCCCGCATGCTTTTGCCAAACGAGCAGAGGCCGCCATTTCCGATCCCAATGTTGGTTTGCCTGGTCTTCGTGCTATGCATCTCTTCAAGTCTTTATATCAACGTCATCATCTCATCCGTAAGAGCTGGATGGCGACCGACACGAAGCCGAAGCACATTGCATTCCGCGCCCATCAGCGCCACGTGGTGACATGCCTTCAGTTTGATACAGACAAAATCTTGACAGGCAGTGATGATACGAACATCAATGTCTACGACACAAAGACAGGAGCGCTACGAAGCCGCCTTGAGGGGCATGAAGGCGGCGTATGGGCCCTTCAGTACGAGGGCAACACGCTTGTATCCGGCTCCACCGATCGCTCAGTGCGCGTGTGGGATATCGAAAAGGGAAAATGCACACATGTCTTCCAGGGTCACACATCCACTGTCCGATGCCTGGTAATACTCAAGCCAACTCAGATTGGCGAGACCCTTGACGGCCAGCCGATCATGATGCCGAAGGAGGAGCTCATCATTACAGGTTCGCGAGACTCTACGCTTCGCGTCTGGAAACTTCCCAAGCCAGGCGATCGTGGCATCATGCAGGCCGCAGCGTCATCCAATGACCACGACAATCCGTACTTCATACGCGCCCTTACCGGACACCATCATTCAGTGCGCGCCATCGCTGCACACGGTGACACGCTCGTCAGTGGCAGTTACGACTGCACCGTCCGAGTATGGAAAATCTCCACCGGAGAGGTTCTGCAACGTCTGCAAGGTCACTCGCAGAAGGTGTACAGTGTTGTTCTCGACCATGCGCGCAACCGCTGCATCAGTGGTTCCATGGACAACATGGTCAAAGTTTGGTCTCTAGAGACGGGGGCATGCATCTTCACGCTTGAGGGTCATACCTCGCTCGTCGGTCTTCTCGATCTGAGCCACGAGCGCTTGGTGTCAGCGGCTGCCGATTCAACTCTCCGAATCTGGGACCCAGAAAATGGACAATGCAAGAGCCGTCTATGTGCTCACACAGGTGCCATCACATGCTTCCAGCACGACGGTCAGAAAGTCATATCTGGCTCTGACCGCACACTCAAGATGTGGAATGTGAAGACGGGCGAGTTTGTTAAGGACTTGCTGACAGACCTGAGCGGCGTATGGCAGGTCAAGTTCAACGAGCGTCGTTGTGTGGCTGCTGTTCAGCGCAACAGCATGACATACATTGAGGTAAGCAGTTAATCGCAGTTGTTACAAGTCTCTAGCTGACCATGTCCAGGTGCTCGACTTTGGTGCTTCGCGCGATGGAGTACCCGCCGACCAACGGGGACGACGCATTGTTGTCAATTCCAAGGGCCAGGAGATTGAGGATATCACCGAGGGCGACCTAATCGACGTGGACCAGGCTTAGGCCTATTCTACTATCATTCAACACTGCGAGTTACACGAAATACAGATACACCCACCAACACTTGGGACCGGCGCGAATGTTTTGGCCATGTTCAAAAGCGATACCCACTACGCGTTCTGGCGAATGACTTGACGACACGGCGACCGAATCTTATTCATTCAGGTGGCATCATGAATTGCCTTTCTTTGGCTTGGCCTTGGCCGCCTCTCTTACCGTACACATGGTGTAGGAAATGACACTTGTGTCGGGGTAGCGTGTTTCTTTACATTTTCTCTACTATTGCATAGCTATGGCGTTTACCATATCCGAAGGACTGCATTGAGGGCACCATTATGAGGATTAGTTGGACTTGCACTGCATAGGTACAGGGCAAGAACGAAATATAATTTTACCACTACAATCCTCAATATGTGCCTTTGTCGTGAAGCCGTGCGTGTCTCGGTGCGCTAACGTTTGCGGAGAGATGCGGGAATGACGCGCTTGCGCTTGCCCCACTGCCGCGGCTGCAAGTTACGTAGCTCAGGTCGCAAACACCTTGCGTACGTTCCAAAGTTCTATTCACAATCACACTCGTTAGAAATGCAGGCACTTACCAACCAGATCTGATGCCGGCGTACTTTTTCCACCTTACCTTCGAGCTGTATCCCTCGCGCTCGTCGCCAGACAAAACGTTTACGCCTTCAGACATCTTCGACTCGAAGCTTCCAGCCCATCGCCGTGCGTCCTGGGGCTCCTATCCCCCTGCATCACGCGCATACAATAATTTCCCGAAACCCGTAGCTTCTAGCAGTGAGGCTGGCCAGGCTGCTGCTACCCGTGATCGCACACCTACAACCCGTCGGTTTAGTCATCGCACGCGACCTTCCTTCTCAAATCACCACGATAGCCCGGTACCGGTCGTCAAACCGCCGAAGAGGCCGGCACACAGGCGAGCACAAAGCTTTGCACATAGGGATTGGCGCTTCGACACCATCTCCATACTGAGCATCGACATGAACCCGGGCACCGGCACTGAACTCGATCGAGCTCGACTCAAGCACCCCTCACACGCGCCAAATGCCGGTGGTCTCGCGACCAAGGGCAAATTCATACCCTCGGATCTGAAAGACACAGATGTTGGCTGGGGCGTAGTACATCTCTATCGCGATGGACAGGACACGCCAGGCTTGTACGATGAGGTGGACGGAGCGAGCAAGGACTTCAACGAGGAAGACTGCACTACGCTGTGCATACTGGCGGTGCCCTCGTACATGACACCTTCCGACTTTCTCGGCTTCATGGGTGAGCAGACGAGGGAGGAGGTTTCGCACTTTAGGCTCATCCGGACAAGCAGAGCAAATAAGTACATGGTGCTGATGAAGTTCCGGGAAGCCAAGCAAGCCAGAGTGTGGAGAAAGGAATGGGATGGCAAGGCCTTTAACAGTATGGAGGTAAGACAAAGAACTGTTGCAGTCAGTACAAAGTAGCTAACAGAAACAGCCCGAGTACTGTCATGTTGTCTTTGTCAAGTCGATCAACTTCCAGAACGGCGACTCAAACCGCGATCCTACCTCGTATCCTGACCTTACGAACGATCCATTCGCGCCCGCGCCGACCAATCAGCCCACGGCTCCTCTTCCACTAGCCAGCAGCGTCTCTTCGCCAGTTGACGGTCCTTCGATCGCTACCTCACTCACCGCGAAACCACACGCTCCACCTACTCCTGCTTTGGTAGAGCTACCAACCTGCCCCGTCTGTCTCGAACGTATGGACGAAACAACTGGACTCCTCACCATTCTCTGTCAGCACGTCTTCCACTGCGCCTGTCTCGAAAAGTGGCGGGGCTCGGGCTGCCCAGTCTGCCGTTACACACAAAACGATGCCTTTACCTCTAATCGCAGCGCAGACGGTGAGAGTCCAGATAATGAGTGCAGTGTGTGCGGATCTACACAAAATCTCTGGATTTGCCTGATCTGTGGTAATATAGGATGTGGCCGCTACGACTCAGCACATGCATTCGCTCACTACGAAGCAACAAGCCACACCTATGCCATGGACGTGGTAACCCAACACGTCTGGGACTACGCAGGCGACGGCTACGTCCACCGCCTAATACAAAACAAAGCAGACGGAAAACTCGTCGACATGCCCGCCTCGAACCAATCCTTCAGCGCCCCCGGCATGACGGGCTACTCCAACGACACCGTTCCGCGCGAGAAGCTCGACAACATGGGCATGGAGTACGCCTACCTGCTTACCTCGCAACTCGAATCCCAACGCGCATACTTTGAAGAACAGCTCGAACGCGCAGTCGACAAAGCAGCAAAAGCCGCCTCCATCGCCGACGAAGCAACCCGATCCGTCGCCTCGCTCTCCCAAAAACTCGACCAACTCTCCACCTCCCATACAGAAGCAACAACCACCATCGCCTCTCTCACACGCGAATCCGCGCGCAACGCCCAGAAAGCAACGTCCGCCTCTGAACTCGCCCGCAAACTCACCAAGCAATACAAAGAAGAGCAGATTGTGAATGAAAGCTTGATGGAACGGATTAAGCACTTGGAGAAGAAGGCGGAGGAGGCTGACAATAAGGTCAAAGAGCTTGAGGCCCAAAAAGCGGATCTCGAGGAGCAGAATCGCGATTTGAGCTTTTTTATTAGTGGCCAGGAGAAGTTGAAGGAGATGCAGGGGAATGAGGTTATGGGGTTGCAGGAGGGTGAGGTTGAAGGGGCGTCGGTGGAAGTTGGTGAGAAGAAGGGGAAGAGGAAGGGGAAGAAGAAAGCTTGATGAGTTTGAGGTATGACGTTCGAGGCATTTGTGTGGAGTTTATCATTTAGCGGCATTGGCATGGTCGTGGATATGGCCTGGAATGACGGAGTTGGAGTTGGAGTTGTCAGACATCAGATACCCATTTAGAACGTTGAAACAGTCCTGGTTAGGACTTGTACCACATCCGTCATCATAAAGACAAGCAATGAAGATAGATGATCTGTATTCTCAAAACCAAAGACTACCCAAGACTCCCTAACCAAACATTATACGCCCCCAGCCCATGCCGATGCATCTCAAACATAACACAATAAAGAGCGCAATAACAAGTATATGTATACACTATACACAAGTTTCCATGTATCTGTGTCGGAAAGAAGGAAGGAAGAAAACACAACGTCGTTGCCCCCCAGGCAAGGGAGCCAGCCGTGTCGTGTCAGTCGTGAGAGTCATGTCATGCTAAGGTCGTGATGTGAAAGAGGGAGAGATATACGTTCATGACCCCAGGAATGCCAAGGAGAGAGTGTCGTGAAAGAGATCCAATGGGTTGGGAGATGGAAAGGATAGGTATGCATGCTGTGATTTGATGTTGACGTGATGATGTGATGATGTGAGATGGAATGCAGTGGAGAGGTGATAAACGCCGTTGTATCCATGATTGCGCCGGTGGGAAAAGCATGTTGATGGGTTTTGCGAGGGACGATGCTCAGCCGATGTGGTGGTTATCCAAAGGATAAGATGGTCGAGAGTGGGGTGGTATCCAAGGTGGTAGTAAATGACAGCCAGATGGCGAAGTAGAACACCTCAAATCCAGTCATCATCCACTTTGCTCGTACTGCCAATGGCAATCTCCCGCTCAAACCCGAGACCAAGACCAAGCCCAACATCCATCTTAGGCGGTGCCATGAGCTGTGGAGGTGGTTCCGTGTTCTTCTTCGGGCTCTGCTTAGCTGGACTCACGCTACCACCCTTGCCATCGCCGGCACCCATGCGCACAGTCTTGACGTCCCAGTCGTCTTCGAGGGCGGCGCCGATCCAGACTTTGACGCTGTCGTGAACAGCGCCGTAGTACTTGGGGTTGCAGGCGCGGAGGTGACCGAGCAGCTTCTCGAAGCCTGAGATCTTGAGTTCGGAGCGGAACTCGTTGCGTGCGGTGCGGGTGGGGAGGGAGGCCATGATGCCATTGAGGAGATCGATGTGTGTGGCGAGGTAGTTGGTTGCGTCCCATTCTACGCCGCCGACGTAGGGTGCTGCAGGGACGATTGCGCGTTGGCCCGGGAAGTGGGTTTTAGCGTACGACTTTCCCTCCGTGGGCTTGGGTGGAACGGGGATGACGTTGAGGTGGTGAATGAAGATCCAGAAGACTTCTTTGGTCACGTTAGACAGCTCCTTGCACCAGACCTGGTAGGGTCGCTGAGTGTGCATCTGGAGGATGAATGGAACAGTTGAGGCCTGCTTCTCCTTGACGGGGTCTTTGAGGTACTTCATCAGCTCCTTAGCGCGGGTTTCCAGCTCGCCCTCTGGTGCCATGGAAATGTGAGCGAAGATGATCTCGATGATGAGTTCACGCGTAGTAAACTCGCTCGGACCTTTGTGCTCCTCGTCGAAAAGCATGGCCAGTAATGCTGGGTACAGTGTCGACGAGATCTCATTGAGCTGCTTGAGAGCTGTGGCAGTCGTGCAGAGTCCCTTGAGACATCGAAGGAGTTCGTGTAGAAGTGTGTCTTCGTGGTCTTCGCGCCATTCAATCTCCATGATGCGGTGGAGCAACGCGACCAGCTCAGTCATACCACCATCCTGGATAAAGTTATCAACCCAGTCGACAGTCTCATTGCGGATCAACAGGCGCAGCTTGTGCAGCTTGCCAACTTCGACGTTCTGTGGCTTGGGTGTCTTCTTCAAGTAGGAGATGAACTCGTCGGCCTTGACCGATTTCGCTCCATTGGACACGGAACGATCGGAAGCATTGGACCTTAGTGACCTCATAGACGGAGACTTGGGGATAGGCGCTGGTTTTGAATTCGTCTTCCGTTCGCCGGATTCGCCCTTCTGCTTCTTCGTGGGAGAGTCACTCCTGTTGAAGGTGAATGTTCGGCTCCGCGGTCGCTCACGCTTAGTAGAGTTGGCTGACTTATCCGCTTGAGCCTCATCCTCTGCATCCTCGACGGCAGATCCGTGTCGGGACTTGGACGACTTCTGTGGCGCCTGCTTGGTGTTCTCGCCAATGGAAGACTGGGCGGAGTTTGTTCGCGAGGTCTGAGGTATGTCAAGTTTGTGCATGCGAACAAAGTCGGCCTTGACTTCGAGCTTCAGTGTCCGCATCTGAGCACGTTGGTGTGTAGGGATGTTTCGAGATTCCTGGTATCGTTAGCAGGTAGTCATTCGTATCCTGAGATAGCACTTACCAGGACCTCCTCGAACTCGGCGTCCACCGCCTTTGGATCGAGCTTGGCAGACGCCGACGCGCCGTCAGCTTGCTTTGACTTTCCGTTGAAGGCAGCGACGGCAGCCATGACTCGGTTCTGCTTCTTGGTTGTGGCTGGCGGCGGCGGCGGCGCCATGGGATTGAGACTGTAGTCCTTGCTGCCGGTGTCGGTACTCGCTCTACTGAGTATGGGTCTCGCCGGCTTCACAGGAGAGCTCTCCCTAGTACGTCCCTCGTTACCCTTGGTGTCTGATAGAGGAACGCGCTCGTTGCTCCGCTTGCGCGAGAAGGTCTCAAGCAAGGATGCCGTGGAAGTCGACTTGGGAGCAAACATAGACTTGGGTCGCTCTTTCGGGGCAGGTCGGAGAGCTGGTTGGCCGACCTCGAAAAAGTTGCGCTGCTTGGTGGGCGAGTAGTCTTGGGGAGTGTAGAGGGCAATCTCCTCCTCGACGCTCCGTCGCTGATCGTTAAGCGGGACTTTGCTCGTGGTGGTGACTTCCTGCTGGGAGCTGAACTCGGCCCAGATGGGAGTGCGAGGCGGGGCCTTGTCGTGAGAAGAGCGGGGTGGTGTAGTATTCTCCTTGTCTCTGCTCTCCTTGACGGGCGACTTGTCTCTCCGGCGCCCGCCGAACATGGCAGCCAGATTGGTCGACGACTTTGTCTTCTTCGGCTTCTCGCCCATCTCAGCCTCCTCCTGTGATCGCCGCGAATCGAATGACTTCTTGTAGGCCGGCTTCTCCTTCTCCTCCTTGTTCTCCTTCTTGGCCAGTGACCGCAGCGACACGGAACTAAGCGTCTTCTTGTGCAGGCTCTTTTTGGGGCTCGAATTGACGTCTCGCGACTTGCGCGGTGACGGCGGATTGGTGGGAACGTTCTCCGTCTGGTTTGCCGCGCGCAATTGGCTATGGGGGTGGTCTGGCGGTAGAAGAGGCGCCTGGAAGTTCGAGACAGGCATGTACGGCGGGGTGGCTATCTGATTGTTGTGCAGCGCAGCGCCCTCGGTCGGCGAACGCTTGTGGCCTTTGTTCGCAATAATAGACTTGAGCACTCCAGCTGCAGCACTCTTGTTCCGTCTATGCGAAGGTGCGGCGGTGGCCATGTCCGGCGTCGACATGATGATGCTCCAACAAAGATGGGGATTGGGGAAGCGTCGACTAAGGTCGGGGCCGGGAAGAGAAGGCTTGAAACGTGGGTTGTCTATAGCAGAAGGATGGCGGGCATATTTGGGGAGGCGATGAGGCAGATGTTCGGCATACTTTGTGTTTACGTCGCGGACATCGCGGGCGATCCCCACGGCAACGACACCAGCGCGTGGGGAGCACGCTAGGACCCGCTAGACGCCACATTCATGCGTTAGACATTAAACATTGCACCCGTCATATCTCGCCGTGGTTTCCATGGCCGTTCGGTCTTGGGTGCATCTAGACATCTCCGCACACCACCTGCATTTCCCCAGTCACGTCGCGTATTGTTGCCTCCAAACACGCGACCCTCTACACAAGCACCACCCGCTATCGTGTGTTGACATCGCGAAAGAAGCTAGCACGTAACCTCGGAGGCACTGACCGCTCACGGCAGCGTCACTTGACAACAAAAAATTGCCTTTATGCACCGCAAGCTTAATGTCGCACTGACGCCAACCGCTATTCACAACACGGGAAGCCGTTGCCGGTGTAGGTATAGAAGCGAAGGATGTATATTGTGTTGTGAAAACCATTGTACAACGCCTACTAGCACGATGGCAGGCACCCAACTATCCCTAAATGACAACAAGCCACGATGCCGCCCTTCCCCTGCGTATGCTACCACCCTGCTTTCATCCCATCCTTAGAGTTGGTTCGCCAATCCTCTCACGGTCCTCCTGCGCTTCTCCATCTCTCCAATCCTGACCAGGCCTCCCATGATAGACGTTCCTGCATCCCCACACCCAGTCGTGCCAACACAGATTCCCTTGGTAGTGTCTCCACAGTCACAGATGCTGGGCATACAGGCCGTACCGATTGGACAACTAGCTGACGTTCTGCATTGGAGAACACCCGGGTCGGTACAGTCTGTCGCATCCTTGTTGAAACAGACACCAGCGCCCTCCATGGTCGCTGCGCAGCGGCACGTCGTGGTTCCGTTGCCAGACCCGCATAGGCGGTCGAAGTTGCAGGTGGAATCGCATGGGAAAGATGCGCAGACTCCGTTGGTGCAGTATTTGCCCGCCGCGCACGCGTTGTCGCACCGGCCACAGTGAAGAACGTCAGTCGCGAGGTCGCGGCACGCGCCATCACAGAGACCAACGCCAAATCCTCCACAGATGGGCGGGCTGGGTGTTGCGCTTGTCGTGGATGTGGTCGACGATGTATCGGTGGTTGATGAAGCAGTCGTAGTACCGAACGACGACGTAGAAGATGACGACGATGATGATGATGGGGACGATGAACTGCTGGCAGACGTGCTCGAAGTACCAGAGATTGTCGGAGTTGTGGTAGTGGACGATGATAGCGAAGACGAGGATGATAAACTGCTAGCCGATGTACTCGAACTGTCGGAGGTCGGATTCAGGGTAGTGATTGATGACAAAGATGACGAAGTACTACTAGCAGACGAACTTGAGTCGCTGGAGGTCGGTGTGGCACTACTTGAAGATGAAGATTTGATACTGCTAGCTGAGCTTGCCGGGACGCTACTGGATAAGCTCGATACGTCGGATGTGCTTGACGAAGAGCTGCTTGAAAGACTCTCGGACAATGTAGTGGCCGACGAGGAGCTTGATGTGATGGTGGATGATGAAGACATGGAAGAGCTTAGCATGCTGCTTGTGGCAGGGCCTTCTGAGGTAGCTGACGAGCTGCTTGACACCGTGGACAGAGTACCTGAAGTAGTAGATGGCGAACCTGAAGTACTGGATGAGCTACTTGACGATGACATCGAATCTGTGTTAGATATACCGCTTGTGGTAGAGGATACTGTGCTCGAACTACTGGGCAAGCTGCTGGATGAGCTGCTGGAGCTAGTAGACGAATTTCCAGGAGTTGTAGATGAAGAGCTGGAAGAAGCAGATACAATCGGTGCGCTAGACAAGCTACTAGATGAGCTGCTAGACTCAGTCGACGTGGCTGAAGAAACGGAGGAATTGGATAAAGTTGGCGTACTAGGTGAGCTACTAGATCCAGTCGACGACAATGAAGAGCTCTCCGTACTGGATGACGATGTACTTGAGGTTGTGCTGCTAGAAACACTACTGGAGACCGAAGTGGAGATAACCATGCTCGACGTTGAAGAGCTCATCGAAGACGATGGTGTAATGACCGGGCAAGACGTTCCGGTGATCGAAACGCTGGTATACGTTGTAGTCTCAATATCGGTCACAGTCTATTACATCATCAGCTATTACCCATCGTACACCGGCATAGAACTCACGGTGCCAAGATAGGTGACAATGTCTTCGGTGATGCTCGCACATCCACATACAGATTTGTATTCTTGCGATGCACAGGCTTGGGAGGCGTATGTAGGCACCGGTCCAAAGACTGTTGTTGTGGACCAGTCGGTCCCAGTCGGCAGAGCTTGTCGAATCCATAGTTTTTCTTCGTCGGAAGTAATGGGCTCATCTGTCGGAAAGGGCAATACTTCCGTTGGGCACGGTGTTGTCAGAGTAGATGTCGTAAGAGTAAATGACGTGATAGTGGTGCTGGAGTAGATTGTTAGTGTGGTAGTGTTCATCTTGGGTGGGCTACAAACATTGGATGCCAGATCACACTTGTAGTAAGGAAGTCATCGCAGTCTTCTCCGGCCCTGATTATCTGACCAAACCCGCCGTTACCAAACACCGCGCGGAAGCAGTCATCCTGATTACATTGCTGTCTAGTGTCGAGAACGGCTGCCAAAGCTACGGATAGGTTGAGGAGGGTAGCGAAGGTAGAAAGCTTCATCTTGTTCTAGTAACGAATGTAGGTCGGACTGAGCTGATGAGCACGGCTATCAACCAAGGGGCTTTGGAGCAACCTTTATAAGTCGCTTTTGCTATACCAAAGACTAGGGACAAAGCTGGCGTGACCAACCCTCCTCTCTGTTCTTCCGATCCGAGAGGTCCCTCGTATTCGCTCCGGCATACTGGCTGGTGTCGGTGGCGCCGTTGTGAGACTTGACAGTGGTAATCATACTCAAGCAGAAGGCTTCTGACTCAGAGAATAGGGTATTGATCGGTGCCCCAGAATGGCGCGTTGGTGTTCATCAAGTCATTCTTTTGTCGCGAAAACAGCGGTGTTTTAAGGCTGACGGTCATGCGTGTGGAAGCAATGGGTACTGCAATGTTCTACCTCGCCCAATGTGTCGCATCCTGCAGTGGGTTCTGGTATTATGACGTTGGTTGTATACGACCGGGCTCGAATTGAAATAGTATGCTGGCACAGCAGTTTGCCATATTGTCGCATCGCCAACTTCTATACGATGATCTAGACTTCCATTGGCAGGTTGGCGCCAGTAGCGCATGCAGGTACAAGTTTGTCAGACTAATTCTCCATGGTAGGCTGAAAAGACAGGTCAGCCACTCTATGCGACGTTCGTTCGTCGTGTCCAAGAACCCATTGAAGGGTGCATGTCTCAACACTTGCGATGACCAGAGCATTAGAGAGGCGACACGAGCAGTGAGACTATAACGTGCTTGATATTATGGCAGCCCCGCGGGGATCCGTTTCGCTTTTACGGCAGTGCCCAAATTCGGATAGACGACGTACATCCTAGCCCGGTAATATGTATGCTCCTGAGTGTCCCCGATTTCTGCACCGATTTGGGTGGAGAATCAAGTTCCCGTTCAGCTGTACTGAGTGTTGTAAGAATTGAGAAAACTGCGTAATAGAAATCAGGTGTCTGATGATGGCGTTTTGACTAGTAATAAATGCGTCGTACCAGCTGTCTAGGCGTCGGGTTTCAGAGGCTATGTTGTAGGGCTTACGCCACCAACTCGTAGGTGCGATGGTACTTACATGGTCGCGGATTCAGGCCGGTGGAAGGAAGTTGGCAAAAAGCACCCCCTGCACCAAGCAATACATGACGCCACCTCTGACACACCACTTGGCTGTTTGTGAATGGTTTCCTATGCTGGAAGTGCTTTGTGAATCTGCCAACCACGTAGCAACGACTAGATACCACATCGGATAACCGGAAGCGATCCGGTTTACAATCTGGACATGAAAACTGGTAATGGCTGTTGCAGCTAGTAGTAATTGGGGTATTGCCAATTCTGGTAGCCTGCATATCGCGGACGTTCCGTTCCTGGATTTGACGGTTTCACCAGTCTGGGGTACAGGACGCCCACGCAACAGATGCTGAGCGCCGCTGTGGAGAATGGTGACACTTGATGTAAGAAGCAGCCACGAAACTGGTGCCGCTAGTATGAACAGAGGCAAGTTTGAAATGGTCCAGTAACGGAAGAGTCCTACGTTCCTGGAAGAGGTCAGACTAGTAAGGAATCGTATGGGTGTAACTCACCAGTAATGGCTTTGTACCCACGAGTAAATGCTCGGGAAGGTCTTGTCACACCACGGTCTGGTTCCAGTGCCACTGCCTCGGTCACAGAATTCCGTATATGCGAGATACTGCGGCCCGAGGAATGCCAACGCTATCAGACTACCAGCCAAGCATGTGACAGTAATCCTTCTCACATCATGTATACCCAACTGCGCAGACACAACGGAGGGTACATACCTAGCGACATCGTATAAAAGAATAAGGCCGCTAAGAAGACCATTGCTTCGCATCAGTGTCGCCGCTGCGAAACAAGCACCAGAGCCAAGCTTGTGAAAGTCCGCTCGAATCGATGACATTCTAGTCTCAGCCGCAGTTTGAGATTGAGCGTAGAGAAGCATGCCCGCGAGATTGAGTAATGAGAACATGGATTCCGCGTACGGTGCGCTCATGAAAAGGGAAGCTGGCGTAAGGATATGCAAGACAGCGGCGATAAACGGGATGATCTGTCGCCGTTGAGGTTCCAGGACCAAGGTCAATAGGCGATACAGCACTAGCACAGAGAGGAGGTGGCAGATGTTGGAAACGATGATTCCGGCCAGAGCATAGTAGTGCAGAGGAACCTGCACGTCGCCAGCGATCACTGCGAGATATCAGTGCCGACCCAAATGACTGGGCCACTGGTGCTCACATTGACCGGTTAGTCTAAGGAGATGCGAATACGCCCCGCTGAAGGCCCACGCTTGCTCGTGGACATGACCCCGCTCAGCTGCTTTCACAAAGTACAATGCGTCCCAACGGAGCAGATTGAGGACAAAACGCTCATAGCGGGAGATGAGGTCCAGCTTAGCATGGCGCCAGGGGCTCGCGTCGAGCAGTATGAGACCAGACGTGTCGTATCCGGGACCTGGGCAAAATGCAGCGAGCGAGAGAAGCAGCGCTTTCCATAGGCAGAATATTGCGATGAGCTGCGCGTTACGTCCTTTCGCGCCAAGATTAATCGCGTTCATCATCTCGCGTTGAAGTTGTCGTGGTTGACGATCAAATGGTGAGGCACCACGCTCTCATTGGGCAGGCGCTAGCGCCGGCGCTAGCGCCGGCGAAACATTGTTCCCTACCCGCGCGCACTCGCTTCTCTGGATTTCGGTGCCGACAACTTTTGCGCCCGCTTTCGAACGTTCGTCAAGTCCACCGTCGCCAATCTTTACTTCGTCGCCGCCAACACACCAGGTAAGCGCATATCCGCCATGAATGCTCGGTAGCATATCACAATCGCACGTCTCTACATGAGCGTGTCGCATACAAATGATGGCTAGAGTGGAGAGCGGCTGAAAGGCCCTCTCGCTCTTACGAGATTCAGACCTATAGTGAATGAACATTCGCTAATGGTTTCTGTTCTCTATGACAGCCTCGACAATGCCTCCCAAAGGATCCGGAAAGAAGCCTGCGGCTTTCCCCCAGGCCACTTCTAAGTCGTCTGCCGCCAAGAAGCAAAAGGTCTGCCCATTCCTCAAAGATTCAACTACAAAAGCTCACAATGGAACAGAACCCTCTCATCGAGAAGCGTCCTCGCAACTATGGCATCGGTCAGGACATCCAGCCCCAGCGCAACGTCGGCCGCATGGTCCGCTGGCCGTAAGCAAACCCTGATCCGCCGCAGATTGCAGATACTGATAATGTGCAGCGCATATGTCCGTCTTCAACGCCAGAAGAAGATCCTCAACATGCGTTTGAAGGTCCCCCCGGCGATTGCCCAGTTCCAGCACGTTGCCGACCGTAACCTTGCCACCCAGGCCTTCAAGATCCTCAACAAGTACCGTCCCGAGACCAAGGCCGAGAAGAAGGAGCGCCTCACCAAGGAGGCCACCGCCGTCGCTGAGGGCAAGAAGAAGGAGGACGTCAGCAAGAAGCCCTACGTCGCCAAGTACGGTCTCAACCACGTTGTCGGCCTGATTGAGAACAAGAAGGCTTCCCTCGTCCTGATCGCCAACGACGTCGACCCCATCGAGCTCGTTGTCTACCTGCCCGCTCTCTGCAGGAAGATGGGTGAGTACTCCAACTGTGCAAATGCATGTCGAATTTTCACTGACACACATTAGGTGTCCCTTACGTTATCGTCAAGGGTAAGGCCCGTCTCGGAACGGTCGTCCACCAGAAGACCGCCGCTGTCCTCGCCCTCACCGAGGTCCGTTCAGAGGACAAGAACGAGCTCCAGAAGCTCGTCACCGCTGTCAACGACGGTTACCTCGAGTCGCACCACAAGGACGCTTCCCGCCACTGGGGAGGTGGTATCATGGGTGCCAAGGCCAACGCCCGCATGGAGAAGAAGAGGAAGGCTATCGAGAGCGCCATCAAGATCTAAGCAGATTCTGAGGCGCTTTCTTGATTTCATGATGACTTTACGGCGTGTCTCTTATCTCTGCATATAGTCGGTTCACAATACCAACGGAGTTTAGGAGGGTTAAAAGCGGTCGGCAAACGACTGCATTGACTGGAATCAATCACGATAACGCACGCCATTCGCATGATTTGTTGCTTGTGATGTCTATTTCGATCATACATGCTGAACTCCGACTACTATATCAACTGCACTCGCATGAGTCGAACTGCTGTGAGCCTGTTTGCAAGTCCGGCGATGAGTGCGACAACCCACCCTAAAAGTCATCGACCCTTGTCCCGATACCACGCTCATCAGCTATTCTCACAAGATCCCCACCCACAACGACATCCGTAAGCCCCAACCCCACACTCTTATATATAACATTCCCCTTGATCAGCCACTCAATCAAACTCTTATGCGCCTTATCCTCCCCCTCATGATGTTTCTCCTTCTTCCCACTACTACCCCTCCTCGCCTTCTCCTTCTTTTCACTCCGATTCATCTCGCACTCACCCAACTCTACACCCCCAGTATCCAGCCCCTCCGCCTCCATCATCCCCTTCCCAGCCAAACACTCCCGTCTCCTCCTCTCCGCATCCCTCTTCAACATAACCAACTCGCCTATCTCAACAACCTGATCCGGACCCAACCCCGCCTGCACCACCTCCCCACCCTCTTTCAAAGCCTTCTCTACACTATCCACCACTACCGCCCCACTCTGCTTTGCGTGCTTGTGGAAATGGCGGTGCCCGTGCTCTGGCGCAACGTTTTGGCGTAGGATATCAGGGTGTAGTTCTGTAGCACGGGGCGAGAGGGAGCCGATGGCGGCTATGTAGCGGCCTTTTTTTCGGCCTTCGGGGTTGGTTAGGATGGGTGCGGGGAAGAGGGGGGTAGGCGAGGCGGTGCATAGGAAGAGGACGGCTGAGGAGCGGAGGGTGGCGTGCAGGAGGCGCGGGTATTCGCCGTGTCCCGGGGTGAGGATTTGGATTTTGGGGCGGTGGAGGTATTGATGTTGGGTTTCTTTTCCTGCTTCGCCTTCCTCTGGGCCTGATGCGCGTCGGTAGGTAGGAACGTGGTTTGGATCGGGGTTGAAAGTCGAAGGTGCAGAGTGGGGGTCGTAAAGTTTCTCCAATAACTGGTGTACACGTTCGAAATCTCTGTTGATAATATTGAGATGGTGGATATCAGGGCCGCGTAGCAGGAGAGCGAGACGAATGTGCCAGTAAGCTTGTTTCCCTGCGCCGAAGACTGTTACGTCGTGGACGTTTGCTCGCTTCTTAAAGAGCATTGTGCTTGCGAGGGCGGTGCGGAAGGCTGTCATTTCGGAGGAGTTTAGCATGGCGCGAGGGTTTCCGGAGCGGTCGAAGAGGGTGAGACTGGTGTTTGATGCGGATGTTTGGGTTGATGAGAGAGAGGCTGTGGTTGCTGAGCTTTTACTCGTTGGTGTGGACTGCTGGGATAAAGCGAGTGAGCTCATCGATGAAGTAACAGAGGCCGTGTCCGAAGAGTTGAACTCTGGACGTGTTGTTATTTTGACTCCAAGACTGTCATTGCTGCGAATAGTCAGTCGATGCGATTGTCATGCAATTGTGCTTGCAAGAACTATACATACCTGCTTGCCGGCGCAACCGTCATCAACCCTCCATCTTTAGTCTTCAAGCTCGTCCCTGCGGACTGGAAACTCTCACAACATCCATTATTGTCGTCTTCTTCAGTGCTGGTAGAGTAATGGTGCAGCGCATCAGCGAGGTTCTGCTGCAAGTCGAGAATGTCCTGTTTGGTCAATTGCAATAAGAGAGTGCGCACGTCCGCGTCGGAGAGTATGGTCAATGGCATTGTAGACTGGCCGGTATGGTTATGTTAGGAAACTCGTGTCGTTTGTGTGTCGCGCAGCGAGCGGTGATTTTATTGTTGATGGTCGTAACGTTCAGGTATGATGTCACATGCAGGCTCAGGTACAGCTCGGAGCGGGGGCGAGCGGCTTTAAGCACCAAGGAGCGCGCATCGGGTCGCGACTGAGTAAGCAAAAAGTTCATTGTGTAAGCAAGAGACTATCTAGAAAATGCTGTTCCCACTAGGCGCCACTGATGCAGAGCCTGTTCGTATCGCTCGTAGTCATGACCCGTCCGATCTAACTTATTGTACATTTTCGTCGCTTATGGTATCATCGAGCGTCGTTCGTAATATCCCCTTCGCTGCAAAGCTGTCGTTTAAGCGAAGTAGCTCTTCCACAACACACCCTCCAAGTCCTCCAGCTGCTCTTGTTCGAACGCCTAAGTAAAAGTTAGTACAATCCATGATCGTATGAGAGTTGAAGACTTACCTTGACATCAACATGCCAAGTATCCTGCCTAGTCTTCTTGAAGTCTGCCAGAACAGTCTTGACACTCTTGCCAACCATGCCAGGATCGGCCGCGGCCTTCCTAGCCAGCGTCGCCAATACATCCGGCAACCAGGCTGGCGGAGGGCTCTGATATGGGAAAGCTTGAATAAGCGCACCGAGACCTAGGACAGCTGCGTGACGCGTCAGGACGAGCTTGCCTTGCTCGGTTGTCGGTGTTCCGGGGTTGCGCTTCTTTGGCAATGGGTTCTTGTTGAGCTGCTTGGTGAACCGCTCCTTGAGTGTAGAGACTTGGCGGTCGCGGAACGCAATTGGCGAGCAACGAATCATGCCCGATAGTGTGGTGGCAGCACCCATCCGTACTTCGAGTTGTGTGTCTGACAGCATAGCGGAGACGCAATCAAACATGCTCTGTTGCTGTTCCTCGCTCATGAGGAAGAGTCGGCGGAAGTAGATGACTTGGATGTTGATGAGGATCCTAAGACGCTGATGCCAGCTTGTCGCGTTGCGTCCGATGCGAATGAGGGCAGAAATGAAGTCTGAGTCCTCACCTTGGCGATGCGGGATGTTCGGCAGGTGGCGGAAGACATGATAGGCCAGCGACTGTAATTCGGGATCTTCCTTGATGTCCATCATGTGTAGCAGCTGCTCCATGAAAACATCGGGGAAGAACCTGACCAGCGAGGTACACTCGTAGGATGAGAGCGTAGAGTCGAGCCAGAGAAGAACAGTCTTACCACCTGATGTGTACGACGAAGGTGTCTGTTGACCTGCCGGACGCTCTCCGCGCCAGACCTCGAGGCGATCGAAGACCTCGGTGATGGTTTTCGTGAACTCTTCCGTAGGCTGGTAGGGGCGTTCACCAATTGAAGAAGCGTCCTTTTGCGCCTTCATCAGCGTGTCGACATCCTTGTACGATTCGTGGTAACGTGTCCTAAAGATACTCGCGATAGTCTGGCCCATGGCTTCTCGCACGCCCTTGTACGGATGGTCGAGATGCTTCATGAAGTCTTCCAAGATCGGCTTCTCGAGACGGAAGTGCCAGCCCGCATCGCAGATACATTGCGTGAGCAAGTGGACTTTGGAGCTCTCTTTGAAGGCAGCGTTGGACTCCATGTCAAGGCGGAAGCTAGCTAGCCAGTCGACCAGCGGCCATCCTCGGCGTGGATCCTTAGACTGCAACACAACATGTAGGAAGGTAGTCCAGTAACCAGAGTTCTCTGGTGTCAGTCCGTCTTGGAAGATGCCACGAACGATGGGGAACACATATTCCCATACGGCTTCGCGTTGGTCTGCTTTGAGATCTGGGGCGCATGAGAGCAGTGCGGCCATGATCTCAGCGGTGGCACGATGCTGATGCTTGTCGCTTCCATCAGCGTAGACAGACTGGGTCAAATCCTTGATGTCTTCGAACGTCGCCTCTGTCAACCCGCAGAAGACTAGGTCGAATGAATGAGTCAAAACCATCGCGCTTGACATACGGAACCTGTCGGCGCTGTTGTCACGTGGCTCTTGCTTCATGAACGCGAAGTAGTTGGAGAACCAGGATCGAGTTAGATGCTTGGCGATCTTTTGGCGGACGCCAGTCTCGACATCATCATACGATAGCTGGGGCGCATTGGGCTTGAATGCTGTCATGCTCTTGTTCCACACAAGCCAGCCAGGGTAGTCAAAGTCGACGTAGTACTTGGCTTCTGGCTGCGCAAATGAGGCGAGGTACTCCTCAGTCCAGTTTGGGTCCTCTGGCTTGGTCGGTACCGAGATCTTATCTGGCAGCTCTTCTTCGCTGAGCAAGTACTTTTCGTAGTTGTGCCCGGTGATCGCACGGGTCTGGATGACGGAGTATAAGCCGATAAGTGCTCCAGCGTAGAGGCCTCGCAGACTTGGGTGTTGATCGATGGAGCCCTTCGCGACGAGATCAATCATCTCATCAGAAGCAATGCTGTCGTAACGCATTCCAAGATTAACGATGATGGCTGCAGTCCGGCTGACCTTCTTCCAGTGCTCGGTCTTGGCAATATCAACCAGCTCCTTGGACAGCTCAGCCTTCTTGCCTTCGATGCGAGCGCGCTTCTTCTTGATGTAGTCCCGACGCTTGTTGACTTTGGTATGCACACTATCGCCGTCACTGGAGTCGATAGCGTACGCGATCGCTTCCACAACCTCCTTCGGGAGGATGACCATGCGCTCCATCGCCTTACCCATGTCCATGATTTGGAAAGTAGCGTTAGTCGCTAGCTTTTGCACCGAAGGCTTATCGGCACCGGTGACCTCGATGAACGCCTTGATGAGCTTAGGCGTAAATCGCCAGTCGCGGCTGATGGTCTTCGCCAGGCTGCCGAACAGAAGAGTAAACATCGCACCCTTGATGCGAGGGTAGTCACTCTCGGCAACAGCCTTGACGAAAGCATCCAGTAGAGGAGGAATGACAAGAGGCCTAGCACCCAGCACGCACTTAACGGCTGACTCATTGGCTGTCTGTGCGGTGCGCCGGATCTCGGTGTAGACTGAGATACTGGATTCGGCGAGATCGAGCAGCAAGATCATGTCGAGATCTGTCTTGGGTCGTGGATTAGCATTGTGCCGTAAACGCTGCAGATGGTAAACGTTTGCGCGTCGAACCAGTAGAGGTCGTGGGTATTGCTTTCGCAGTCCACTAAATCGGAAAGGTCGCTCGTCGTTCTCTAATAGCCTAGAGATTCTATCAAGCACATGAGCAGATCGCTCGATGCCAACATCGATGAACCACGACCGATAGGCGTTGTACAAAGAGTTGAAGCACGGCACGTCGTCAGGCTGCTTCTCGATCAAGAATTGATGTACGTTGTGCAACATCTGGCCAACCTGTTCGCGAAGATCGTGAATGAGGTTGTAGTTGTTATCGCCACGACGCAGAGGGTAGCCGGCTTCGTACTGGAAGGTAGGCTTGACCTCTTCATCTTCAGCTTCGCCTAGGCCGGCATCATCATCAATGCCTTCTGTATCCATCGCGTCAGCGTCAGAGTCATCATCGGACTCGGTGGCGCCATCAGCAGCCTGATCATGCCGAACATCAAACAAAACGGAGATACCGGAGATGATCAAGCGCAGCAGAACAAGATTTCGAGAAACCTCGTCGGACCAATCTTTGCCAGTGCCTTCGCGCTTAATCGGCGAGTCTGGTTGCGTCAGGGCTTTGAGTGCCTTCATCGAGTTGTTGGCATGAGTTTCGAAAAGCTTGACAGCGAAGTCAATCTCGTCGGAGCTCGGAGTATGCCACTTGATATTCAGCTTCTTAATATCGACCTGTCTACCCCACGACTCTGTCGACAAGCCTTGCGCAAGCTCGTCTTGCTCGTAGATCGAGTAGTCGATGGTGTAGGTGCATGTAAGGTTAAGTAGCAAGTGATGGATGAAGTTGGAAACATGTACGGTGGGCGTACCGCGGCACTTCTGCTGCATATATTCTGCAATCTCGAAGAGCTCGTCTTTCCACTCAAGAACTGCGTCACCAACATGGACAACACACATGCTAAGAATGCAAAGGTTCCAAACAAGGGCACGATCGCGAGGAAGCACCTCGGCGCCTGTTGTTCGCGTCGATCCAGCGCCAATCTCATCAATCTCAGTACGGATACCTGCCAAGAGATGTGGTAACAGACGCTTCAGTGCCTTTTCGGGATTGATCTTGACAAGACTGTTGCAAATGAACGCGATTGCATCCTTGGCTTGGTGAACGACATGGTTTGTGATGAAGTTCGCAATCTTGTCAAGGGCAACATCGTACAGCTCGGGAGAGAGTGCCGCCAGCAGCGGCGTGAAAGCAGCTGGTAGCTGGTTAACCACGTACTCTTCGGGAGAGCCACTGCGGACCCTAGACGCATCGGGCAGATTTTCCAAGAGCGTGAAAACGCGACCAAGGAATGTAATCAGGAATTCGTTGAGACCAGTTGTAGATGACCGCAGGATCATCGCCTCGTCCTCGTCACTGAGCTCCTCGTCGTAATTGATCTCAATGTTGCCGTTGGCGCTTTCTAATCGTTCGACTTGTGCTGTAATCCATTCCAAAGCAAGCCCTGTGTTACCGCCAGCGTCATTCATGGGCGAAGTTGCTCCGTCGCGAGATGTCTCATCCGACGCTTTCCGCGCCTTGGTGAGGTCCTGAAATGGAATGAGGTAGCACACGCCTTGGACGTATTGCAAAGTATGCACAGTCTTTTCCAGGTCGTTGGCGTCAATACCAGGGAGTGCAAGCCCGAGCACAGAAGTAACGTGACACCGGAAGCCCTTTGTCTTAGCCATGACCTTGGAGAGCATGTGCAACGCACGTATTGAAGAGATGGTGCGATGTACCTCGACAAGCCCTTGCATTGCGGGGTAGATGCGCTGCAACGCGCCAGGGAGAATGAGGTTGGGCTCAAGGTGTGCCAGGCTTTGTAGGGTGGACAAGGCGTATTGTACGGCTTTGTCGCTCTTGGAGAAGATGCCCATGAATGTAACCTCTCGTAGACAGAGTACGAAGCGCCTTTTTACTGCGTCGTTCAGCTTCCTCTCTTCTGGCACATCCATCTCCCCGCTGTGCTCTCGATTCCACCGCAGCACAAATATGTCGGCCAGGTAGTAGACAAACTGCGCCAGAGGTCTAGTCCAGCTACCCGAATTGGATGGATGGAAGAAAGTCTCCACAGCCTGGATGAGTCCTTCGAGCTTAGTCAGGATTGAGTCAGAATGCTCTGCACATGCAGGTGATAACGACATGGCGATGATGCGGGCGATGTGGTGAGTCGATGGGTGCTTCCGCGGGTCACGGTCGAGCATCACAGCGAGTCCAGCACCGAGATCAACAGTGTTACTGTATGGCGACGTGGCTTGACCGACTGGGATTTCCAGTAGCCGCAGGATGGCTGTGAAGATCTGAGATGACTGCTCGCCGGTGAACACTCCGTATTGTGAGAAAGGTACATGCGCCGCGGTCAGGTTGTCCCTAGACAGCCTCGACAGTGTATCAATGTAGTGCGCATCGAAGAGCCGCGACCGATTGACGAGCGACCATAGATGGAAGAAGGTTGGGAGATATTCTTGAGGCAGCAGTTGCTGCATGTCCTCAGGTGCAGGGTGGGTTGGGAAGAGCAAGTTTAATAAGCCAACCACGACAAATGCGTTCTCGCTGAACGATGTGCTGAAGAAGGGCAGAAGCTCTTCCAGTATAGCCGGTATCTCCTTGGGATCGAAGTACGACTGCGCAAAGGTGCACATCTTGGTCAACGTGCGAATATTGCGCTTTACATTGGGCGGGTGTGAGCCTCCGGATTCTGAGGGCAGGACGAACATCTTCAGCTCTCTATACAGGGGTCGCCAGTCGAGTATGAGGTCTTTGCCGGGTCGCAGGTAATGTTTGCGCCTGTCGCCGTGTCAGTCTCCACCCATCATCCAAACTCTAATGCTCGTGTCACTTACTTCGTCAGAACCATGAACATGCTCGCAAAGCGCTCTGCGACCAGGTAGTCCAGACCTGGAGCCAGCGCCAGCTCGTAGTAGAGCTTCACGAGCTTCACGCGCGTGCTGCGGGGGAGGTCGAACTTGAGCGATAGCCAGCCTCGGATCTCGCGCGTCCAATGTACAGCGCCAGGTGCAAAGTCGCCAGCCGAAACGGCAATGTAGAGGTGCTTCAGACATGTATTGAGGCTCTCCTCGCGATCGCTCTGGTCTTCTGTCTGGTATGGAAGGTATTCGAAGTAGGGGAATGTCCGTGGACGGCGCCGGTCGTCTGCTCCGTTGACGCCACCGTTGGGCTGCCGCCAGTCGCTACCTGGTGACGTAGCACGAGAGGTATCAGGGCCGGAGCCAGTATCGAGGGCGCTCATGAGCTGTGATATCCGTTCGCTGACCGCCATGGTGCCGGTTGGGGGTCGTGGAGGTTGTGGTGGGGGGTCGTGAGGCGTGTGCCTAGGGCGTAGTGGAGGGACGAGTCTTGGGAACGTGCAGTCATCAATGTACAGCTAGCAATTCACAGTCGAGGGCAGCCGGGACGGATTGACTATAGGCACAAACAGTCAGCAAGTGGTTGACGTGTAGTCGTAGTCGCGGACCGTGGAATACAGAGTAATCGCAGCACGTGGGGCGGGTGAAGTGCCGTGCGCGCTACTTACTCCACAAATGCGCCGTGTACAGCAGAGTCCGGGTGTTGGGCGTGATTGCGGGAAAGATGTCGTCGGGTACAATGGTTGACGGAGCGAGTGGTTCATGTGGGTAACCGGCGCCTCGTCCTGATGACATCTAGTCTGGAGCTCCAACCCTGCAACTTAGGCGAATGAGCGGCGGCAGCGTCGAGATCGTGGGGGGGAGACAGTCGCTGTCGCTGTCGCTGTCGAATGTTTGCAGTACAACTATTTCACTCGTTTAATCTCAGAGAGACTCGTACGCGCTGCTGAAAGGAAAAGTGCGCGGTGATTCATCACATTCCGGCGAAACGCGCTATATATCATCGGACCTCCGCCAGGCACTCAAAGACGCGCAATACACGCAGAGGCGACTACGCAGTAAGCTACACGTTTCTGCCATCTTCTGACCCGCTTTCTTTTTGCCTCTCGCCGCCCCGTTCCTACTCGCAGGGCTGCATTCGTCCTCCATTCTGCCTGCGCTTTCATCTCCTTGCATATTCGTCCCGGTGCACCAGGCTGGTGGCACGACACGCGACACGTCGGTTGCCTCGTACAAGGATGGCCTCCGATGCATTTATTTCACACCGCAGCATCAGCTGAAAGATAGTCATTTCTTTTCTTGTCTCTGCGTGTCTGCTTACTGACTGAAATGCTTGTCAAAAGATGAGTTCCTACTACGACGTTGACGCTATCTTGACGGATGCGCAAAAGGTACCATGTACCTTTGAGCTTACCGTTCCTGGCCTCGGCTATCTCGAGGGCAACATGAGCGGTGATATGAAGCAGGGTTCTAAAGTCGAGCTTCCACTATGGCTCGGCGAGATGCTTGCACTGAGGTAAATGAAGATTCTCATCATGTGTGCATTCCATATTCACAATATCTACAGTCAAAGTCTAAATACATCCTCGCTTGTGACCATCGACCCTCCGTCCGCCTTATCTCCGCGCGTCTTGAACGCCCTCAAAGCTGACCCAAGAACCGTCGATTTGCGAGCTCTCGCTCCGCACTTCTACAATCTCGGCGCACGAATCCTAGAGCTCTTTGAGGAAGAAGAGATGATTGAGGTACTGAGCGATGTGAGTTCTGGTCTCGATCGATGCAACGGTATAATGCTAACCCGCGTAGACATTCAAGGCCCGGGCTGCCCTCATAGCTGATCAGGCTCATAATCCACGAGGTGCATTAGGAGAAGGCGCCGACTTCATGCGAGGCCTAGATGAGAACGAGCGGCAACGTAGGTGTTGAGTGATTCAGCCATGCAAGAGCTAATGATGATGCAGTATTTCGTGCGGCACACGATAGCGCAAAGGGCGTACGGACGTGGATGGCAGATCTGAAGAAGAAATGAGCACGGTAGCCGGATCGCAGAAGACGAGTGCCATATGGTCGGCCAGGAGAGGTGGAAAGATCGACGCGCAGGAGCTTTGGAAAATGGAAGAACGCACAACGTAGTGATCAATGAGGAGCGCATGACAAGAAGCACGACGATACCAAAAGACGAGGTGAGGCGTGGTTGTGAAAGAAGCAGCTGTTCGAGCCTACCTTCTGAGTACGATACAATACCTGCAGGCACATAGTCCGCGAATGGGAACGTGTACAGCTACCGTATCTACCGCAATGATGCGCCCAGATTACTGTTCTGTAATAGTATAGCCAACTGCTCGGGCGGGTAGCCCAGGAACACAGGCCCATTGAAAACCATCTGCGGTACCATCTTCGGACTTTCCGTTTCTCTCGGCAGTTGTGATTGTTCCGGGGCTCGAGGTTGAGGTGGAGTTTCTGTCGGTGGAACATGTGTGGTCGGAGCCCGTGGTTGCCACTGCGGCGGCAAACTGTATTGTGGCACTTCAGGCTGCTGCGGCGTGTGTCCCGTCATCGCGCGATGATCAAATGGGCATTTGCCAGTCTTTTGGGGCGTCTCGCCAATTGGACGGCCAGTGTCGAGAGGTAGTTGCGGCGACGCTGTTGGTACTGAGCCAACCGAGGACGAGCTGTGTGCATTGGTGTATTTGGCAGGTATCGAGATGCCCCAGGGTCGACTTGGGGATTCGCCAACTCTGACTTCCTTTAGCGGGCGGTCAAAGTGTCCGCTTCTTGACTCGTCCAGTGTATTCTCTTCTGGTTCCTCCTCAGGCGGTGGGGTGCCATCGTTGAGACTTGCCGAGACAGCTGAGGCCCAATTTTGAACTTTGGTGTCCGCCTTTGCGTCGGTGCTGAAGTGGACTTCTGCCTCGGGCTCTTCTTCGATGGCGTCGTCGGGATCCTCAGGGAGCCACTCTTGATGTTTCTGACCGAGGCCCTGGATCATATTAACCAGATTGCCATACTTGCGATCTAGCTGCTCTATGCTCTCTTGGTTACTCTGGAAGCGCTTGATGCAAACCTCATGGCTTCTCGGTAGCTCATGCTTGTGTTTCTCAAAGTATTGGGCGACCTCCTCTGGGTTGTGTTGGTCGAGGAAGCGTATGGGACAGACGGCAGCGGAGCCAGACGCTGCTACTGAGGCAGTTACGGAAGCAGGATTGTTGCTGCATATTTCGGCGCGGATAGGATCGGTGAAGGAGGGTCGCTTTGATCTCCGTCCACGCGCGCTTAACCGGGACGTCGAGCTACGTGGGGTAGCAAGCGGGCTGCCTCTGCCGCTGCCAGATGCGAAGGGACAGGCGAGCTTACTAGGCGTTCCAGCAACAGTGAAATCTTTCTCAATGGGTGATGTGGCTCTATTGGTCTGTATCTCAGGTAACGAGGCGGATTTGTCTGCGGACGGACCACTCCATATTTTTACACTGCTAGTATTTTCATGGGCGTGCAGCTTGACAGCAGCCTCCTCAGCCTTCTGAATAACCAGTGCTCGGCTCTTGCGCTCTACATCATCGCTATGTGCCAACTGCTCCACCAAATTCACATGTATTCGCGGTTGTTCGTCTCCTACGCGCTCAAGATCTTGCAGGAAGGTAAGATGGTCTTGCGACAACGTGTTGGGCGTGAAGCGTTTCAAAAGGTCAAGATACTGGTTATTGTCAGCAGTGTACGTCGAAAGTATTGTTTGCTGAAATGCAGAATGATTGTCCGGATCAGGCTATGCTGTGATTGTTTTCGATCAGAGCTGCGAGTGCAGCTTCAGGTCTAGAGCTAAAGTTGTTCATCATAAGAGGGGAGGGGTGTGAGAAGACATCGCGTACCTGTTGCTTAGCCCACGAGAGCTTGCTTTCGAGTTGTTTCTGTGAATCAAACAAAACCTGGTATTCTCCACTCAGAGCTGCAAAGCCTTCAACGAGCTGCTCGGCGAGCTCCGTCACGTTACTCTGAGGCTGTTCAGCCATGGCGATGTTAGTAGAGAGATGAGTGGAATGCTACAGCAGGGCGGATGAGCGCAGTGTTGATGACGCGGCAAATGAGGCTTTCGTCGGTGAAGAAGAAAGATTGACGGAAGGTCGGCTGCCGGCAAAGAGATTCGAGAATCGGAAGTGACGGGTGCGCCACGCCTAACGCAGTCAGCCCAGCCACACCGCCGCAGGGCCCCGAAGTGACGCGACTCCCAGACCATCGCTGCGCCTTGAAGTCATACGTAGCATCTTGCGTTGGCCAATTCTTATACACCATGATACCCTGATCTCCTTTTCTGCAATCGCATCGAAAGGTCATCTCACCCGTCCAGGACACACGACGTCGCATTTCCCTCGAAATTCCGAAGCCCCTACGCCCTAAGCCGAGTACCTCAACAATATTCACCATGGGTTCCCTCCACGACTCACGCATACACAAGTGGTTTGCGACCTCGCCGCCCGTCGCTTGGACTGTCAGACAGCTGCGAGAGCTTCTTATCGGGTCACTGAAGCAAGGCCCTATCCCGCAACATGTTGCGTTCGTGATGGACGGCAACCGCCGGTTTGCGCGCAACCACCACATTGAGACTGTAGAAGGACACAACCTTGGGTTTGAATCGTTAGCGAGGGTATGGGAGACTGTCATCAGTGTTTCTGAGCCATGCTGACCGTCTCAGATCCTCGAAGTCTGCTACAAGACTGGCGTCAAGGTCGTCACCATCTACGCATTCAGCATAGAGAACTTCAAGCGCTCTAAGCATGAAGTCGATGCCCTCATGTCCATGGCCAAGGTGAAGCTGCAACAAATGGCAGAGCACGGAGCCTTGCTGGATCGTTACGGCGCATCCATCCGGGTGCTGGGAGAGCGTGAGCTCCTCAGTCCCGATGTACAAATGGCTGTGGACAAGGCTGTTGCAATGACAGCACACAACAAGAAGTACGTTGCCCGCCGCTCATTACGTGACATCGCTGACCACCCGCAGGGCTGTCCTCAATGTCTGCTTCCCTTATACTTCGCGACACGAAATCACGACTGCAGTCATGAAGACTGTCGAGACGTACGGCACGCCGATACACAACCTGCCCACCCCTTCGAAGCGAACTTTTTCCGAATCTCATATTACCCAGCATATTCGCAAGCAAATGTTGGAGGAGGATACAGAGGGCCTTGCTGAGCAGGCTGATTCGCGGCCGGCGTCACCCTCGAAAGATGCGGCTTTGGCTGAAGACGGGCGTTCCTCGTCAACTTCGACCGCCATCAACTCGCCTGAGAAGGATGACTCGAATAATGGGCCGACGTTTCTGGACCCAGAGTCCATTAGCGCTCAGACCTTGAACGATAACATGATGACGGCTGATGCCCCGCCTCTTGACCTGCTAGTCCGTACTTCTGGCGTCGAGCGGCTGAGCGATTTCATGCTATGGCAAGCCCACGAAAACACGTCCATCGTGTTCCTCAAGTGTCTGTGGCCCGAGTTTGATCTGTGGCAGTTTTTGCCTGTGCTGGTAGAGTGGCAGTGGCAGCAGAAGAAGCTGCAAGAGGAACAACAACGGACACGTGGGCGGTCCAAGTTAGACTGAGGGCGTCGACTGTAGTATATGGCGCAAAGCCCTCGCGCACCATAGAAGCAGGCAGATCTGAACTTGAGCGAGCATCGAAGATACCCAGAACAGAGCATTCCATTCGTCTAGCCGTAGGCTTTCCACAGCAAACCATATCTTGTAATACATGTCGATCTTGCGCTATCGTGGCACGTGTACATATGCGCAGCTAATCGCTCGCCCATACCCTGACCGTTCGTGGTTTGCGACCGCGCATGCGACACTTCGGGCGCGCACTAGCCCATTGCCTAGTGCGCCGAACAGCTTTAAACGTCATCTCACGCTCGGAAGAACCACCGCTGGCAGGAAGCTTCAGCCGGGATGTGAGCTGAACATGACTTATATTCCGCGCGTTCCGCAGCATTGGGCTGGACTGACAGCTGCCGTCAAATCGTTCGCGTGTAACTTGATCTTGCTTATCGGCCAGTTGCACCGCTTACGCAGCACGACCATTTGTTTGGGTCAGGCTACCAACTTCTAAGATAGACTACTCGTTATCAGGTAGCTTCCCTTTTAGCATCGCTCGGTCTCCTTATAAGCAGGGAATCGCACGTTTCTGAGATTGAACCCTTCACGGCGCAATAACGGTATCAACACCATGAGTGCCCCAAATATTCTAACGATACCGGTTGAGTTGCGCGAACTCATCTATGGCTTCCTCTTCAGCAGCTACACTATCCAGCATGGTTTCAAACATGCTAGCACTCCTAGCGACGACTCCGAGTCCTCTAATCGCATAGCGCTCCTGCTCTGTTGTCGCCAGATCTTCGCCGAGGCGCACCGCCATCTCCCGCTCAATTGCACACTCCATTTCCGCGGTACAGAGAATTTGCTCGAGACGCTGCTTTCCGTCGATCAGAGTGTGTTAACGCGTCTGCGCCATGTCCGAGTGCGCGCGTATCCCTTCCCGTTGTATTCCTCAGGAAGCTCACAGTACTACCCGACCTACTATGCAGCGAACGCGTTCACACTACTTCCAGGCCTCTGTCTGGACACCTTGGTCGTCGAAGACTGCTGGCACGGTTTCGGCATGTGCGACGGTTGGCGAGATGTCACAACCTATTTCGATATCGAGACACTCTTGAATAGCGACGCTTGGAAAGAACTGACATACATCACCCCGTGTACCGATTTCATCGCGTCCGGCTACGACCATCGGCGTAAACGATCGGCACAACCTGAGAACTGGGATGCGCTGCTTAAGGAACGAGATGGAGAGGAGTTCGGCGCAGAGGTCAAGATGTACATCGTTCCGTATGTGCAGCAGACAGCGACTGGCGATGAAAAGACTGAGGACGGGCGCACTATGCAGCCCTGGACAGCGAAGCCGGGCCACGAGGTCAACGAGAATTGGCGTATCGCTGGGCCAGAACAGGACATGAAAGGCGAAGTAAGGATTATAGCGAAAAGAGGCAAAAGGTCAAGGGCTGTACAACTAGGACTCGCTGGGAAGAAGACCTGGAAGGAATTGAAGGGGAAAGAGCTAGGTGGCTTTGCCCCCGAAGGTAAGTCTCATTCCAAACTCCTGTGAAGGCCATCAGCTCACACTACGCAGGATGGATACCGTACCACAACGAAATGGCCGACGCGGTCGCGTGGATATATGGGGGCCACGGCAGGAGGATGCAACTCGCCAACGCTGCTCTGAACAGTTGACTACATGGCTTCACAACGCAGCCGGTTTACGCGCCCTGGATGTCGACCCAAACGTAAGGGTGGCTGGCGGCCGGGTCCATGGCCATTCAGACCCTTGTCGGCATTTAGGCTGTATGCACCCGACACTGGGGTACGGCAAGTATAATTCCTAGACACGTTCCTACACGTTTCTAGCACGCGGCGTAGCGCGTGAATAGCACAAGGTGGCTGAGAGGTCTTACACAACGCGCTGTGATGATGAGGTAGAGCAGCGTAGGAAAAGATGGACGCTTCGGCGAGCAACAATGAGCAGTATGTATTGGAAGGGTGCCGCTGCATTGCTGTGACTATTCTGCCTATTGTGATCCCGAAGTGGATGTCCCTGCCGCCTCCATCTCTTGGTAGTATTGTAGTACAAACACTCGCTAGTCCTCGTGGCGTGTACACCCGCGCAACGCTCTCCTCGCCGCTGCTCTGCAGTGAGCGAGGGACTGCCCGTTTGGCGCATCCCTTCGCATGTCCGAAGTGAAGGAAGGCGCCTTACAAATAATACCACTACTCACTACACGCAGTTGCCTCCCATCGACCGTCGTCTTTTCGCCTCTTCAACACGGGACCACAGACGCGGAATTGCGTATTGCTTGATTGTACCAATTCGGCCGCCTGCTGTACCTTACCAGGCGTTTTATCCTCATTCTCATGCGCGATAGCTTCCCGCTACCCCGGTTCCCGCCAACATGGTAGGCACACTTCGCTGCGCAAGTCAACCAATCACTGACGGTCATTAGATCCAACTACTCGCCATCGTTATCATGTCGACTCTACACGCTGGATTGTCAATCGCCCAGCAGTATCCGCTACCCGTAACCTATGATACCGTTATCCAGTCGCCTGCAGACCCGCGCATCACCATATCCTACAAAACACCCGACGCCCACACATGCGCAACGGCATTTGAGACGCAGAAGCAGTATACTGGATATGTCAACATTCCCCCGTTCACGCTATCGCCGGTCGAGCAAAACTACCCGATCAACACCTTCTTCTGGTTCTTCGAAGCACGTGAAAATCCGGAAACTGCTCCGTTGACCATCTGGCTGAGTGGAGGACCTGGCAGTTCGAGTATGATTGGTCTCTTCTCAGAACTGGGACCGTGCGAGCTCGTAGAAGGGCCAAACAGCAGCTACGTCTCTCAGCCTAGGGTTTGGGGATGGGACCGTAGCTCCAACATACTCTTCATCGATCAACCTACGCAGGTCGGCTTCTCGTACGATGAGCGCCTCAACGTTTCGGTCGACTTCAGCAAAGGCTATTGGGCGGATCTAGACCAGCGCATAGAACCTTCTCCGCTTCCCACCGACGTCCCGGAATGGCGCTTCAAGAACGGCACTTTCCCGTCTGCCAGCTCTAAGAAAACCGAGAACTTGACCGTTATTGCCGCGGATTCCTCGTGGCACTTCCTTCAAGGCTTCTTGTCAGCCTTTCCCCAGTACAATCCTGGTGTTCGACCCGACAACGACACCGTTAAACCCTCTGAGATAAACCTGTTCGCTGAGAGCTATGGAGGTGTTTATGGTCCTGTCTTCGCAGATCACTACGAAGAGCAGAACGATCGTCGAAAGAAGGGCGATCTTCCGGCTGAAACGTTGGAAATACGCGTTGGTTCAGTGGGCATCGTCAACGGTATAATGGATGTCAGGACGTCAACAACCTCTGGCTTGCTTTTCGCATACAATAATACCTACGGCATCAACGGCTACGATCTTACAACTTATCAAAACGCGATAGCAGATGTTTACGCAGAAGGAGGTTGCGTAGATTTGGTGGACCAGTGCGCTGCTTCGGCAGCTGCTAATGATCCCAAAGGTCTGGGTACCGTCCAGGAAGTTAACGACCTTTGCCTAAGTGCTCTCTTAACATGCCAAGAAAATGTTGGCCCCGCCTATCTTCCTGGTAGGAGTATCTACGACATCCGAGCTCTCCCGACAGTTGGCCCTAGTGATGCACTCGAGACGTATCTAAACGAAGAACACGTTATGCAATCCGTGGGTGCTCCAGTCAACTTCACTTCTACAAATGACATGGTTTTGGATGCTTTCAGCTACAGTATGAGATCATGCCCTATTCTTGGTTCTACACGCATCTACCTTGCTAACTCTAATCCTAGACGGAGACTCCGCCCGCGGAGGCGCATTGGAGGCTGTGGCAGACTTGCTCGCTCGCGGCATCAAAGTCGGCCTCATCTACGGTGACGCGGACATCATATGCAACTGGTATGGAGGACAGAACAACTCCCTCGAGATCGCCAGTCGTGTCCCAGGCTATGAGACCGCTTTCAAAGAGGCTGGATACGCGGAAATTCAGGTGAACGACTCTTACGTTGGCGGCGCTGTTCGTCAATATGGTAACCTGTCCTTTTCTCGGATCTACGACGCCGGCCACTACGTACCGAAGTTTCAACCAGAGACCGCATTTACCGTCTTCAGTCGCATCATTAAAGGCGATGACATCAGCACCGGTCGCAACGTCGACCTTTCCAGTTTCAGTACAGAAGGCCCTGGCACGTCTGAGCACAGGAATGACCCGGGAGAGAGCCCTCCATCAATCTGCTGGATTCGTCAAGCTATCCTTGCCTGCACGGAGGAGGAAAACGCAGCTATCATCGCGGGCAATGGTACCGTGAAGGCGGGCATCTGGTATCCATCCGAGGAGAACGTGCCGACTAGCGCGGGTGAATCCGAACTGCAGCCCACTGCGACAAACTCGGTGCCTCTGACTGGAGTATACACCGCTACCGGCGACCAAAAAGTCAAGCAGACATCTGGAGCATCGGCACTTCGACTCAGCCTCCCATTCCACCACTCGCGCCGCCAGATCCTAAGCGATCTATTATCTGAGCCGGAGGATTCTTGCGACAAGATCAGTAGCATCAGGAACGGTCTCATTGGTGGTCTTGCTGCAGCTGTAGCTCTGTTGCTGTGAGTGCATTGCACTCTTCCCATATATGTCATATAGACCATCTTGCACTCTCATTCGCGCACTTTCTCTTCACAAACATTTTACATTTCAGACATCACCTTGTAGCTACGGCCGCGCTTTCTCTTCTCAAACCCACCTTTTACTGAAGAATCTATACAGAGGTTTACTTTCCATTCTGTGCTGCTGCCGTTGCTTCAGACGACGTAAAGTCTACGAAGGACCTTTTCCGGATGATGCTGAAAAGGGTCCAATTGTTGTCGAGCAAGTGATTGATGATGATCCGACACCAACGTCAACCATTTTCGGCCGGCAAATAACACACATGGAATCGATACCTGAAGCAAGCCCTAGACCAAGCGATGATCTAGTAGACAGAGCAGCGAAACCAACCAAACCAGCAGCTATGCCAACCGCAGAAGAAGAGACCCCTGTCCCGCCCGTGCAGCGATCGGTCTCCCCGTCGCAACAAGCAGGCCCATCAGCGCGCGTACCAACTATCCCACCTACAGAAACTTCGCTTCTCCCACCCAACACAAGCGTTGTGGCGTGTCCCCAGAAATCTCCCTCTGTGTCCGTGCCGCCAACCAGCACGCCGCCCTTCCAATCTTCCACACCAACACCGCCAATCAACACACCCACGCCCCCGCCACCAAATCTATCACCGCCTGTACCTGAGCCAACGCCTTCCCAAGCCCTGACTCCTGGATCAACGGTCATCCCTTGCTCTCGCTCACTCCTGCGCACTCCTCCGAGTAATGTCCCGTTACCACCTGACACGCAGTTGCCGAAGATAGAAGGAGAGTCTGGCCCAGCCCCGCCACAGCCGTCGTTGCTTACGCGGATTAAAACGCTGTTTTTACCTACGTCTACGTCGGAGAATGAGGGAGGGGGTGCAATGACTGATGGTACGATTGATAGGCGGGTGTTGAACCCGCGGGTTGCTGTGAGACCGGCGCAGAAGCGTGTGACCAAGGCTGCAGTGCCGAGTTGATCGACGGAGGTTTGGTTTTGGTGGGGGTTGCGGTTGGGAGTGTGTGGGTTTGACTTGTTGGAGGTTGCGGCGGTAATGGACTTGCGAGTTGGGATTGGCTGGTTATTGGTATGCAGATGATGGACGGGTAATGATCGTGCTGGAAGGCGACGCGTGGTGTTGCGACTGTAAGGATGGGGGTTGGGTAGAAGGAGTTGGTAATGACTTGGGATACATCCTCAATGCCCCAAGCGAACTGACCTCATGTCGTGCCTAGTGGAAATGTGAGATGCTGATCCATAGATACGATTTCTCATTTCGAAAGCACATGTGACTGTTATTAAAACTACATATCCGAAACGCGACGCTCCCGTCGCGATCCTCAACAGGTAGTGATGTTACATGAAGATGAAGATGACGCCCCAGGAGTTCGGCAATGCGTACCCCCTGATCGTTCCTGATCCTGGTCAGGAGTGTATTGTGCCCGTTTGGAGTAGTTGTCCAGAAATCGTTATGGTAAATGCCCAAAGCTCGGCGTGGTGGCGTCGTGACATGCATAGACCCAAGTGCGTCTAGCAAAACTGAATTCGAGAGGAAAGAGTTGAGCAGGAGAGTTTGTGGGGTTGCCTCTGGCCTTAGGCAGGTTTCCCATCTACTAAGACGCTGCCGGCTCTGATGTCCTTCTGCGAATAGTGCATCAAGGTACGGCTTTGTCTCTAACTGGCTCAGATCTAACCAGTATATATCCGTCGCACGAGATACACTGACCGTTCTGGAGAAGGAATCACCACGCTGGCACCAATCTTGGTGATTGATGGTCTCAGGCAAGGGACTGGGGAGATCTCACTTTTGAGCACACTTTGCCGGAAAGTACAGACGCTTACCTGCGTGCGATTTACCGCAGGTACGTTCAACATCCAACTCCAGTTTTCTTATCTCCTAGGAGCTGGGCTGTAGAGGCGCCATGGCGTCTTCGTCGATGAGCTTCCCGTATTCTACAGGGTTGCAAAGCGACCGTAGGGATTTCTAGTATGTAGCAGCGGTGATGCGACTACTAATGATTTCAAATGCTGAAGAGCACTAGCTCTTTGATATACGTAATGCTCGTATTTGTGCCGCAGGTCCTGTAAGTTGAAGTATGAGACCTCGTAACTCAGGAATTTGCAGCATTCGATGTTCTGCAATGAAAAGATGATTTCCGCTTGCTTCTACGTAGTGAAGAGTGCTTTTATGACTCAATAATTTGTAGCGGTAGCTGGATATACGTGTCGTCCCCTGCTGCTCGACCCGCTGTCTTCAGTCTTGAACTGCCGAACGTTCTGTATCGGAGTAAGGCGGCTCTGTTTTCGGGCAGGTATACGTTTTGTCGCGTAGATCGTTCAAGAGATTACGATCCTCTAGAGTTCGGAGTGAAAGGCTCGTAGGATCACGATCAGGGTCGTAGAGTGCAAAGAGGAACGGCATTCGAAATTACATGTTCGTTTTGCCTGGATCGCTTAGGGCGATATGCATTTGAACAAAGACTTTGTTGTATGGATATCAAGAGGCAATAGTAGCGGAGAAGTGTCCCTTATGTGAATGCCGATCACGAAATGTCAGTATATCTGTCCTCTCTGTGTTCCATGGTCGCTGGTTCCATCACACGATGGAGCTGCCAATGGTTGTCTTGGAGCTAACCAAACTAAAGCTAGCGTCTCAGCAAACTTAGCGAGCCTGGCCTCTCATCCATTTCCAACAGCACGACGTTGAGGCTTCGACCTTAGTTTTGCTTCTACCATCCCGAGGTCGCAACACGTTGCAGTTGTCGCGTGAACTTCGAGCGTGGCTTTTTATTGCATATTACGAAGCATACGTGTATACCGTTGTCTTATTTGACACCGGCCTGATCAATCATGCGAAAACGCGACTTCCAGATTCCCGCTGCATTCTGGAATGAAGCCTGACGACAGTAATTTGCAGACTTGTGAACCTTTTTAAAGGTATGTATTGATAATCCACAACCCATGGCGACCAAATATCTTTGTGAGTACTACCTTTTAGCTGTATTGCCAAACACTAACGCCGTCCTAGAGATATTCAATAAATTCTATCTTCATGCATACCAACGTAGACTCTACATAAACCCATCCCTCTGTGAGCCTCTGTGAGGACTGCGCGCAATGTTTCGGCTGATAAATGCCGGTCATCTACTGTAACGTGAAAAATTTATCCTGAACCATGGTAGATAGGCGACACCCACTGTTCTTGCCAATGGGACACGCTCATGATGTATGTTCCAGGAGCTGGATGCCCTCAAGCGAACGGTTGCTTGAGCTTGCTCAGAAACCTCCTAGTACTTTCAGGAAACCGATGCGACAACCGTGCACTACTTCACCTCGAATGCTCCATTTCGAGAAAGTGCGATCCGCGACAATCCTCACTCTCACCTTGTCACATACAATACTCACCCTGGAACTGAACTCAACCCTCCACAACTCTTAGTACGCTCGCAACTCCTTCAGCTCTCTCGAATGCACGATGACAGTCTTCGCAAACAAGGAAACGTTCAACAGCCTGGGTCTCGAGCAGGTCCAACAGTCGCACGCGCACGCATCGCAAGACTGCACCATCTGCCGCCATGCTCTCGCCCTCCACCTTACGAAGAGTAAATCCGCGGAGTCCAAGCTCCACTCTGCTGTGCGAATCACCGCCTGTGGCCACATGATCGGTCAAGAATGCCTAGACGCCTGGCTGGATGTCGGTAACACATGTCCAACATGCAAGCGCCTTCTCTTCGAGCCTACTGGCGACCCTATCACGCAGCAAGACATCAACAACATTCTGCGCACACTGGGTCCGGATTACGGCGAAGACGCAATCATGGCCGTTGTGGCGCGACGCGTCGCCCGCCAGGAACAAGAGCATGCGCGAATGAGACAGGCGCATGAGATTGAGCTGGAGAGAATGAAGGCTGAGGAAACAGAGGCTAGGAATGATGCGTTCACGCTGTCCAATGACGATTTCCTGGACAGCGATGAGGACATGGATTTCGAGGAGGCCGACGACGACAATGAGGACTTTGAGGCAGAGGACGATGGCTCAGACTCGAGCTAGCTTCTCCTACAGAGCTGATGGCAAGAGAATGTCAGCATATACGCGTAGCTCAGGGAGTCTTTGCGACTCGATCAGAGGTTTATGAGTGATGGAGTGCTTCCGATGAGATCTGGAATTACTCCGGCGGGAACAGCCACGTAGAGGATGGATATGATGTCATGGCCACAATGGCCTGTCTATCCGAAGCTACTGAGTACCTCAGGGGCCATATAAGACATTAGGATACAGCAAAGTACACTTTGATGTGTTCGTCAAATGTAATCATTATCGCTCAACCTCTGCGCCGATCTTCGCCCGCTCACTTACTCTCCACCCTCAAGTTCGTCCACATCATACCCGTGACCGGCACTTTGGCGACCGCAAACCCAATGAGAACCTTGACCTGCAGATTATACGCTTCACCAAACACCCTCCTCACATGCTCCAGCGTTTCCGGTGAAAGAGTCTGCACCAACTCCGTCCTTTCTAGCAGGCTCTCTGCAAGCTCCAAGGGTAGGATGTCGGTCAGATGGGTCCGGATATAGGGCGTGGAGATAGATGTAACGATAGCGATGCCGACTAGACCGCCCAGGGTGCGGAACTGCGATGTAGCTGCTGAGCCAACGGCTGGTAGTCGTCAGTGAACGAAGAACCTGAAGATATGCGTGTGTGAATGTAGCGGATAACTTACCCAAATCCCTCTTATCCATCGCATACGGCACAAGCAGGATAAGCCCCGAGTTGACAAGACCAGTCCCCGTACCTGCGATGATCTGGAACGCATACTGACTAGCGTCAATGTGCGACGAAGTATCGATCTGCGACAGCAACGCAATACCGAGAATCTCCATCAGGGAACCCCCGAGAATAATCCAGCATGGCGGTATCCTAGGCTTGCCCATCATCGCACCAGCGATACCACTACCGAATGGGACGAAAGCGCCGTAAGTGAGGAGGCGGGCGGCGGCTGCGAGGGGAGAGAGGCCGTTTACCGTGATAAAGCGTTGGGGGATTTGCGCAATGCATACGAACATGACCGTGCCGGAGAGGTAGGTATTTCTGCATGTCTACGTCAGGAGGATGCATTGTGAGTGTATAACGTCGTGAACGTACATGATCATGCCAAGCTGAATGCGGCTCTGACAGAAGCGCCAGGGAAAGACGGGCTCGGGGTTAGTGCGACGCTGCGTTGCGTACCATTGCCATGTGAAGAACGCAATCGCAAAAGGCGCGGAGACGACGAGAAGGGGAAGGACTTTGTTGGAAGACCACTCATAGTCTAGCGATGCTTGTTGAAGGCCTGTAGCGAGTAGTACGAGAGTACCTAGCATCAACGTCGCTCCTAGGAAGTCAAGTCGACGGAGGGAGTGCTTCGAGAAGATGGGGTGTGTTTGTTGCGCAGCTGGCTCGTTGAAGAGGGTTCTAGGAAGCGTGAAGCAAAGTGATACAGCAGTGAGAACTCCCACAGGAACGCTATTACGATGTCAGTACGCTGAGAAATGACGTTGAGTGCCTTGCACATACTTGAGAAGGAAGATCCACCGCCAGCTACCGTGTAGGGTGATACCGCCTCCAAGAAGCGGCCCTGTAATTAGGCTGAGCGCAAGTACCATACTAACACCCGCCATGTACTTTGGCAACTTTCCCGGCGGAGCAATTTCCATGAACATGAGTTGAGTGAGCGCGTATACACCACAGCCGCCGATACCCTGACACCATCGGAACATGATGAGCTGGATGAGTGTCTGACTAGCTCCACAAAGCGCCGAGAAGATAGTGAAGATGAGTAGCGAAGCGATGAGGGTGTATTTCCGTCCTGCGATGTCCGACAGTTTTGCCCAGATCATCTGAAGACCTTACACAGGGTTAGCGAAGTGCTCAGTCTTTGAGGGTGAAGAAATACTTACTGCAGTAGGTCAACATGTATGCCGTGAAAAGCCATGAGCTCTTTTCATAGCCACCCAGTTCGTCAGTGATGTCCACGATGGCCGTGCTGATGACAGTCGATTCGAGAGTCACGAGGAAGATCGAAATTGTGAGACCAGCATTGATCAGGTAGAGCTTCAGACCTGTGATGTACTTCGACTCATCAGTCGCTGCCACCGGCTCAGCTTCATTGGGGGCGGAAGTGTTTGTCGACGCCTTCTCGACACTTGAAGTATCCGGTACGGCCTCGTCCCTCGGTGTAGGAGACATGGTCATGCTTTGGTAACGCAAGTGTGGAAATGAAATGTGGTGAGTGAAAGAGAGCGCGAGAGGAGTGCAGGAGTGAGAGTTTACGAGACCTCGCTAAGGCTCCAGAGAGGCAGGCGCGTTATTGTCGTTGCTGTTACTGGGTGACCAAGGTAGGTGCGAACTCCAAAGTCAGGCATGACTTGCATGGCTTGTGTGGAAATGGACAATGGGATTATAAGAGTGCTACAACCAGGGGCTGGCAACTGTGCCACGTATTGTATGCAACCACGGCGTTTCCCTTAATCTTTCGATAAGACTGTGCCATTCACTGGTCGTGAAAATGCGGTTCTCCATCTGCGTACGGCGAGAAGTACTATTCGAGTATTGACAGCCCGACGATGTAACAAGTTATGCCTCCCATTTGCCGCGCCATGGCGCGAGTCTATAGTAAGTAAGCTGACTGTACCAGGAAGACGGTATCACACAACGCCGCAATCAAACGGGGTTTTGGTTTTGGCCCCATGCATAAGCGAGCAGGATCAAGATCCCCATATGTGAGGCTGTTCTCGGTATGTCCGAATTCGTGCAGATAGTGAAGTACGTTAGCTCTTAGCTAAGCTGTGGGTTGCCCTTTCCTTCCCGGTAGGATCGTTGTTGTGGGGGCGGGGCTGTGCGACCATTGGGGCTGGTGTTAGCGCAGGCGCGAGCCGCCCGTTGGATGTTGAACCTGGAGCCGTATTTATCCCGTACCGAGTGCTTGGACATCACTCGTCCATGGTCCAATAGAAATCGCTCGCATGCGAAAATCCTCTCGTTTTATCGACTGTGCCGGAGAGCGGCATTCTTTATTAGTCGCGTGGTGCCATAGTGCAACCGAAGAGGGTGTCCAGTGCGAATGGTCCACAAATGCATAGCGAACGTTATAGCGCGATTAGAGTCGACTTGGCGAAGGACCTTATTCTCTCTATATTTGACGAAAGTCTGCCGCAGAGTTCTCGCTATCATTTATTGTTCCTGTGAAATCGTGTGGAAGGTGGCGACACTTCTCGAGCGCACCAAAGCATCAGATTACGACCAGGACGAACACGGTCTTTTGTAACATCACTGCGGATACAGTGGGCCACAGGTTGATTCCCTCGAACTCTTGCCCCACGGCAATCTAGGGAAAAAACGAACAGGTCTGCAGCCTACATCAACATAGAAACATGCAAGGTGGGTGACCTAACGTTGATGTAGGCTCTAGACCTGTTCAGTTTTTTTCTTGTATAAGGTGGCCCCCAAGATGAGCCCCTTCAATAGGCGCCTGAGCTACAAAATAAGTATAACTTGGTCGTCGTCGCGGTCGGCGACTTGGACGAAAGCTGGATGACTACAAAATCAATAATCCAATATGCCGCGATGAGACCTAATCTTGAAGGAAGCCTATCACAACCACATCCGCTTACGTGCAGTTTGACACTATACTCAAAACATCCATCGCGCTTATAGTCTCGCCAACAGCAAGACGACGGGAAGTCTCAAACCATCGTTGGCTTGGGGCCATGTGCGTACGGGTGTATTGAATTGTGGCGTTAAGGGCTTCTCCGCTGTCAAAGCCCACCCCGCTGATGTAGCACTAGTTCGCCCGATATACTCGGATGATTGTTGATAGAGATAGCCTTTCTCAGTTAGGATGGTATGGCATCGCGAGTATGTCGAAAGCAGCGAGTTGGGGCCGCCTCGGAGACCAAAAAAGAAGTTGAAGGAGTGAGTGGTGGTCAGATGGAAGGGATGCCTTGAAGACGCCCGACGCGGAGCTGGAGCTGATCGTGAGTTTTGCGAAAGAGCATGGAAAACCCTCATCTTGGTATAGCGACGGCTCATCTGAGGTGGGGGTTGAGGGACGAGATAGTGTGCCTAAAGCGATTCGAGAGCGTTTCGCGGGGTCTGCTGAGCGCCGTTGAGATAGCTTGGAGCGGCAAGATATAAAGTTCAGTGTCATGGAGTCTTGACTCCCGCAGTACCAACCATTACAGTTTATCAGAACTCTCCAACATGCTTGTTTCCGTCCCGCTCGTTCTTGGCGTAGCTGCCATCTATGTTAGTATACTCTTCATCGATGCACGGTCTCGACTTACATAAAAACAGCTCGTGTACTCCGCGATATACAACCTATGGTTCCACCCTCTCGCAAAGCAGCCGGGACCATTCCTTGCTCGCATCTCCGGCATACCTTCTTTTTACCATGCCTGTAAAGGAGACCGCCACATCTGGTCGTGGAGGCAGTTCCAGATCTATGGTACGTGTCTCTTAGGCTTTGGCCCTTGAAGCCATATCGTTGACGTTGCATGCCAGGTGACAAGTTCCGAGCAACCCCCAATCTCTTACTCTTCCAGACGTCCGAAGCTTACAACGCCATGTTTGGCTACAAAGCCAACGTCAAAAAGTCGCCGTTCTATGAGGTGTGGAGACGGAATAAACATGATTTAAACACACTAGGTTGTACGGATGTTGAGGTGCATGCTCGAAGGAGAAAGGCTCTTTCTTTGGCGTTTACCGAGCAGTCAGTCAAGGCAACCGTACCTTTCGTGGCTCGACATGTCGATCGATGGAACGAATTACTGCCGGGTGAGACCTTCGGTGGTGAGGGGTGGTCTGGACCACAAAATCTCACCGAGTGGACTGACTACTTATTGTTCGACATGTTCGGCGACATCTGCTTTGGCAGCTCCAACAACACCAAAGAGCCTGGGACGAACAGCCTGAAGAGTATCCCCCACAACATTACCAGATACTTGCGCTTTTACAACCCAGTAAGTCGCCACCTCTCTCCATCGCACGTCGTCGCGCTGACTGCCGCAGCTCGCCAAGTCCCCGTTCCGAAGCTTTTTGCTTTGGCTGAAGCCCCGCGGCCTGGATTCATTGATGAAGCTTATCACTCCGAAGGAGATCAAAGCTTACTTTGCTTTTACGGAAAACCTGGCCAAAAGCCGAGTTGACTCCGAGAGGAAGAATGAGGCCGAGAAACGTCCAGTTGCTCGAGAAGACATGTTCCACTTTCTGTGTACAGCGAAGGATCCAGAGACGGGCGATTTCGCGCTGACTACCGACAATTTGATTGCCGATGCAAACTTGCTTACTGTTGCCGGCTCGGATACGACCAGTGCAACAGTGACCGCGCTCTTCTTCTTCATCACTCGCAACCCCAAGGTCTATACAAAGCTCGTTCAAGAGATCAGGACCAATTTCAACAACGTTCAAGAGATCGGTCCAGCTCCGGACTTAATGGCAAAGTGCGAGTATCTCCGCGCAGCAGTATACGAGTCCTTGCGCCTCTCGCCAGCTGGCCCAAGTGAGCTTGAACGTACCGTGCTTCCGGGTGGCATCATGATCGCTGGTGAACACCTTCCTGGCGGCATCATAATTGGTGTTCCGAAGTGGTCGCTCGGTCGAAACGAAGCGCTTTGGGGCGATTGCAACACCTTCCGTCCGGAGAGATGGATAGTCTCGGATACCAATACACAGGAGGAGGTGAACCATCTGAAACGATCCTTTCATCCGTTCTCCAAGGGGGTCGGTAGTTGCCTGGGTCAAAAGATGGCGATGATACAACTCTGCATGATCGTTGGAAGGACCGTCTGGAGGTACGACGTGCGACAGGCTCCTGGGCAATGCGTGGGAGAAGGCCGCCCTGATCTTGGCTGGGGCCAAAGGAACCGCGGTCACTTCCAGTTGAAGGATGCGTACATCTCACTTCGTGAAGGTCCTATCGTTCAGTTCAAGAAGAGGGTGTTGTGAGAAGTATGGCACTGCATGATTTCGACGCTGAGACTTCGAGATCGCCAGGGTAGGTCGTTATGTCGTCTCTCTTCTTGATTTCATACTGCATTTGCTTTTCCGTCGCGTGCTACTGGTTGGCAACGAAGTCGGGCGCGTCATCATGCGAAATTGCTCCGTATGATAGTCATCGTAATCAGGGATCCTAGGAACAATAACGCGTCGCTTTCATCAAGAGACGTCACAAGGCAACGCTGATGTGAGTTACTGTGATCTTCGCGGAGTGGTAAATTTGGAGGGGGCTGGGACTGGTTCGTCGGCGTGTCTAGATGCGCCGACTGTCGCCGTTCCGAGAGCTGCCTTAGTCATCGATCCCCGCCATCAATCCACATTTCGTGATCGCAGTCAGTGAGAAGGTGCTCGTTCTAATAAGCTGTACTCGAAGTGTACACTCAGATCGTGCACCCTCTGTATTAGGTATTCCAGTGTAACTGCAGCATGTGCTCTCAAAGGTGGGATATCTGGTAGCCCAGAGGTCACGAAGATTCATCATTCTGTTCAAATGCAAGTCCACATTCTGGGAAGCTCGATGCGCATCCAGTTCGCTGCACGATTGATCTCAAGAGAAGCATCGTTCAACGACAGGCGCCCGAGGGCACAAATTCACTTGGCGCAGCAGCAAACATAGTAATTTCACTTCTTTTGTATTCAAAAAGAAGTCCATATTGGGATAGAATGGAAGTTCACTCGCAGATATACTTGCTCACTCGACACGCAATCAACAGATAAGACCCACTTGACTATACCTGCATGAGGACCCTGTCACTGTCGACAACTCGCTCATCACCAAACTACTCCAGGGTTGAAGACACGTGTAAATGGGTCCAGACTACAAAAGCAACACGGAGGCGGAGGCTGATGGCAAGGGGAGATGTGTCGGTTTCCGGTGAGGGCGGACGTGAGTCATAGGCCGACGATCCATGCAACACCCAAAAAGTCGTGCACCAGGCTGCACCCTCCCTATGTCTCCGCGATCATCCCCGGATCAAAATTCTCGTATGTGGCCGCCCCTCGCCCGTCAAGTTCTTTGTTGTCGCCGTGATTGCGTGTTCTGTTGTTTGCACTTTCACATGGGGCGTGCCTGACAGAACCGGGGGAGGCGCAGCGTACAGCAAGTGTCTCAGGTTGTCGCACGCCTTTCAAAGGGCGGCAACTCAACCAGCGAAATCCAAGGGGTCCAAGAAGAGGTGTCGCGATAAGTTTTTCTCTTCGTTCTGCACCGTTGCTGGTGGCCACAGTGCGGCAAGTGAGGCGACGGGGTCGAGTGGACGGGCTGGATTTGGGCCATCGCTCAATCCGGGTCAGTGCGTCGTCATCGCTGGTAACGAGGGAAGGCACCGGCCGACCTGCGCGCATCAGTAAGGCAGCAACATGCGCACTGCACCTTCCAGTGTCGTGGAGAGGCTGTCGGCAGCGCTGCAGTCGACACAAGCAAACTGGCTCAGTGATTGCAGCGTCGCATATGCGGGGTGAAGCTGGGGGAGTGAAGGGAAACGGTTGCGCATGACGCTGGGAGCCCCTTTTACTAACAGCAGAATCTTCTCGCTACCGGGAATCTGAAGCTAAGCCCCAATCGCCGCCCAACCCCTGCGACGTAGCGGGGCGCTAACGACTTGGCACGCAGGCAGCCACTACTATAAGTACTCGGCCTCCCCCCCAACTTTTTAACGAGATTTCCGCCGAGCCCGCCGTTGTCGCAACACCTCAACCCTCTACTCTACCATCGCCGCAGATCGAAAACTCACCTTTTCAACTGCGCGCTCTCTAATACTGCGACTCAGAAATCCTCGTGTGCCATTTTCGCACATATCCACTCTCTCAGAGGTCGCGATCGGCGCTAGCTATATCCAGCCTGCGACAGCCCAACAGCAGCCTCATCCTCAGTCGCAATCTCGACTTACCCCACCAAAGGCTTGCTGGCTACGCTTTTGGTCACTTAATCTACACACTAACCCGCCGTCTACTGTGACAGCACTACTCGACGGCATACTTGTCAACGTACGCGAGGGACACATTCGCTTGTAGCTCTCCTGCCTCCGGTACCGTCTCCACCTATCTCATAGACACAACCCTCCGGTGTCGACCGACCTCGCTCCATACCTCGCGATCTCGTAGTCCGCCGACTTGACCGTCGCTGCCGCTCTAGAACACATTCTGACCTGCGCAGTCTGTCAAGATACCGCTCTCCTCAAGAGTCTATCACTCCAAATCCAATCAATAATCTCATCATGGATCCCAACTCTCTCACTTCTCACCCGTCCACCGCCGCCCAGGCTCAGACGGTAAGCTTTTGTGATGTCTCCCACTTGTCAAATTGTTCTAACGTTCGCTCTCAGTTCGTCGCTCCTGGATCTCTCTCGTACCCCCAGGGCGCGAACCTCGACCTGAGTGCGCCAACCGTCGAGCAGAACACTCAGCAGGTTGCCGACAACGCGAACGGTGTTGCGACCCCAGCGGCGACTCCTGATACTCAGAATGGACAAGTTCCCTCTGGTATCGTGCCTACTCTCCAGAACATTGTCGCTACCGTCAACCTGTCCGCTCGCCTCGATCTCAAGACCATCGCTCTTCACGCCCGTAATGCCGAATACAATCCCAAGCGTTTCGCTGCCGTGATCATGCGTATTCGCGAGCCGAAGACGACGGCCTTGGTCTTTGCGAGTGGAAAGATGGTTGTGACCGGTGCCAAGTCTGAAGACGATAGCCGCCTTGCTTCCCGCAAATATGCGCGGATTATCCAGAAGCTCGGGTTCAGCGCTAAGTTCACCGTACGTCGCATCGGACTAAGTATGCTTGATTCAATGCTAACGTCACCATAGGACTTCAAGATTCAGAACATCGTCGGCTCCTGCGACATTCGCTTCCCCATTCGTCTCGAGGGTCTTGCATCTCGCCATCACACTTTCTCTTCCTACGAGCCTGAGCTCTTCCCCGGTCTCATCTACCGTATGATGAAGCCGAGAATTGTCCTCTTGATTTTCGTATCTGGCAAGATCGTCCTCACTGGTGCTAAAGTCCGTGAGGAGATCTACCAGGCTTTCGAGCTCATCTACCCTGTCTTGTCGGACTTCCGCAAGTCATGAGCACTCTTTCTTCCCAGGATCCGGCCTCAAAGAGCCTTGACCACACACCTTCATTGGTGACATGGCTACGACTTGGACCTTTCCTTCTAACTTGTCATCTTTTGCGGCATTGCATGGTGTTACGGTGGGCGGTATTTCCTTCTTCATGCCTTTTCAAAACTCCAAATTACCCTCGATACGATTAGACATCTGCACGCGGGGTGCCTTCAACCTCTCTTAATCCGGGTCACGAAGGCTTTTCTACTCTCTTCTCTTTCCATTTACGGGTACGACCACGTCGGCAGGCGGCGTGAGGGGATGGTACCAAAGATTGCTACAACGGGCGGAGGAAGGAACGCGAGGACGTTCGGACAGTGCGACCGTAAAAGCTCGCACCGGGAGCTCGAAAAGGTTGACGATATGACACCAGAGCTCTCATCGATGGCAGTGCTTCAAAGCATCCATCGTGTATGTGTACATGACCCTTGGCCTTGAAATAGGTTAGGCAGTAATGTTATCATGATCATAATAGTCTTATCCACCCTTGTGATGTGATGTGATATGACTGTATGTGATCATTGATTGCTCACCCCAGAAGTATGACTGTCGCTGTCGGATACCTAATTACACTGGCGATACGATGCTTAGGCCATACTCCTGCACGGAATAAGCCTCGCGTTCCGTGGCGCGCGTAGACTTAGTGATCATCGTGTCTGATGGAGTCGGCGGTGAGGGCGAAAGTAGAGTTGAGAGCAGGACACTTCAATGTGAATGTGCCAGGTCCGCGTACAGCATAGTCCGACGAGCTAGTGTAGGTGGTCGAAAGGGCGAAATTCAAGGCGCTGTGTAGAGCTACGAGGCAGAAAAGGGCTTTGACTACGGAGTCTGTGGCCAGCTGCAACGTGTGAAGGAGGTCGATGTGGCGCTTCCTTGGTTGAAGTGGTTGTTGGAGAACGAAAAGGTGAGCGTATGCAGGCTAGGCGTGTAGTCTGCGGTGAAGGTGTTTCTTGAGGCCGGGTTACCGGTTCGAGGGTTGGGTGAAAGAGGGAGAGATCGAGGAGCTTGGTTACGTGTTGCTGCGGAGCGAGAAAGTCAGCGACTTCAATCGATGCGTACTGGTATCGTAAGTTGCCCGTAAGCTCGGACAATCTTGTGAAAGCTGCAGTGTTGGAAGTGAAATCTGTGGGAGTGAATCCGTTCCCTGACTGGTGCTCCTTGTTGTGCGCGGCTTCTGTGGCGTGGGCTTTGGCTCGGTGTGTCAAAGAAGGTAAACAGCTTGTCGCGTAGCTCGAAAGCTTTACGGGAAGAGTATCGAGTTAGCTCGTTCCGTGGGGCGTTTACGAGCTGTCCAAGTTTGTTGGAAAGTTGACTACACGGTAGCCTGGCGACTGCCGCAATCCGAAACCGTGTAGTGTATCCATATGATCTTAGTCTCCGTTCAAAGCCGTAGCTCCAGGAAGCTATTCAGCAGGTAGTCCTGATCAAATGCCTCGCAGTCAAACCTCCAATTCAATGGAGATGCTGACGGAAAAAGAGTGACGAAACAAAGAATGGCCGAGAAAATTAAGCAGGAAGTATTTGAAATATAACATCGAACTTGTGAAGAAGTGGGAGACAAACAGAGACGGTGATTAGAAATACTGCGCAGACCAACGCATGCCAACTCGGCACTCGGGAGACCATGCGCCCAACCTCTGGATGAGCAAAAGTTAGCGCTATTCTTTGTTTTTCTTTTCAGAGTCTGCTGGGTTTTGCTGATAAGAGCATGTTTCCATCCCGTGTTGCTTCAGCTGTATAGGTTAGCGCTATACAATACCTGGAAGAGTTGAACCAGCTCTTGGGCAGCAGGATGAAGATGTGGTTAAAGAGCTTGGTATAAACCTGATAACCTTGGCGAGTAAAGCGCCAGGGAAGTACCAAGTTCTTGAGACACTCTGTGTTTCGTTCGTTCGGTTTGTTGAGCTCAGGCGTTAGAGAGCAGCTTGCGTTGCTGCATGTCTCAGCTAGCGAGCATAGACCGCTTGGCCGGAAATGGGATCCTTGTTTTCGATGTTTCGAAACAGTTGTACAAGGAGGCAGAAGGCGAGGTGCCGTCTTATACAGAGAGGAGATTGAACAGCTGTGCTGAGGTTAGCATTACTATTAAAATATAATTTCATGGAACCCAAGGCGATGTGTCTTCCGAAACTTGTTTCGAGAATTATACTTCCTAGAGGGTAGGTGTTCAGTTGATTCCTTGAAAGGGGTGGTGTGGTAATTCTCCGAGCGTCTATGCTACGTCACGGTCGAAGGTGTCGCTGAAGGAACGGCGGTTCTGCGCTGGCTGGTGCATGGATCCGAGGGGTAAAGAGAAAAGAAGGAAGTGTCAGAGTAAAAGTTCCGGGCCATGTGTACTGCTGAAAGGCACAATGAATTCATTTACAATTACCAACTCCCAGGAATTTAAAAGGTGGTCGCTGATTGTGTGGGAAACGAGATGCAAACACGTGGGCCGTGCGTCATGCATGCCGTATGCGTCAGTAGCATGGCGCACCTTCCCTCCTTTCACCAGCAGCCACCATGATCGCATAGCTGCATCCTCAGCGCAGTCAGGCCATGTAGCCACAACTTCAATTCTCTAGCTCTAATTTGTAATATCCTCAGACCGATGCCTACATTCCTTACGCCTAGTCCTCACCACCGCCGCCGCGATGCGCATTCCTCTCTTCCGCATCTGGTACTCGACCACGTACACCACCCTTCTTATAATCCTGCTCCTGCTCCTCGCCGTTACGCCCGCCGATACTATATACCAATCGATTAAATCCAAAGAGCTCCAGAAACTGTTTGTCATCGGAGGCGTCTACCTGTTGACCTGTCTGATTGTCCTGTTGATCTACTCGACGCGCATCTACACAAATAGGACTGTGCTTGCGGCGATACCAAAGAGCTATGTGCCGATTGAAGAAGGAGAAGTGGGCAAGGGTGTGCGATGGATGATTGTCAAGCACTTCAAGAGAAGCGCGGTCATTGCATGGGACAGCAGGCCGAGGGACGTTCGCGGCGAAGTCGACGTGGATGAAGAGAAGGGTGAGGAATCACGACCGAATACTGCAGAGAGCAGGAGAGAGAAGCATAAGGCGAACAAGAAGAAGGGCCATCACCACCATCACCATGCGCCGGATGCGACAATCATCCCCGTGTCTGCGAGCTCGCCGCCTTGGGGCAATGTATCGCATCCGGGCTGGGCGTCGCCTTCGTCGCCTGATCTCCCAAACCTCCAGTACTGGGGCGTCATCTGCGAATTACCGAACCTCATCGAAGCGAAAGCCGTCTCCCTCGCGCCGCCAGACCCAGCCCTTGAAGAAAGCGCCCAACAATATCCCGACAATGCGCCGCCTCTCCCAGACGCGCGCATCGTCACCCTCCTCCAACGCCCGCGCGCAATGGGTCTCCGCGAATACCTTGCGCGCCTCGCAGAATTTGGTCTACTAAACCCACCCGCCCTCGGCGCCACATTCCTCGCGCAATACGAATACGCACGCTTCTCTACCGCAAGTCTAACCGAGACACAATTCCGCGACACCATGGCCACCTTCGCAGAAATCCTAAGCGGCATGACGGAAGTCGACGAGGGCGTCATCGAAGAAGCACGCGCCCAAGACATCGAATCCGATACCCGCAGTCTCGCACCCACAGAATCAAGTTCCGAAACAAGCAGCTCCTCGCACTCCCAACTCCCCTACCGCACACCGCAACTTGAGCGCCAAGCTTCGCTATCCTCTTTCAACAGCTCCGTCCTGTCCGTTGATAGCAATTCCACTCCGCATTCGCCGCAAACCGTCCGCACCGCTCCGTCACGTCAACAACAGCGCAGTTCCACCGTCTATGGTACACCGCGTACACCTTCGCAACGCTCGCATGCGGATTCGGGGTCGGAGACAGGCTCTGTCATAGTCCGTGAAAGACCGCGCAGAAGTCCCAGTACCTTGCTACCCAATTCGAGCGAGAGTTCGCTGGGCAGTGGAGGGAGTGTGATTCGCTTGCATCCTAACCCTAGTGAGGGGGATCTGCCGTACGAATATACTATTGATGCTGGGTGAAGAGTAGGGGATGCGTGCTTGGAAGCATGATGATATTATACACAGACCTGGGAGAATTGAGTCAGATCTGCAACACAACGGGGATCGAGTGCAGGGCCAGAGACGAGAAGACGCGCCCACGTGAAGAGGGAGAGGGAGAAGGCTAAGACCAGCGCCAGACGGACTTCTGGGTCAAGATGAAGACAGAGCAGGAGTAGCATTTTGTGTGAAAGCAGTGTTGGCAGTGAGGCTCCAAGAACAGACACAAAACTTACTGCAGACATCAGTCCGAATGAGCAATGACGAAGATAGAAGGATAGTCGACGATTTTTGTACATATCATTCACAGTAAATAACACTTTACCCTTCGTACCATCATGTAATCAAACATACATTCAACCCAATCCTTACTTTATCATCGCAAAATCATACACTGCCACACCATCCTACTCCGCAACCCAAACAGCAGCCATACCCATACCCGTACCCACACACATGCTCGTAACACCAACACTCTTCCCCGTCCGCCTCAACTCCGTCAAGAGGGTACTAACCTGCCTGGCACCCGTAACTCCAAGCGGATGCCCAAACGCAATCGCACCGCCCTTGGGATTAACCTTTTTAACATCCAGCCCCAACTCATTAATACAGTACAAACACTGACTAGCAAACGCCTCGTTAATCTCCCAGATATCCACATCCTGCTTATCGAGACCAGTCTTCTCGAGCACAACAGGGATAGCAGCGGCAGGACCCACGCCCATCATGAGCGGCGGGACGCCGACGATGGAAGCTTGCACAAACTTTCCGATGATGGTTTGGCCCAGGCGCTGTGCGGTGCTGCGTTTCATGAGGAGCACGGCGGCGGCGCCGTCGGAGATTTGGGACGCGTTGCCTGCGTGGATGGAACCGTCTTTTGAGAAGGCGGGGCGGATTTTACCGAGCGATTCGGTGGTTATGCCTTGTCGGACACCGTCGTCGCGGGATACGGTGATGGTTTCTTCTTTTTGGGTTTTGGGGTCTGTCCATTTGACCTGGAGCGGAGCAATCTCCTCGTCGAACAGCCCTTGCTTCTGGGCCTCGACGGCTTTCTGGAAGGAGGATGCGGCGAAGGCGTCTTGCTCGGAACGGGGGATGTTCTTTGCTTTGGCCATTTGCTCGGAGAGGACGCCCATGGGGACTTTGCAGTTCGCAGACTCCTTGTGCGACTCGAGGAGTTCGGAGAACTCAGAGACAGCGCCGGGTCCGTACTGTGTGCTCATGCTTTCTGCGCCGGCGCCGATGCCGATTTCAATCATGCCGCTCTTGATGGCATTGGCGATGTCGACGCAGGCTTGCAGGCCGGAGGAGCATTGTCGGTTCAGCGATTTGGTGGCTGTGGTTGTCGGGAAGCCGGCGGCGAGGGCAGCTGCGCGGAATTCGGTTGCGCCGCCTCCTGGGGCGAGGACGGCGCCGACGGCGATGTCTTCGACGAGGTTGGGGTCGATGCCGGAGCGTTGGAGGAGCGCTTTGTAGGCGCCGTGGAGGAGGTCAGAGGCTTGCGTGTCTTTGAAGCCGCCTTTTCCGCCCTTGGTGAAGGCAGTGCGGAGGGCGCAGGTTATGACGATCTGGGAGATGGGAGTTAGTATGATGTTGAAATGATGGGAGAATGCGTCTTCAGCTGGAAGGAAGTTGAGGTGATGCTACAACTACTGTCGCATCGCTCAAAGACAAGATGTGCAACTCACGTCATCAGCCTTCTTCTCCAACAACCCCTTCTTTCCTTTGGAGCCCGCAGCACCAGGACTTCCACTTCCACCCATAAGATGGCCCTCGACCTGCGTAAGGCGTTCTTGAACTGTACAACCGTCAGCAACCTCATCCATCGTTTTCCAGCATCACATCGTACGCTCCCGCCCAACATACCTTTGTTAGGAGCTTGGTTGGCCATATTGAGTAGTATCGTCGATATAGAAGCTGTGTAAAGGGAAAGCTGAAGATCAAGGGTCAACGTGAAGTATATGAAGCAGCACTACCGTTCGGTCGCGGCAAGCATTAGGTCATTCGCATGCGAATCGCCGAGGTACGTTGCGCTTCTGGTTAGCGCGTCTGTGGGGCGCGTCATCCGTTCCGGGGGAAGCTAGCTTTCACATGCTTCAAGGTGTCGACTTTGCGGGCGGTTTGGGGTGCTTCACATGTCAGTGTGTGAGGTTTGCTCGTCATGTGCGGTTTTACTGTGCTAGCTGTCGTGTTGCTGATGCTGACGGAAGATGCTTTGTTACACGAAGCAGTGGGTGGGCAGGTATTGTGTGCTCTCGCGAATGCCGTGTCTCGCGTCTCAAGGTCAACAGATCATGAATCTATACTCTTCCATAACTCAGACGAAGTGGAGTATCGAGTTAATACGATAATAATCCATGCGGCCATGTGAAGCCGACGACCCCGAACGCCCTGCTCAAACACACCCATCTAATCGTGACAACGTCCCCCTCTTCACCGCCTAGCCTTATCTTCCTTCCAAGGATTATTCATCATCTGCCTCTCAAGCTCATCTACAATGCTCCCTCGCTGCACCTCCTCATACCCTGGCGGCGGATCTGACGGTGGCTCGAAGCGCTCTTGTTGAGTCCGCGGGCTCGACAGCGGACTCGATGCTTGTGGACTGGAAGGTGCCGGGGCCGCAACGACAGGACCGCCAGCCCCAGCCGCAGAACCATCCATCGGAGGACTAGGAAGCGGATCCGGTACTCTGGTATGTTGTCTGCTCTCCTCGTATGCGGGTAGGTCTTCCAGATGTACGTTGTTCATGTTCACGCCTCCAACGCCTCTGCTTCCATCTTCCACGTCACCGCCGCTCTCCCGCGCCACCTCAACAGCCTGCCGTAACCGCTCTTTTAACCGTTCGAATATGCTCGCAAAGTCGAATGCGCCGCCTTCCTTAAACTCCATGACGAGGTCAAGCTCGGCGTGCTGTGATGGTAGGCCGCCGCCTTGGACGGGCTGAATGATGGCTTCCCATTTGTTGGCGCCGAACCAGGGAGCTGTTACGCGGGAATCGGTTACGTTGAGGATGGGGACGGCGAAGGATTGGAGTTGGGGCGAGGGGGCGAGGGGGAGGTAGATCATCTGGTGTCCACGTTAGTCGGATTCCACATGATGGAGATGGTATGTACGTACCCGTCGGTTTGTGAGGTATACAACGCCCGACTTGCACTGCTGTGAGTAGGATTCGCTGGGACTACGCTGGTGGCTAGTCTGCAGCGAGAGAGTGGTTCGAGGAGGAGACTGGTATAGTGTCTGTTCGCCAGGCAAAGGAGTGTACCCGCCATTTTCAGCGAGCATAACCCAACTAGTTTTGCGGTTAGGCTTGGACTTCTTCATCTTGTCTGTCTTGAACCCCATGCTGCTATGCCAAAGTAACTATGCCCAAAGCTTCTTGTTACAATTCGCGGGGTAGGAATGCGAGGGGCAACACAAGCACACACGACAAAGCCAGGAACCTTTAGGAAGAGCGGGAAACGAAGCGAGAGAGAAAGAGGAGAGAAGATACTAACTTGACAGACATGCTTGAAACCGCCTTGCAGCAGACTTGTTCACGGATAAAGCGTGAATAGTTCGCCCACTCCCCAACTGTCAATGCAAGCCAACCTTCCTTACCGCGAATGCGCTAACTGTGCCTGCGCGTGAAGCGCCCGCCTTGATTGTATCGGCCCGACCGCCGACTGCCTATCAGATCTCGCGTTGCGGTTCCCGCGCAAATGCGAGTGATCGGTTTAGCGTGGTGCGGTGGAGATGAACGGTGGGGTGGCTAAGGTCGAGAATTGTCGGCTGGGGCTGGTCTGCCGCGGCGAGCGCGGTTGTCGCGAATGCAAATGTGTGCACTGCGGAGGAGGAGTTATGAACGCTGTATAGAGGGGCAGAGACGAAGATATGTAGATGTATGTGTCGATATGCGTATGCAGCTCGGATGCGGTAGTTACGTGTTCCGAATGGACTTTTCGGACTGGTGCCTGCAGTATGTAGGTAGGTAATGCAGCTGATGATGATCCCGTGAGACGGGCTTGCGTCACTGGTCGAAGGTGGAACCAGGCCTGGAAGCATGGCAAACGTAGCGCGATATTGGATCGAGTGCACCGCGATCATGGGCAAACACCATGCACGTGTTTCATAGATATTGTTCCCACTTGGGTAGTGTATTCCATTCATAGCCGTAGCCCTCGCTGATCAAACGCCATAGTCCGCCGCTACAAATGCTAGTCATGAATCAATGAAACACGGTAAGAACCCCAACAGCCCCATCGCTGAATACCGAACATACGAATAGCATGCCACCTCCTTCAAGGAAAAAATGAACACCCTCTAGCCCACATGCGGGTGAAAACATGCAAAGTAGGTGACCCAACATCAACGTAAGCTCCAGGGTGCTCGGATTTTTCCTTTTTTGAACTACTCCTCCCTCTCCGTAACCGTCCATCGCCTCTTAGGCCCATGACTATGCTCATAAACATCATCCAGCTTCGGCGGCCCCCAGAGTCCGTTGTTGGCTTTCGGTGCTACCTTGGCGCCCCAGAGACCACCAGAAGCAATCGGGCCGCTCTGTTTGCGAGTCTGGGCACTAACTAGAGGAGTGGGTTTATCGTTGACTTCTCGCTCTTCTTTGGAATCTAGTTTGGTCAAGCGAGTGCCCACGTCGGACGCACCGTCCAAATGGGCGATAGAGTTGCTCTTGGATTTGGAGGCAGTTGTGGCAGCGGAAGTCGACTTTGGCGGCTGCGGATGCTGATTTGGGAAGTTGAGGACCATGTCGGCTTCAGTGGCGGGTGTGCTTGCGCCTGACCATAATCCGCCTGATGGAGATGCAGCACCACTTGTCGCACTTTGCGCGAATCTCGAGTTGGATCCTGAGCTCATGGTCCGTCGCACGCCGCCCAGTGAGCTGTTCCAGTTCCTGTACGGCTCGCCGAGTGAGAAGGGGGAATCGAGTGGACTGCTAGTCGTCGATGATCCTGTGAATCTTCGTCGGTACTCCAACGATGGACTTGCTGTGATGGCTGGGGATTGTGTTTGTGTCTGCGCAGATGGCGGTTTCGACGGGTCGACGCCAGGCCGTAGATGGTCGACTGAAGCTGAGAGCTTCATATCGTAGGTATCCGACATGCCAGGGTCTGCTACAGAGAGTCTTCGCGTATGTATTGTGGCCGGTGCAGATGTCTGCCTAGGCTCATCTCGCCGAACGGCCATGGAGAGCGACGCCAAACCTATATCCATCAAGACAGGCTGGTTCGTCATGGCGCCGAGCAACGCATTGCATCCTGCGCCATGTGTGATGAGAATCAGAACCAACTCCTCCTCTTCATCCGCGGTAGGGTCGTCGCTGAAGTTGGGGAAGGGGTCGGACTTGGTATGCGACATAGGCGGTGGCGTCAGGCGCAACGGTTCCTTGAACATGAAGCCAGGGAACTGCTCCTTTGGAGGTGCTGTGCCGTGGACTCTGTACCACTCCATCATGCCCGCAAGACCTCTCCTGAAGCGCTTATGCATTGTGCTCCATTCGTCGCCGTACTCGCCGCCGTCGCCCCAATTCTGCGGTGCACGCATGCTGTCCCATTGAAAGTCTACTTTGACGCAGGCTTCTTGGGCGTGCGCGACGTAGCCTCGTGGTATCGGATCGGCGGGCGAGACAGAGTAGGAGGGGTGCGGCGGTTCGTAGACGCGGTTGGGTATTGCGGTAGGCTTTGGTGTCTGAGTTGGCATCGCCAGTGGTGCAGTTGCTTCTTTCGATGGTGTTCGTTCCAAACCCAGTGGGCCGGCGTAACTGCTTGAGCGCTCTCGAAGCGGCGCAAACTGCGCCAGACTGCCCATAGCAGTGCCAGCTCCTCTACCGCCATTCGGTGTGCTTGTACCCGACTTGTTCCCCATCCAACCTCCTGGAAAGTGGCCCTTGCTACTGTTCGAGTTTGGCTGTTCTTGTATGTAGTCGCCCCTCCGCAGCAGATCAGCTTTGGCGCCTGCCACCATCATGGTCGAGTTTGGCGGGGCCGTGATGTCGGCGTAGTATTCGGGAGACAGCCATTCACCTAGGAACGCGTCGATGCGCAGGAGCACCCTCTCAGGGCCTGTATGGGGCCGCGGCAGTATCTCGAGATTGGGGTCGGCGAGCGGCTCGAAGGTTCGGGGCTGCGACGAGGTCGACTTGGTGCGCGGCGCTTTGGTCGAAGGGACTCCCAGCGAGCCATTGGTCTGTTTCGAGGGGGGTGTCGGCACATTGAGCTGTGGCGTGGTAGGGGAGTGGTATTGCGAGATGCCGGCTGCGACCGCTGTGCTGGTCTGGACGCATCGCAGGAAGGGACTCGAGTGTATGATGATCTTGCGCTTCTTCTTGGGCCGCCCTTGCGCCTTGCCGTCCTTGGAGATGCTCAGCTTGCTAAAGTCGAGATGGGCGGGGTCATTGGTGCTCGCGTTCTTCGCGTCTTCTGCCTGCTGGATGTCTCTCTCGTGCAGGAGAGCGGCTATGCGCTGGCCGAGGGCCTTTGCCTGCGACCAGCCGCCGTACGTGAGGGGCGGATCATACGGCGTGGGTGAAGAAAGGTGCCATGACTTGTCGGCAGCGTCGAGTCGGGCGCCGTGTCTGCTTGCAAGTTAGCTACAGAAGCGGAATGTGGAGCCGTGAAGGCTGGGTGAGACGGTACCTGGCGACGACTACGACTGCAGGACCCTTAGCCATGCCCCGCTAGAGATGCTTCGCGTGCGTCGTGCGTGCAGCTGTCGGCAAGCCTGTGCGACGGTCGTGTATGCAGTGCGCCGCCAATACGAACAAGCAAGTCGGTGGAGAGAGCGATTGCAGAGGCTTGAAAAGAAAACAAGGCGACAGCTGCGAGGCGTCAAGTGATGCTGCAGACGCTCCAGGGTTCACTGTAACTTTGCGACCCTGCAGACGCTATGACACCATTGTCTCTCACGCTGACAGCTGGAGCGAGCGCTCGAGAGGGGTTGGACCTGTGTTGGACCGTTTGTGCTCGACGCCACACTGCCGCCTGATGTTTCACTGCTGCATATCGATTTCTTTGCCCTAGTCTCGCGCACGTGTTGTCTACACGAGAACGTGTAGGTCAAAACAACAAAAACTTTGTCTCGCCCTCGCCCTCGCCCTCGCATATGTCATCTTGGTCCGGCGACGGCGGACTTAAGACGCCGGTGGGGCCGGGAAGAGCCCTGACAGCCCTGGAGCACGCCATCAGTTTGCATGTGACGATTGATCTTGATTCGACTAAACACGACCGACTACTCCAGATAATCTCCCGCCGTCTCCTTGTGTATAACGTCGAACAGCGGTTTCGCACTGAACCACCCGGCCAGAGAACTCCCAATCGTCTTGTGTGTGTAAACTGCATCCTCCTCGGTAATCTTCACCGTCTCGCCACCCCGCCCAACTGCCGCTGCATCCGCCATCAGCTGTGATTGACAGCACTTCTCCATGCTAATGAACCAGAACACTGCCTCCTCCACGCTCTTGCCTACAGTCAGCAGGCCGTGATTTTGGAGCAGCGCAGCCTTTTTGTCGCCTAGACATTTTGCAATGTTCTTGCCCTCTTCTTCCGCCAGTACGACGCCGTTGAACGACTCGTAGATGACGTGGTCGTTGTGGAATGCACATGAGTCTTGTGTTATGGTATCGAGTTTGCGACCAAGTGCGCAGAATGTGCGACCGTAAATCGAATGAGAGTGCGCTGCGGCGACGACATCGGGGCGTGCGGAATGGACAGCGTGGTGGATCATATAAGCTGCCGTGTTCAGCAGTCGGCACTCCCCTCCATCGATGACCTCGCCCTTTGCATTGACGAGGATAAGGTCCGAGGATTTGATCAGACTGAAGGCGACACCGAACGGATTGACCCAGAACGTCGTTGGGTCCACAGGATCCTACGAGCCATTAGTATTTTGCACACAACATGTGCTTTACAACTTACCCTCAGCGTGATATGCCCAGCAACCCCCTCGTCAAATCCATACTTTCCAAAGATGCGGAAAGCAGCTGCCAGTCGGCCCTTCAGGTACGCCCGCTCCTTGTACGGATCGTCAAACTTGGGCGGCTTGGGAAACTTTAACATCTCAATCTTTCCATCTCTCTGGTTCAGACCAGGCTCGTTCGGTGCCACCGTGTTTGCCTTGGACTCGTCGCCTGCTTGAGGCTCAATCGCTGACGGTGGAGACATGGTTGAATTCCAAGGGCTAGTCGAGTAGGATTGCTAAGTACCTAGGTAGAGAAGAGCTTCAAACGAAGAGGAAGTAGCGCAGATACCGAAACAACAGTAGACAAAGCCCCTCCTTCTAACGTGTGGAAATAAACAGAAGTCGCGACAGACCAACCTTGGAAATCACCGCCCCTCGTACGGAGGCAACCACGACCTCGGTCACTACCTCGGAACTACAAACGTAAGCACCCTATCTGCCCAAGTAATCACCTGCGTTATCGGAACGCTTCCGATAGTCACCCTATCCGGCGTTTAGCACGTCAATGGTTGGTCGGCGAGCGATAATGCGCGTGCGGGGCATCATGCGCGGGGTAACCGCAGATACCGCCGCTCGGCATTCTTGATGAACTAATGCTTCGGTGGCGGGCGGAGATGGGAAGTCTCCGTGATCATGGGTTCGGGGTGAGCTGAGAGGAAGGGCTCGGCATGCCTAGGCTTCCGGAGGCGAGGGTTGATGGTGAGGATTACGATGGGGCGGAGGGACTGAAGATACCGTTCCGAGAAACGGGCATGTGTCTTGCGTAAATGAGTGTCGAGATCACTATTCCTTTGATACGATTGCGAAATCCAAAGCCATTCGAGCAGTTCTATCTTGAGTGTTGAAACGTCGTACAGAATATTGGAAGCTATAATAAGCACATCAAGACTCACAGCAAGACAATCTACAATCGTAGGAATTCCTTTGATCACGTACTGGAAATAAGTCTACAGCATTATGATGGCGAAACTCCATTTCGCTTTCTCTTTGTGCACTCACGTCAGCACATAACAAGGTAGTCAAGATATTCAGGAATACCTAGGTATTCAGGGTTCGCTGTAAACCAAGGTTGAATACGAATTAACTAGACTTGAGACTTCCAATCGATACGTAATGGTATTCCTAGCTCTCACGAAGTCATGCGAGCGAATATACCTTATAGGGAACGAGGAAGTGCTACGGGGCGACAATGTGGTATCTAGCCTACTATGCGAGCGGTAGAACCCAGACAGATCAGAGTGTAGGAAGGAAGCAGTTGGAAACCAAAGGTACCTAGGTACGCCATGCGGGCGAGATGCATACATACATACCGCTAATCATCTCAAGTGGAACGAACACATGGTCGAGTCTATGCAGGTGAAGTGTAGTCCCCGTTACGGGCGTTGTGCAACGTGTGCCGCGTTTTGAGTACTAGGACTAGTACCGACATTACCCTGCATCATGCATCATGTTTTGAAACTGTATGACCGCGTTAGAATATGCATGTCGGTTCCAGTGTATCCTTACGGAACCACATATACTTGTAGAGGTGCGTGCACCGAGATGTGTCAGTGATGGATAGTTGTATGTTACTAGGTATGTTCATCAAGATGTGATGTCTTCACCAACTTATAATTGGGTTTAAACGCTCGCTCTATTTGATAAGGGCTGTGAAAGACACAAAGGAAGTGTGACAGGCTTTTGGTAGCAGGCCTTCGTATGCTTGGGTAGTTCTACAATAGCTTTCAGAGTCGAGACCTTATGTTCCGCTTATGGCAGCCAGAAACGATATCTGCATCACGATTACAGTCGACAAAATGGTATGAACTGGAGCCATCTCACCATCGTTCTAACAGCATAGCGACTTCGGGAGTATCGGTTTGTATCTCAATGAGATTGCAGAAGCTCTAATGCGTTCGATGGTCAAGAGAAGCTTTGCGCCTGCTATTGAGGGCGCCACATTCTCCCCTCGGCAAAGAATAGAACGCGCCTCTGACTCTGACTGGGGCCTGATTCAGTTTGGGGTGGTCACCGAAGTCGTGCTTTGGTGTGCGGAACAAAGGTGATAGCTTTGTGGTCATTCTCCCCTCCTGTCTGTTGTCGAATATCAAGAGTGCGTATCCCAACCTGTGATATCACCAGACATCTGCTTGACTCGCAACCACCGGAAACAGACTGCCGATCAGTTCTCCAAGAACAAACCTCCTAACTACACTGCGCAACCCCCACTGTATCGGCTTCGCCGTATCCCTAACGCGCAGCCGATCTGATTGGCTTTCGTTCTTCTCACACTGAAATTGCGATGCAGGATCGAAGTGGAGCGATTTGCTGCATAGTATCTTCGATCATTTCGAGTCAGAGTAAGAGAGATCCACTTGAAGTAGATCACTCACAAGCGAGACGGCGTTCAGCTGAGCGTTCCGTGGCGCCGCGGGAATCCGGCATGTCAGAATGTCAATCACGGCTCCCAGGGCGCTTCGCACTGACTGTGCTCGTCACGTTCGCGCGGCATGCATGTTTGCTTCAAACACTCCATGTATTGCCTTTCTCGCGAGTCACGACTCGCGGAACCGGTATGCCGTCATACAGACGTAGTGTTGTGAACGATTTACCCGGTGGGGGTCGCAATGAAGTATCGTGAGTAGTGTGGTCCGTCGAAGCCTCACCGGAGACTTTCGCTCAACCGTTCACGGGTAGCCAAAAAGTAGCGTGGGTGCCGCTGAGGGCACACTCACAAGTGTGGTGCAGAGCAGAGTGGTAGCCTTTGCGATGCTACGTTACTACAGCCTCCCACGCTTGGATGCTTCTTTCAACTTTCAGCGCTGACTACTGTCCAATTGGGGGCATGGCTGCGGATTGGTACCGTTTCGGGTGTAGGTACTGTCCGTCGCAGTCTTTACATGTATCATATTGGCGAGCTAGTGAATGAGCGACGATGTGTATCGAGTCCAAGACATCGCCGATATCTCGGTAGCTGCAGTGTCGCTTAAGGTAGCGCCATGTCGGGTGATAATACTCACTGCCTCCACTTTAGATGGAACGTCCTCCAGTTGGTGTTTGTAAAACGACCGGGCAATGACGCCAGAAGCACATCACTGATTGTGGAGATACACTTCCCATTGGGATTGCAAATTGCGTGATTGTTGAGAATTGTCGACATGTCTACTGCTAAAAGCATGTACTGTACTTTACGCACTGTCTGAGCTCTCCGAACCCAATGCCTTACAAGACACGTAAAACTGCAGATCCCACGGACGAATCCATCAAAAGAATTCGCTGAGAAAATGTTCCGGCTTTCAAAACTCGACGACGATTAACCGTGCACGGGTTCCGTACCGTGCTGGGGGAAGCTGTAGCCGGGAAGCCCGATGACCCGGCGTTCAACCCGAATCTTAATTTCGTGTCTCCCAATAAGGAATACGGCTGATGGGAAAGTGCCAAAAAGGACGCTGGTGGGACGCGCCATCGTCTAAAGTAACTAGAGTTGGAGATGCAGACAGCCTTGGAAGTGGATGTGAGTGGAGGTCAGGATCTGCGGCTAGGGCGCGGGCTGGCGCATGACGTAGCGTGGATACAAGCAAAAAGCACAACTCCCGAAGGAGACAGTGATACGGAACCCGATGTCAGCCTGGGCATCGAAATCAGCTCTTTACCATCTTGCCTGGCCTTTCTTTCATCTATCGAAATCTCCGACTGGTATCTTAAGCGTCGTCGAGAAGAGTGTCCAACGATGGTGTCGCGGTTCGATAACCGAGCCCTGCCGTGGAAGCGCGAATCGACGGGGAAGGCTAAAAGGAAAATGCCGAAAGCCAAAGACACATCGACGACTTCACTCCGAGGCTGGGGAATGGCTCTACTCAGATCCCGGACGTATCCTGTCCCGATTTCCGGCAGCGCAATCGATCGACGTGAGTGGTGGGCCTCCCCTGCTCCCATCAGCTCTGCACTCTGCCTTAGCGGGCCGCCCATCGATGATGCTAGAAGCAGATCCATCCTGAGGCTTGCAGATGTCGGCGAGGAGCGATGTGAGTGGGCCGCTTGACCCAAGAGCGGGAGGACCGTTCCTCCACCCGCAGATCCACCTGGCCTAATTGCGACAGTTCAGCTCTCGTCGCGGGCCATGAGATCCACACTATAGGACTTCGGTCAACCCCGCCTACATCCTAAACTCCATCAGCACTAGCGAGGTTTCCCGTACTTTCATCTAGAGCCACGGCAGACGTGGTCGCCGACCATTGATGAAGCAGCTAACAGGCTGCTCGCTTGCAGGCTATCGTGGCTTGCCCACGCTGTTGAGAACGACATTGCACCCCAACGGCGGTGCCTGTGCTCGCCGCCTCGTCAACTACGGAAAGAGGACGTGTTTGACGGGAGTGGAGAGGGGCAAGGCGTGGTGATGGAAAAACAATCATGAAAAAAAATGAAACGCCAGGCATGTGATTTCTCCTCCTGCAGAAAACATGTCGTGGATGCGGTACGGTTACCACTCTATTGGAATCTTCTTCTCCGACAGTCTAGCATGGGCTCCGAAAGACTGCAGATCTAAGCAGGTTCTGAGGGACGGAGAATCTCGACCACGAAGACTCCAGATGGCTTCACTGGACGCCATGCCATCGATGTGCAGCCTCTCAGCTGTACCAGGCTGGTGACAAAGCTCCCAAAATGGTACTCTTGTTGACCGGTCTTGGATAACCTTCGCGTAGATTGACTGAGCCCCGCTCCTTGCAAACGATTGTCTCGAGTCGTTGCGGCATTTGTCCAAAACAAATCGCCATAGCTCGAGCTTCCCCACTCCGGCTGGGTCTTTAGTTGCATTGGCCTAGTTCATTCGACTACGGAGCAAGCGCAGCCTCCCCACGTACTCCGTACGGTGGAGCTCCTGCACCATGCGTGCGCGTCAATGCACTCACTCATGCCAAAAACGACGTACCAGACGTGTCAAGCTCGGTTATGATGCATGATCGCCGACCTGCATTATCGACTCTAGGGCTGTCTTGAGCCATCCACAAAGCTCATCCTGGTTCGACGGACTAGCTCATGCGCGTAGAGCTGTTGATGCTCATCGGGAATATTCGCAAGCTCACACCATGACGACAAGCTGTTGATCCATACTATCAAAGTACATGCGCCCCGCTCGTGGTCTGTGAGCTCTGCCGCATCTGATCGTAGCTTTTGAAAGCATCGGGATATATAGAGACGACCTGTGTATCATTGGAGTGCATATCTTCCATGTTCCTTTCAACTCATGTTACAGATTTTCAGTGAGTCAACCTCCCGTCCCCAACATAACCTCATACTGATCCAGCTTCGTAGAGAGACATAAAAAGAAGCGCTCCTCCCAGGCATCCGTAGATTCACAAGATCTTAATAGACGCTCTGCCTCCATTGCATCGATCGAGACCGACGTAACCTCGTCTCCTCCTTCCACGAAGTATTCATCTTCGCCGTCGTCATTACCAGTCACCAAAGGTCGACCCTCTCCGGCACAGATCAGCTACTCCACTCCGGCAGTACCTGCGCTTAATCTCCAGCCAGCACCAGAACCTATTGTACGACCCAGTCCAGTGATAAGGAACACCTTGCCACTCACAGAGTCAATTCCTTCGGACTCTCCTGCATCTACCTCATCTCGTGTTGCTCCCACA